GCATTGCAATCAATTTGCCCGAGATCGGTATAATTGATATCGTGATTCGCTTTGATTGTTGAAACCAATTACGGGAAGAAAATTACACGTTGATTTAGATTAGTCACGATGACTCTTACATCAGGCGCTGATGAAGAATGTATTTATTCCTAAAAATGTGAAGACTGGGTGAAGACGAACACGTACGATTTAACAAAAGAAAGTTATCAAAGGTTGTGTAAATAGCTGCAGCTCTGCGAAGTTGTGCACTGGTATGAAACACAATTCCTGTTTCATTATATCCTTCATTTGAAGCGTGCATACATGGTAAGAAATAAGGTGTCAGTCAGTTGTCAGTCACGTTAATTTCCTAAATCACTAAATATTTTGGTAATCTACGAAAAAATAAAATGATTTGCTTTCATTTCAATGTAATCATTGCGTTATTGCGTTTATTTTACTAGTGTCTTTTTGATTTATTCAAAAAACCGCCAAATCTTTCGACAAACATTTAATTTGGTAACGATCAACAACATCGGTGTTATTTCTTTTCTTGTCACCTTTTTAAATTTAAAATATTCAAAAACGAATGCAGTTCAACGATAGTGCTACAGCAAGCAAGACTTAACGGGCACATTGTTTTCTGAAAAGGAAGTCTGCGCGAAACATCATTGTTTGGTTGATCATTGAAATCATCTCGCATCATATTGTTTCTTATGATTTTTTGTGGCAAGAAGTTTTAAATACGAATTGAACAGTGTTGGAACTCCAATTTTCCATTTCTTAACGAGTCAGATACAGACAAAAATAGAAGGAGGACGTCGGCAAATATTCACTGAAAGTGAAAACTATAATTGATGGAAAGCCGTTCCTTATTTCTGATCTTCCAGGTTAACAGGAAACAATAGGACATCTTACTGTTTAATTCTGAACCTCATCATCATCAGAATTCGATTTGTCAAGCAAATTCAGTACATTATCGTAATAAAGCTGTAAAGAAGGGATTCAATATAAACTTTTTAATACAATGGGAAAGTAAAATTAAGAAAATTTCCTAAATGTGATATTTTTCTATTTCTAAGAATGAAAAAATATTTCTGAAAAATTGAAAACTTATGTGGAATGTCTAGAACCTATGATTTTTTTGGAATTTCTCAAATAACTAAGTCGGAATGTAATAAATACTTTCTATCGAAAAATAATAATTAATATCCAGTAAAGCCCATGTGCTGATGCGATCACCAACGAATTTGAACCGATTAGCACATTACTTTCAGTATTTTTCGTTAAAACTGAGGCATAATAATAAGATCAACGTTAAATTTTTTGATGCCTTACTCAGCAATCCAAGCTTCAACACAGGGCAAGTTTAAAAGGATAATAAAGCAATTTTTATTAGAGAATCCATTCAGAACGGATGAATGTCAATCCGCTTGTGACCTTAACTGCTGACTTACCAATTGTTTTGTAAAATTTATGTGTGATTAATAAAACTCTTTCTTTCAAAAATTTAAATTGTTTTATTACTTGGAGTATGTTATTATTAATACTGTTTTTCGATTATTTCTAATGTCTCACTTTAACGGGCGGAAAAAACAATGGTATTAATTCGTTATTTATTATTATTTGTACTTCTGTTAAGTTGTTTTTTATTCTACAGCTATCGATAAAACCTTTCTGTCAGAAGGTTTAAGGAAATAAAAGAAAATTTGGCAACCACACGACTAACCAAATTGTAGTGCCTATGGTCTTGACAGACTGAAGTAGATGTGAAGACCCTTTGGTTGATTTTATTGGTCTTCATCACGTAGTTTATTTTTTAGAAAGTTTATTATTTTGAACTATTATTCTTTGTTGTTTTGTCATTTTTCCATAAAGTTCGACAAACTTTTTAGGCTGTTGTGGAGCGGAAAGATTTCATCATTCTGTCGCCAAACAGTAAGGAAATGGGTAGGGATTTCTTCCATTCTATTTTTACCTAAATCTTTACGAATTATTACGCCACGCCATCGCAACACAGATAAAACAAAGGAATTTTTACTATTTATTTATTCACTAAAATCGCAGGCGTCATCGAATGAGGTCACTGATCAAAATAAGCGGATAATTATATTAGTAATCTATTAATAATCGAACGAGTAAATGACCATTAAGGTGCAATCGTTTGTGAAATGTCTTCGAATTGTTTCTCACTCTGGACTGACTTATGCTTGCGAAATACGACGTCACCGCGGGAAAACAAATTTCCCGAAACATCTCGGGCGCAATTAAACGTCTAAAAATAACCGCAAAACACACAAATTTTGGTAAGCCGTTTCGTTAGGAAAAGCAGGTTTGGTGTGTTTGCGATGCCAAGGCCGCCTTCTGAACTGGGTCGGTTGAAAATTAGGGCAGAATGGGAAATCGATAAGAATGCCACGCGTACGCACTTAATGTCGCACCAGATACCAATTCGATTACAGTTAGTAAACAAAGCAAACGTATGAGGCATGATTACAACGTTAAAACATGAGGCGACGCCATGAAGTTGATACGCACCTCGCACCTAACCTAAATTCTTTGTTGTTTTCGTTGCACAAGCGTAACTTCGCGCATAGCACCCTACGACTCTCCTTTACAATTGTGATTCCTGAATGGAACGTTTTAAGCTCAGCCGACTTCGCGAACAGAAAAATATTCTTTCAAGTTCTGCCGATGATCTGCCGTTCCGGAGAAACAGCTGTCAAGGCTGCGTTTAGATCCGGCGAAACGGGGGAACTCGCCTGCTGCGCGAGGTTATTTAGTCATCGCTAGTCCGGGCGCCAGCGTAAGGTTTTCGCTTTTTGCGTCGTGGTCATTTTTACAACGTAAGATTACTTTTAATCATAAAGCTACTATGCTGATAATACAGGAACTTATGAAGCAACTATGAAAACAATTTTGAGAAGTACCAATATGTTCATACTGAAGATTAACCAATGAGACTTGTAGTAATTCCAAATTCTAGCATTCGATCAGCACTCAACAACCAACATGGCCGCTGGCAGATCGTCAATAAGTTTGGCTGCAGCATTTTTAGGGCAGAGTTTCCTCAAAATATGTCCCGTTCATACTAAATCTTCAGGCAAAAAGGAGTTAAGATGTAGAGAGTGTTGTTGAAAAAACAGTAATTCGGTGAAGTAGTTGTAGTTGTTAGTGGTAGTCCTATATAAACCACCTTTAAATCTTTTAAAACTTGTACAAAAGGCAACACTTATTCGTATATAGGTATATGCTTTTCTTTGCAGCTTTGTCTGCAAACCCTAGAAGTTTTCCAATGGGTGGCAGTTTTTGTCACAAAAACCCGAAAAAGGTGCTGACATAATCACCACTGCACTGCTAGTATTCTGTGACAATAGCAATAAATTGGATCAGCGTCGCCAATAATGTCCGAATTTCAGATACTGATACTGCGTTTTTATAAAAACAACGTCGCAACTCAGTCATTTCGCGCATCAATTTTAACTGTAGTACGGCCACTGTAATATCTAATAGCTATTTGATGCTCTTGGATTATATTGTTCGCAGTCATGCAACTAGTGATATCGTTCGCTAATTTAATTTTTCACAATTCATTATGTAAAAATATTGTAATTGTAATACCCCTGCAAAGTTAGCGCTGTGATTTTGTATTATTGGCTCTTGGACTATCGCCTGTGTCTATGAAGGCCGACGTTGCCAGACCTGGTGAAATTCCGAGCCGCGATTCAGATCGTTGTTAAACCTTGCAAAGGTTTGCCCATTCTTTGGCGAAACATGTAGGGAAAAAAATGTAATAGAACCGAATTCGATAGACCTCTTCTGAGAAGGGCAGATTGCAATTACATTAGCAAATCTAATAAGATATTCGGCGAGCGGCAACACCGGAGGCCTCCACAGCTGTTATGATTTCATTAACTTGAGGTTAAGAGTAGCGCGCAAACACATTAGTGTAAGGTAAATATTTAAATAGACAATTAAAGAGCCGAAACAGTGAATAAATACCGGTCAGTTTTTAGGTACCGAATTTGTATTGTTATTAAAACAACTGCTAAATAGATGATGACATCATATGCCAGTAAATAAGTCTTATTCATGACGTTTAATCAGTGTTTTTTGGAGTTTTTCCATATTACATTTTTTAATAGAAGTCTAGCTTTATAAAGTCTGAGAGCTTCTCGATCAGTGATATAAAACATTATAGTCCATTTCTAAATGGTGGGGAGTAATAAATATCTAGCTTTTATCACATGCAGATAGGACCACTCAGGCAATTCAGGTAATTTGTTCATTCTTATCCATTCAAATTGGCGTGAATACAAGAAATGCGACCGAGATGTAAACGAATACGAAATTTTATTTACATACATATATGAATGGGGTGACCACACATAATAAAAGAAATGGAAAAACTGATGTGGGCGTCTGGAGCTCGCATGAATAAGTTTTACAGTTTTAGAGTTATAGGACGTTGTTTTAAAATGTTTGTAAAGTTTAATAGTTATCGATAAAAAAACCGATATGTAAACAATAATTCAGCAAGACATCTGGCAACAATATATGCGGCATTCAAGGTCATGCCATTTTTTTTGTTTTTTCGACTAACATTAGAGCTTTTTCAGTCCAATTGCCTAAAGCGACTCCCTATTTGATGTACCGTTTTATACACTTTTCTTCTCCAGGCCACAGTTTCTTAGGATATTGGTAGTGGTACAAATTGATGACTATGCCTCCAAATTCTTTCTATTTAATTCCTACCAGTACGCATTGTAAGATTTGTCACTTTTGACTACTTATCACTTTTAACTCTTGTACTTTTTCGTAGTGTATCAGTTGGCTCCAATATATCAAAATCTTTTACATTGAATTAGTTGTATGCCGTTTGATTACTTTAATCTCTCATTGCGTCACTATATGATAGAATTAGAAGTAACCGCTCTGTAGGGTAAGGTTAAAGTGGACCATCGAAATCTTTTGATTGCTCAGTGGGGGCAAGATAAATAAAAACGCAGTGTTTTTCTGTTAACACCTATTATATTTTTGATGTAGGTATGAAATACGGTATCGATTCCGCGTATACCTCTGACGACGAAGTACGCGCGGAACGTGCCATATTGTCGAACATTTCACTTTAAAACTTAAATTGGATTTTGTTTCCTAAAAACCAGTCTTGTCGAATAGTCCGGGACTAAACGGATAACTTATATTATCGGTAGGTTATATTTACACAAAAGCTTATAAAAGGGCAACCAATACGAGGCGATAACGTTGTTCTCAATCGGAAAAGTGCGCCGCTCTTTTGGCGGTACGTGTTAAAAAGAGATTTTCCGACTTTATCAGATTTCGAGTCGATTCGACAACGTCGCGCACATTTCCGATTTTTTTTTACCCAATTTAAGGCGTAATGCAAAAGTTCCTGCGTGGTATCGTCGCGTCGGCGCCATGTTTTTTTCCAAAACGCACAACAACCAACTCGATGTTTTCAAGTTGGTAGTTAAACTTCGGGAGTTGATTCAAAGGCAAAAAGTATGTAAAGTATATGTCACGAAATACTTTCTTTTCAGTATATGGGTTTAAAATAAATTAGGCAACCGATATTATAATTCTATTGTCTGTTGATTTTCACGTCTCCTATCTCGTTGGAAAACCTTGTTATCTAAGAATATTTGAAAAATCTAAAATCTACAAAAAAAAATTTAATCCTTGTAACTCAAATCACTTTTCGCCTTCAAATCGTTTAAAGGTTTCTCAATGTACTTACTTAAAAAACACGCCGCTTATGATCGGCAACCAAAACCAAGCAAAAGATGACCCCGAGCGCGTCGAATATTAATTGTTAACATTCCAGGTCAGCTTATTTGACTATTACATTCATATATATTATGTACAGGTCTTAGATTTTACTTAAAGCATTTTCATTTTCAATAAACATAACGTCGGATATATAAATCAGTAGTGTGCATTAGTTAGTTCTAGACCAGAAGGATCGATCATTATAGTAAACGCTCTTAAGTATTTAATTGACCTTCTTTCTTTTTAAACATGTCTCTCACTCTCTCTCCATCGTTTAAAACCACTTTGTTTTATGCCTCCCTCTCTTTTTAAACCGCTGGTAAGGAATATTTGAGCTCAAAAGAGGGGGAGATAGTTTTAAAGGAGAGGGGCGTAAGACAGGGTATGTTTAGGATGTTTAAAATGAGAGAGAGAGAGAGAGAGAGAGAGAGAGAGAGAGAGAGAGAGAGAGAGATATTTCAAAAGGGAGATGGAGACAGTGCTAATAATCAATGAATCAGTCTAGAACGAACAAATACGCACTATTTAAATCTCCAACGACGGTACGAAAGGGATAAATAATTACGACGAACGGAGGGGATTGGGGGGAGTTGTATACGGCAAACTACCCGCGGGAATTGTCGAATCGAATTCATAAAAAAATACGCACAACCAGTTTAATTATTGTACCGAATGCAAAGAGCTAAAGCAATAGGACAGGTGTGTTACACAACCGTGTATAAAGATTAATATATCAGCGGTGGCGTTTCCGTGAAAATCAGTGAATGTTTTACAAAAGAAAAGCTTAAAAATAAATAAATATTTTCTTATTTTACCTCTATGGATTGCCTGAATTTTAGATGACACTTTCCAACCAAATTGTTATTTAACTTCTTCCATCTCTTTTTTCTTATTTTTGTTCGCACAAATTTTCACCCATTTTTTCGGCAACGAACCGCCACTGCAGAATGAATATTGGTCGCTTTCCGCGAAAATAAATATAGACCAAGGCAAAAGCACCACCGATAAAACCTATAAATATTGAGCAATAAGGCAATAATAGGCGATATAATGAGGTTATTACACAATAAAACTTTTATAATCGGCGACGTGATTCGAGACGGGCCCCATTCATGTATTTTTTTAATGATCTCGCGAGCCTAACCTCACTTTTAATCGTGGAACGTCAAATAACTTCCGCAACCTTAGCTTCAACACATCAATTCCAAAACATTTTTTGATAAAAATTAAAATATACACAAGGGGCCAGCCACAAAGATCAGGCTTCGAAAAATTAAGGGGTAGGATCAATTAGCGTTGCTCGTTCTCAAAATCATTTTTTTTTTAATATTGAAAAGGACCTTCGCCATCGAACAGCACGTCGTGTTCCGAACTAAAACTACAACGGTAACGACTAATAAAACACTTAAAATAGAAAACAATCAGCGACTGGCGTCGCTTGGTTGAGCAGTCGGACTAACGTCGCAATAAAAATATTGGCACACGCGCAGGTAACAAATCTTTAAACAGTCTTCAATAAACTACAATCTGGAAACAATGTAAAGTATATAGGGAACAGAGCACGGACCACTAAAAATATATAGTAGACTCGTGTAGGCTTTAAACGAAACGGGGCGTGACCAAGCACGCGCTCGCCGATTGGCTGATGGACAGCACAATTCTTATTACGTCAGAATCACCTTGCATTGTGTTTTTCATCGTTTCGCCTCTTTTGACATATTCAGGGGCCAAGAAGATATACTGCCAGCCAGATAGTCAGATAGCCTTCTTCAGATTTCACAGAACACAAAGTTATAATAAGTAACGCAACGGCATTTTAGGAAATTAGAGAAATGTTAAGTATTTACTATAATTATTGATATTCCATAGCACTCTGTTTGTTTGAAATTGTGTAACGTGACCCCCAATAATACGCGCCCGTCACTGTTGTAGATGCGCCACTCTCATAAAATGCAATGATCGTCTACAGCGTTGCCGTTCAGATCTAGTATTCTTAAACCTATCAGTCCGTCTACAATATATTTTTCAATGTCCATGGAACAGATATTACGGCCCTGACATATAATTCTTTTATTTCATCGGACGACGACGGGGATGGGAGGTTCACCCACCTCCGCCGTTTTCCTTTCGCTGAAGCAGCTACATCGTGGTCTATCGGCAACCAGGTTTCATTTTTAATAAAAATTATTAACCCTCAACACGTATAAAATAGCATTTAAAGTTCGTCCGAACGTCACGTCATTCACGCTCCACTGCTTTCCACCGGTCAAACTTAATGAGTTTACCCTGTATAATTTACTTAATACAGCGAGCGATCAAACCTTGGTGCGTACAGGATGAAACGATGAACGTAACTCATTGAAACGAGGGATTTGTTTATACACATATTTTCGGCGGATTTCTCCGATATACAAGGCGTCTCAGAACAATCGGCACGCCGCAGGTTACCCTTTTTATTGTTTTTGCAAAATAATACTACCCAATGAATGATAATAATACATCAGATCCGAAAAAATTTTTACAAACGGTTTACAAATTATCAGAAAAAATGATTGTGTTCACTTTGACTTCCTATAGTAGGCAGATTTTTTTCCATCTACTTACTCTCCGTTTCATCCTGTAACTTAAAAAAAAACAATCAACACTTTCCGCTTACGTACCTAAAAATTTGGATCAAATATGTCCTACCCTTTTACATTTACAATGTAATTCGCACGTCGGTCACTGCGCGCGTCAGCATCGGTATTATACGGGGTCCGCCCAACAAATATACACGCAATTTTTTTCGCCGCATCACAATTCGCGCATTTACTGATCGGACCTCGTAATTTAAAACAAGGAGCCTCGTTTTGAAATTAAAATTGAAAACCTTCGGACACGCGGCGTTGCCAAGTAACACCAAATTTCGGCGACCGTCGGTACTATATTTCGGATTTCGCGACACTTTGAGCGGTTTTTGGAAATATTATTTTAAAAACTGTCGAATACGCAAAAATATTCCTTAAACAAAAATTCTTCTATTGAATGTATAATCGAAACGTCTCATTACATACGGTGCTGGACGCGAACCGGCAACGCCATGTCGCGAAACTGGCGTCACCTAACAGTTGATTTCTGTATCATTTTTGGGCAAATGATTGCCGACCGAGAAATTGTGACTCTGTATGAGGCCGTTGCTGACCGGAACGTCGCTCGCGTTCACGTTGGCGTATTTCTTGGCTTGGTTCGGGGTCATGACGGCCTTGGCGAGAGCAGCGGCGTCCAAGGACACGCCGGATTTTACCGATGCCCCCTCATTTTTCACCATGAAATTGTTATTGTGCTGTATACTGTTCGGCACGAAAGACGGCTGACCTTTGCTGTTCTGGTTGTCGGCCTGAAACGCAAATCCGCACATTTCTTCGATGACGTCACAAGACAGTGAATAAATACAAGAATAAAAGTAACTTTCGTGGATTTTCAAAGTTCAAAGTTAAACCGAAACTCACCGACGTCCTCTGGTTCTCCTCGTCCTTCGCATTATCCAGCAGCAGCGGCTGGGTGGATCTCGAGCTCGGCATGATAAACGACGTCTCCCAGTTATCCGAACCGTCGGGCAGCAACTTCTCCACCGACGACGTCGATTCGATGGGATCGGGCGTCGCGGGCGCCGTGTGGTTAGGTACCAGGTAATCGGACGGATTCGGTACAACCTGCAGGCAATTCTCTTCAGAATCGCTGGGCCTCATCAGCGTCGCGTCGCGTTCGTTGGAAGGTGCCCGATGAAAGACCGGCAACGGCGCGTTCATCACGTCCGGGTCCTGAGCGCAGTACCCCAACCGTTCCAATATGGTCGAAAAGCTCGGTCTGTGCTCGGGTTTGGGGTGCCAGCATTGGGTCATCACTCCGTAGACGGGTCCCGGACAGTTTTCCGGCTGCTCAAGGCGTCCACCCTGCACCACGAGGTCCATAACCTCACGGTTCGTGCACCCGGTGTACGGCATGAACCCCATCTTCATGATTTCCCAGAGGAGAACGCCGAACGACCAAACGTCGGTTTTGCTCGTGAATATACCGTCGAGGAACGCTTCTGGCGGCATCCACTTGATCGGCAACATCGCTTTGCCGCCCTTTCTGTAGTAGTCGGACCTGAAGAAATCGCGGGAATTGTGCACAAACCACGCACACAACAAAATGCGATTATGCAAACTTAACTGTTTTAAAATGAAATCTAAATTTGTGTGCTGTGTGAAATTTTTCCCTTCTCGACATTTAATTCCTATATTTTATCTCCATTTATCTCCATTTCTATCTTTCTACACTCTAAACGCGATATTTTCAACCATCTTTTACCTATAAACGTCCCTCGACATCCCGAAATCGGCTATTTTCACCACCCTGCCGGGTCCCTTGGTCGTCAGCAGGCAATTCCTGGCGGCGATGTCCCGGTGAATGAACCGGTTTTCTTCCAGGTACTTGCAGCCCTTGGCGACGTCAATCGCTATCAGGACGAGGTCCTTCATGGACAGCGGACTCGCCCGTTCCTGCAACGCGTCTGCTTAGAACGTTCCTGAATGGAGTTGTGTCAATCGCGATTGATTCGGTCACTTTGATCGAATCGCCTCATAGGATCGAACGACCGAATCCCGCTTGTTCGTAACGATTAGATCACCTTGTTCGCTCTCGCTGCCGCCCTGACCGGTCTAAAGTGACCGAATACAAGACGACCGATCGACATACTGAATTCTCCGGAATACGATTCATTTGAATGGTTTAAAATTTAAATGCATGACTGAGACAGGCCACGGACAAGGAATGGGAGTAATTGTTATAATTATTCTATAGTATTGAGTTGCGACATCGATTGGTAGATTTGCTTATGTGTTGAATTAAATATTGAATGAAATATCTATTTCCACACAGGTATTTAATTTAAAGAAATTAATGTATGACTGGTACAACCCAATACGAAGCACCTATTTTGATAAAATCATGACTCAATAAAAAGCAGGACACAGCTAAATATTATACTAACTAGAACACAAAACATAACATATAGACACAACAATAATTAAAATTCAAATTAATCTGAATCGGTCGTTCGTCGTGTTCGGATTCAGTGACTATTGCCGCTTATGTTGGCATCAAAAAGTATTGAAATGAATGATTGATTGAAATGATTCGGTACTTTTTGAAATCGGTCACTGATTGATTCGGTCGTCGTAAAATGAACTATTAACACAACAAGAAAAAAAAAAGAAAAAGAAAAAGAAGAAAAAACGATATTTCCAAAATAATTTATTTTTTTATTCAGTAAAAAAGTGGAACCCTAATTAAAAAAACTTTACTCAGACTTTTTTGAGTGAAATCTTTGTCTTTTTGCTAGAAAGTTGGGGTGTCCGGACATTTTGCTGTGTGTTTTTAAGGGCATATCCCGTTTTAACATAACACCATCCTTATGCTCCATGTGTCTTGGTATCGCCGTTCCACGTCCTTAATGTCCTGGTGAAACCTCTCTATGTGTTCTGTGCTCCAAGATTTTCAAGAAAATAGTTCAAGTGTGAAAACAGGAAATCGACGAACTCATATTATAACCTAAACGATGAAAGTCTTGTAACATATTTTGAACAATACTTTTGTAGTTGTCGTCCTTAGAGTTCTCAAGAAACTTATCAATTACTTCTTTAAATGAAACCCAGGCGTTTTTCTCAACATTGGGCTTTATATTTAAAAAATCCTTGTTTTTGAATAATGTTCTTACCTGCGGCCCAACAAAATGACGTTTTCTAGTTCTTTTGGGGCGGTAGATAGGTCGAATTGCAAAGTCAAGATTGGTATACACAATTTCTTTCTTATTTTTTCTGTTGAATCCTTGAACATTACAAGAACAACATCACCACTGTTATTCCTAGAGTCTCGCCATACCATAGGAACACCAAAACTTAAACATTTCTTCCTATCTTTTTGCCAGTTTCATAATGCTTCAATGCAAAAGGAACAAACAGTATGAGGGGCCCAGGACTTGTCTTGATCGCCATTTTTACACCAAAATAAGCGTGGTATACATTTTCACAAAAGAAGTTACAGTTTTCCTGCGGTTTTGTGCGACATAACTGCCACACAGTAGCACCACGACCAATAACAAGTGCGCATAAGCAGGTTACAACGCTGTGTTGACGAGTCTGCCCCAACTCTGTTGCTTTGCAGAGAAATCTAATATTATTTAGTGTTGCCAAATCACATTAATTTTATAAAAATCAATTCATTTAAAAATCATGCCTAACAAGGAGCAAACATATTCACGTCATAGGATATTCATGAAATAACATTTTTAAGATATAGAGCGCAATAAAAAAATTACGTGATAGAATAAAAATACGTCTTTTTTTTAAACGGCCCCAAAAATATACAAATAAGCAAATAGCGATATTTACCGGTTTCGGTCTTGACTCCCTGAGGAAGTTTTTCAGATCGCCGCCGGCGAGGAGCTCGAGCACGATGAACCGCGGGTGCTTGTCAAAACACACCCCGATGAAGTGGACGATGTTTGGGTGGTTGAATTTGGACATTATTAACGCCTCCATCAGGAAATCCATCTCGGCCTGAGACGTTGACATCTCGGGCAACGTTTTGACCGCCACCGGCATCTCGACGGTGTCGCAAGGCCTCTGCCGGTAGAAACCTTGGTAGACCTCGCCAAACGCACCTTGACCTAATGCCCTGGAAAGTGATTATGGAGATTAGCGATTTTTTGGCACTTTTATATCAGTATTTCAGTTAATATTAAAATTTGCTACTCGATATAACATTTCTAAGCTTTTTTGTCGGATCTATCACGTAATCTGTCCAATACAGGAAAACTTTGAATACGAAAATTGGAGCTATCGACGGTGCCCAATGTTCGAAACAAATTTTACCATGTATAATCTGATATTGCAGACGATCAGGCTGTAATAGCAGGGGATAAAGAAAATCTAGAATATATGGAACGCAAACTAAAAGAAACCCATGAAGAATGGGGACTAACTATGAATGTTGAAAAAACGAAATATCTATGCATAGGAAGGGAAAGTGGTAACTTACAATTGGAAAACTCTGCAGAAATAGAAGCTGGTGAAGAGTACAAATACCTAGGGGTTACGCCGGACAAAACGAGTTCAGATGACAAAGAAATTAGAAGTGTTACAGATACGAAAAGCAATTAAACCCTCTGGATTAAAAATATATCGAAACGTGGGAAAAACAATATATATAACACTCTAATTAAAAGTAACTTCATGTATGGTTCAGAAACTTAGAGAATGACAGAAAAACATAAAAGAATAACCCAATCTACCATTACTTAGAAGAGCAGCAAGAATATCAAGAACTGAAAGAGTTAGAAATGAAAGTACTCGGGAGCAAATGGGACTTCAAGAAGAAGAAGATCTGGTACGGCCATGTACAGCGTATGAACGATCACCAAATTGTCGGTCTAGTAGGCAGTGAATTACTTGCTTTTGGACAAATACGGGTGGAGATATTTGTTATCTGTCAGTTATTGTCAGCGTTGTTTCGACTTTTTTTATGAAATAACGTGCGTTAGGTACTTTCTAGTTTATTTTTTATTAACCTCCATAAAACTTATGATTTTTTTTGTGTATTTTAGATATGAGCAAAAATTGTTGGTAGGAGCCTATTTGCTGTACAAATCGGATTCCAACCCTACGAGGAGGCTGGCTTGATCACTAAAAGACCAGGATGAGGTCGAAAAACTAACCAACCAAAGGGAGGATCGATTTTTTTTGTCCGCAAGTTTGCGGAATAGGACACCTTATGCTCTTTGCCTTTGAAATCAACCAAATCATAATGTTAGAAGAAGGCCTCATGATAATGGATTGTCTTGTCGAAGGATGGCTACAGGGCCGCCATTGCACCAAACACATCGAATAGCAAAATTAACTTTTGCTCCAAATGATTTAGACTGAAATGATTATGAATGAATCCGATGAATTTGCCTCTCTAGGTCGGATGGACGTCGGAGAGTATAAAGGAGACCCGGAGAAAGATATGCCCAGGTTGTATTGATGAAAGGCTTCCATATGGTGGTGGCTCGGTTATGGTTTGGGCGGGAATCAGTTCAGAAGCACGCACAAAGTTGGTTTGTTAGTACACAATGGCTCTCTGACAGCACCAGGTACATTACGGAAATCCTGGATGATCATGCTGTGCCGTTAATAAACACTATGGGGGAAGGTGGCAATTTTATGCTTGATAAAGTTAACCCACACCGCCAAACTTGTCAGTCAATATCTGGATGAGGTGGAAATTAGGAGGTTTGATTGACCCGCACTCAGTACAGACATGAATCCCATTGAAAATATGTGGGATGAGATGGGACGATGTATTCGAAGACATACACCAGCTCCAAGAAGTGCCCAAGAGCTGAAAGAGTTATTTATACAGGAATGGAACAACATCGGCCAAAATGTAATCCGTAATTTAACTGAAAGCATGCCTCGTTGATTACGAGCAGTCATAAACGCAACATGTGGGATTACACGTTATTAATTTTCAGGTTTTCTTAATATCGTTGATTGTTGCACGTTTCTTTAGTTGCAAATAAAAATTAATTGGGTTTTATTTATCATAGATATTTTCTGGTTTTCGACAAAATCATGAAAACCAACATCAGATTTTCCGATTAAATGCTAAATTCAGATAACCAAATAGAGTAGGATAGATAATTTACCACGTATTAGTTCGCGATAAACTTTTTTTCCAAAAAATTTTTAATTTCTTTGATGACTTTTTTTACCCGCCAGTGTACACATAATCTGATGTAACATTTCTAACCGGTTTTGGTAGGAACCTCGCACACACTGTCCAATAAGAGAAAACCTTATATATAAAAATTTCAAAGATTTCATCAATGGCCGTGATACTGTTCAAAACAACTTGTCCCACGATAACGCTATTTCAGTTAGTTTTGGTTGGTTAGATAGTTAGTTAGCTAATCATTTACTCCTCAAAAAAAGTCAAGAATTTTTTCAGCATTTTAAATGCTTACTTCAAGAGCCTCAATTGTTCCCGCGGGATATCTTTTAAGTCCTTCAGCGTATATACGATCCCTCCAAATTCATAATTGGGGTTGTATTCCGTCATCATACCATCCGACGCCATCCGGAGTCGGTCCAGTTGCAGGTCCGGACCGGAAAGCATTTTCCTCCTCAAGAGACCCGAGGCCCTCTGTTGGTATCTGTTATCTGTAATCGATTGCGATTTGATTTAAAAAATGATTAAAGGCAACGATTTTCATAATAAAAAAGTGTTTGCTTATTTTCTCTTACATTTTTTCCATTGAAGTATTTACACATGAAGATGAACAATAGAAAAAAGTAAGACGCCAAAAGCAAAATACAAAAAATCAATTCTATATTAATAGATTACGATATTTCGTAACTTTATTTTATAGAAAATTATGGTTCCGAAAACGAAACAAAATAGAACTACATTGGGTAACCCACGATATGACTGGCATAGCTTGGGAGTGTGTTGCTGGGGTGATTTCTAATTAAAAATGTCAACGGAACGCAATTTAAACTGATCTACAAGCATTTGAAAGAAGACCATTTAAAAGAAACCTCTTGATTTTTTATTTATTTATATTTTATTTTATCGAATTAGTTGTTCAAAACGTCCACCCAGTTCCTGTATACATAGCCTAGCTCTTCTTAGAATGCAAATGGTAGTTCTGCTAACAGTCTCAGAATCAGCACGACTGGTCTCTGCAGCATCCATAATTCTAACTGCCAGTTGTTCTCTGTTTTCAATACTTTCTGCTAATTGAACTCAGGTGGCTTTTACTTGATGAAAATCCATTTATCAAAATAAATAAGAACTAAAAGTTCAGATTTTCACGAAATTATATATTTTGACATGACAATTGTTTCGACAACGCCGTGTCTTTATCACATTTGATAAAGACATGGTGTTGTCGAAACAATTGTCATGTCAAAATATATAATTTCGTGAAAATCTGAACTTTTAGTACTTTCTGCTAAACTAAAGTTCTCAGTCTCATTAATCATTAATATTGGAAGATCATTTTCAACGAAACATAAATAACGAATGTCGGTGGGACGTTAGAAATAGAGGCGGCCATCAATAATGCCACACCAAATAGTTACCGAAAATCTATCTCGAAAATGGCATTCCCAAGTTTGTCGTGGATTTTCAAGTGCCCAACAATGTGAATTGTTGTTGTTATTGATATCGTTTCTAGTGAATAGGGTAAGTCTTGAAGCATATTCAGCAGGTTTTAAAGCTTGTAAGATGTGGTACAAGTACAAATCGAAATTGTGTTAAGTTTTCCATAATCTCAACCGGTCTACGTTCAGTCCATTATCTATTCTTCGGTATAAGGTTGAGCTTTGTTGTTAAGTATTGTCTCTTCTTGAGCAAGTTCTTGTTGAACCGGTCGTTCAGAAGTAATTGTAGCACACCTGCCCGTTTCTGTGAAACATTGATTGCTAAAAACAGTTCTACAAGGTACTCTACGAGTGCGAAATCGTCGACGATATTCATCAACTGCTGCTCGTCTTGAAGAGTGGTTTTATGTAACAAACCAAAATAAACGCGCATAATTAATTTAATTGACATTTAATATCATAAGATTCGAACGTAATACTATGGAAGTCATGTTGTGGGACACCCTGTATATACAAGTCTTAACTTAATTGTCTTCATTTTTATTTAATTTATAAAATATGATTAAAAAAAAAACAACAAATTGTAGTTAAGTAAATAAATTAATGTTTTATAGTTCAGTTTAATGCACTAGTTCACTTCTTTTACGAGATATTTTTACTTATCTGATCACATGTTTAACAATTAACAATTTAACAATTTTTGTTTGATTTTATTAGTGCAAGTTTATCAATACAGGTTAAGTTAGAGGGCTATATGTGATCTAGTTAATCTCGGTGATATGGTCTGTTCATAGATATAAGAAAGTGACCAATTCCTTTTGAATGGGATTATCCAAGGGTGGTCATTAACATACAATGCAACAAGATTATTACCAAGTTTCGGAATTTAAATTCAGGTGAAATTGTGGTCCGTAATAGAAAATAATTTTATACCTACCTGTGTTTAATATTCTTTGGTTTGGTATACTACCTAGTTTAAGTTTATTAGTAATCATTCTTATTTCGTTTGAATCGTGTGGGAATTATGCAAAATATGTGCGAGTCTAGTGTATCTCAGGAGATGCTCCCGCCCAAGTGTAGAAAACACTATTCTAATACAGAGTAAAATTTACCAGTTACATGAGGAACAAAGCGTGCCTACATTAGATATCTTAATTAGGAGGCTTGAAAAAGATGAAACCGGTGTTAATTCTGGCAGAACTACCTTATGGAAGTGTACTCAACACAAAAAATTGACAAAAGGCAAGTTTTAATGGGCTTTTTTAGAATTCGGAAATGGCGACTGGAATATCTAGAAAAAATTAGGATTTACAGAGAACAGAGGCCAATTATTTACTTGGATGAAACCTGGTTCGACACTTATGATACCCCGGAAAAGGGTTGGGTTGACTCAACTCATAAGTGTAAAACAAACGCGCCATCAAAAAGAGGTAAAAGAATAACTGTTTTGCATGCTGGCTCTAAAGATGGTTGGATTCCAAATGGACTTTCTGTCTGCGAAAAATATTAAAGATTCTTCTCTGGATTACCATGAAGACACCACCGCTGATTTATTTGAAAGTTGGTTTAAAAACGAACTACTTTCAAACATTCCTCCTAATAGCGTAATTGTAATGAACAATGCAAGTTATCACAGTAGACAGTTGACTAAAACCCCTTCCTCATGTGACGCAAAAGCAACAATCCAAAACTACATGTATAATAACGACATTTATTTTCACGATTATACCAAAAAGCAATTAATTGAGGTTCTAAAAAGCTTGAACCTACAAAAGGAATACGTCTGTGATAATTATGCAAAAAATCTAGGGCATACAGTTTTAAGGCTTCCACCTTACCACTGTATGTTTAATCCCATTGAACATGTTTGGCACCAACTGAAATCTGCCATTTGTCGTAACAATGTTTTTCCCCGTGTTAACTCTAATGTCCTCAAACTTATAGAAACCGAAGTTTTTAACATCCCTCCACAAAGTTGGGCAAATTCTGTTAAACATATAGAAAAACAGAACATTTGTATATCCATATTGCCAATAATATAGAACAAATAATAATTAGAACAGACGATGATAGCGATAGTGATACTGATATATTATGTGAATAATTTTAAGTAATTTAAGTAGGTAATAAAAATAATTTGTAATTTTATTTTAGATTTATACATAAATAAATAAATATTATTTAGTATATTTCCTAACAAAACCCCAAATAATTAAATTCTAAGCAAAGTACGGACCTGTTCGGCCATATTTCATTCTTACAGCTTGCCCGGGTCTTTCCTTAATTCGTATCAGTTAGTCACTTTCTTATATCTATGAACAGACTTTCACTTGGTGTTTATCTAAACATAAACAAACCTAGGGTTGAATGAAATACATAAAATAAACCGACCCTTAAGTTTTTTTCAAGCCTTAAGTTAAATAAAAACAAGCTAGAATTAATTGAATTAATAAGGATAGTAGTATTGACAGCAAATCCTGTAAATGGAAAGTGCCACAAGGAAAGTCACATTATTTTAGCTAAAAGAACATTGCTTTGTCTGGTCGATACCGACTATTTAAAAAAAATCAACGGCGGGTCGTCGACCCTAAAAATACTCACACAGTACAAAGCAAACCACCCCGAATGCCACGGTGAGGCAAACCACGGTTACGATCAGACCGACGACAAACCACGGCGGATAATTCGACTCCCTCTGCGTCAAAAGCGCTAAAAATAAACCGTCACCGCGAGGTGTCGCTAGTATGGCGGGGCGTATCTTACGTATGCACGTTTGCTCGTCGTTCGCCAGCTTCCACGTAGGCGGACACAGACACACCACGCTGGACCTCTTCTCGTCGAGCGAGACGCATAAATAATTACACCCGCAGCCCTCTTCCACGGCGGGGATGATCACCACGTACCCTTCGCCCACGTTGTAGCCCGAATGGGCTTCGGACAAGCTCGGGATCCCTTTGGTCGGATCAAGGAACGAAATTCCGCCGCCTCCGTTTGTCGAGTTGGCGTCCCCTCCGCGGTAACCGCCGCCCCCGCCGCCGCTTTTGCAACCGCCTCCGCCGCCACCGAAACCGCCGTCGCCCCGGCCGTCCGTCGAGTTGTAACACGCTTTGCCTCCGATACCGCCAGCTTGTAGTGAGCTACCCATCATTTGCTTGGGCACTAGGTTCGCGAGGCCGCCGGGGGTGGTGGAAGTCCATCCGCCGCCAGCGCCTGCGGATCTATTTTTTTCGATATTTAAAAAAAAAAAGATATACGGCGATATTCACGAGTATATAAATGTTTAACAACTGCATCGACCCAGAGACGACGAACTAAGGCAATCGAAATCAAAATTGAATATTATATTATAGCATTTTAGATTTGTTTACCTCATAGCTTTAGATTTTGAAACTTTAATTTATATTATTTGTACAAACATAAAAACATAAAATGGACAATTACACACAAAACATTTGAGAGAGAATAGAGTACAAAAAAATTGAAGATCTAAATGTATTTCATTTAAACTTTTGTAGTTTGAGTAAAAACTTGGATAAGATGTTTAAGTAGTTTTAAACTAAGTTTTGATATTACCATTTTGACTGAAACGTTTGGGCAACAGTTTACTAGAATATTTAAATAAGTGTAAAAAATACAAGGTTCATATGCTAATCGGTGATATTAATATTAAATTATTAAACAATACTGAGCAACAGATATAATACTACAAATTACTAGACCAACCACTTGCTTAGACCACATTTTTCTTAAAGGACCGACCACAGTTCACGACAAATAAAATTCTATAATTTACAAAACGCTGTTGTTATGATGTCGCCTTTATAGATTTAAATAACAACCTCTCTAAGGTTGAAAAGACACTACAAAATTTAAAGCTAAAAAAATCACCTGGATAAGACAACATAAGGAGCGAAACCTTAAAAACAAGTTCTATAGAAATTTCACCCATCTTAGCCATCTTAATTAACAGAATATTCGATTCAGAATGCTTCCCAAAGTGCCCTTATTTAAAAAAGGAGACAAACTGGAAGTAGGAACATCTCGTTGTTGTCACAAGTAATGAAAAAAAAATGTTTTTTGACAAATACAACAATCCATCGAAAGATGGATTGTTGTATTCGAGTTTAGAGTTCGACTTTAGAGAAGAACAATCCACACAGGACGCAATTCAATTGCTGAATTCTCAAATAAATGATGCACTGGATAACACTGAAGCTTGCATGTGCCTGTTTGCTGATCTTTCAATAGCAATTGACACTGTTTGTCAAGAAATCCTTCTTAATAAACATAGAAGCTATGAGCCACGAGGAAAACTATATATTAGATATATTAAATTTAAAGCTTACAGGCACAGTTTTATTTTGTAAAGCAAAATTGTGGGATGATCTTTAGATACAAATCAAGGACAATATAAAGCTAAAGAACTGGTATCAACTTAACAAATTGACTTTAAGTATAGAAAAAACCAAATACATGCCTTTCTCAAGTTACAAAAATAATCTTCCAAAAATAGGAAGCTTAAAATTTGATAAAAAAATACCAGAAGCGACATCAATAACTTATCTAGATATTAAAATTGACAATGTACTTTTCTGAGGTGTGCTTATAAATTATTTAGTAAACAAATTAAAAGCGCTTCTTATAAACTCTAGTATTTAAAAAATTTCCTTCATATCAAACAACTAAAAAAACTTTATTTGTCTTTGGTTCAAAGTCACATGACCTACGGCATTCTCGGATGGGGTGGAACTTCATAAAAACACCTAGGCAAACAAAACCTAATAAAAAATAGTTTACCAAAATTATTTATAGTAAAGATTGATGCTATCCAACAAACACTTTATTCTCGGATAGCAAACTTTTAAATATGAGACAATTGTACTGTCACAAAATTTTAAAAAATATAAAAAAAGGAAGAATTAATTCAAACATTACTTCAAACGGCTCGACAAGAAGCGACTCATCTATATCCAACAGTTACTAACAAAACACATGGTCAAGGAAGTCTGAAGTTCTATTCGCCCAGGAAGTATAACATACTGTCGAGAGATATACAGAAAACAAAATCTTTTCAGTAAAGATTGGATCTTATTAAGAGGCCGACAGGTTTTTAGTGCTTTAATTGACCTTAAATACCAAAAATACCATTATAGGGCTTTTATTATTGTCTATCTCATGCTGAATATGACATAAACTCGGTTACGACTTAACCTCTGCTAGAACCAACTAATCCAACAATAACCAAAACAAACCAACTAATCGAACTTTGACAATACCTCGATTATAGACATTTTACACTTTATCACGACTAAAACAAACATTTACACTTTTTCACGCACAAGAACTCTATAAGCGCTTCAGTGACTTCCTTTAACGTTTATTAGAGAATAAAAATGTATACTTTATATTGATAAAATAAACGTTTTTATTTATTTATTTTATTAATTAATTTATGATACCAGAACCGGAACAAGTCTTAAATATATTAAATTCTTTCAAAAATAGTATACTTCCTATGTCTTGAGTATTAAAGAATTACTTAAGTTATGTAAGGAAAATTTGCAGTACATTATAACAAAAAAAAATATATCTCAATCTCAATTATAAAAAAAAACTGTTCTTCTTGTGCCAGGTGTAAATTATAAATTACAATTACAACCTTAGAATTCAAAAATGCTATAATATATTTTAAAAAATACTTTGAGGTATTTAGCACGATTGGAACAACTTGTACGACAAGAGTGAAATTTTAAAAAGTAACAACAATATGTCACATATTCTAAAAAGAAGAGTTTTTATATAACCCTGTATAAATAGTCGAGAAAATTCTTTGTGGCAGAAAACTTGGGGAAAATTTTCTAAAAATAGGAATTTCTGTCGATACCAACCCGGACTTGAATTAAAATGTGTTGTGAAAATTCATCAACTTTGTCTACTTAGGGCGTCTCATAATAACATGATGATCCTTAAGGTACAATTCCTTGGATGATTTCATTTTCTTTGAAACTGCTTTAGATATACTGTTGATTGTTTGTTGCATATTCAATAGCAAATTACGATTACTTAACTTTCAATTTAATACTAATGATTCAACAAGATTTTCTTTCTTTTTCTTTGGGTACCAGAACTTTTTAATTTTTTTGCTGGAAACAGTTCGTCGAATGGTGCAGAGTCAAAGAAATTTTTTTACTAAGAAATGAATTGCGATTAGAAAAATGAAAGCGCTGGCGAAAGTACAAAAATATGTTTTATGAAAAAAAGTGTTTACATGCACTGCGGGTTTCTACCAATCCTCGACAAAATATCTAAAGTAGTTCCAAAAAAGACGATGAAAAATCATTTTTTGTTTCAACATCTTGTATATCAAAAATTAAAATAAAAAAATTGCATAGCGTAATATAGTAATTTCTTGTTTATTATTATTGTTAACCCCTTTTTCATTACTTACTTAAAGGACCAGACGGCGCCGCTACCAGGCAAAACCGACATATTGATCGCCTGGCCGTGATGCGCCTCGTTGTCCAAGAAGAAACGGCTCATTCCCAAACCGCCACCACCTGCCGCTACAGCCACCGGAACCTTATCTTTCGTTTTGTTCCTCTGCAAACGAAAGAGTTATTCAAAAAACAACCCCCGCGCCCGCCGATACACGTACTATAAAGAGGAAAGTCGCGCCGCCTCCACCGCCGCCGCTGTCGTTTATCTGCAGTTGGAGCACGCCCCTGACTCCTCCCGAGATCGGCTCGTCGCGGTTACTCGAACACGATGAATTCGTCGTTTGGCCGAGTACCTACAATATAACGAGCCACACGCGGGTGTCTTTTCCGCGCATGCGCAAACGCAACCGACCTTGGGACACGCGCTAGAACCTTCCTGGCCGACGAGAATGTACATTTCCTGGCCCTTTTTCAGTTCCATGACGGTCCGGACCATCGCTCCCCTCGATGACCCGGCGGTGGAGCTGCCTTTGCCGCCGCTCGCACCCGCCAATATAAATCTTAAAGCCGTTAAAAAAAATTGTGACCAGACGAATACGAAAGAATCGAATGACTGAATCAATGACTGGCGACTCAATAGACGAGTCGAAAAATTAGGAAAAAATGTAGAAACAAATAAAAACCTGTCAATAAATGAACATAACTTACGCTAACGAACAAATGACTTCCTGCATGAATAAAAGAAAACTAATTACCTAATTGAGAAACAAAAAGTTTAATGAACGAGTTAGACTATAAAATAAAAAACGAACAAATTCGAGAATAAACCAGTTAATGAACGAATAAAAGAACTAGCGATGTAATAAATTACTGAACAAGTGAACGTGTCAACTAAAGACTTATTGAACGGGTACAAATATATATAAATAAAGTATAAGTCTGAGAAACTTACGTGTAAAATCCATTGCGCGGCACCACCCACTTTTGCACCCCGGTGAGTCCGGGCTCATGGAGGACTTTAACGGAGACTTTGGTGTTGTTGTAGGCCCTCAAACATTCGTGTTGCGTGGGTCCGAATCGGCCGGTTGCCTTGCAATTGGTAATCATGTAGACTGAAAACAAAAACCGTAAAAGTCGCGCGGCAGGTTCGCATTTCTCACTTACATGTTTTGTTCTTGAAATCCGGGTGGGGTTCTTTGGGTACCAAAACGTCGCTCCTCGGGTTCCAGTAGTTATAACCCTGCAGCTCGTCGGCGGGTATATTGAGGCCGAAACACTCTGGGCTGAGCGAAACGTCGTCAATGGCCAAATCGCTTAGGTACCGGTAGCCTTTCTTGGCCATGAAGTTGAGGAAATATCTGAAGCACCAAAAAGCGAGGACGTCTTTTCTATTTGCTTTATACACCTTCAAAGTACCTGTGGGTGATATTAGGCAGAATAAGCACCACTCGGACCCACTGGTCGCCGTGATCGTCCACGTAGCTCCAATACAAATTGGTCGTTTTGTTCTCGGTAGGCGTCAGCTCGATCACCTCGAGCAATATGCCGCTCTTGTGCTTTCCGGTTTTGTGTAGATAAAAACGGATCTGTCGTTTCGGCGAGAGAGTTAATTTAGAATTTTACACATTTACAAAATACATTTTTATATAACGATAAATAATCATGCAGATTTGTTGTTAAGAAAAGGCGCAACAGTTTTGCTAAAATATGGCTAAAGTTCAATATTCTTGGGCGGAATCTAAGTAGACTTCTAAAAACTTTACGCAATTTTGCTTATTCATCTTTATCTTCCAAAATCCGAACAATCTAAATTTGTATGTATTCAATTTTAGGTTTTTATCACTCTGATTCATTTTTTCAGCTATCATAAATCATTTACGTGTCGACACAGAACTGCCATTAGCAAATTAATAAAGTTTTTCATCGAGATTGTTTACTTAGATCGTCGCGTTTTTTGTCCTAGAGGGACGCATTGTTTTTCTATCGTGCTCCTGAGGACCAACTTTTTCAAATTCGATGTAATTTTATTGGGCATACACCCTGCATAAATAAAGTGACTTTCACGTCTCGCTAAACAATGATAAATGTAAAAATTTGTACAAATAATAGCGATTTCCAACGATATTTTCTCAAATATCTCGCGCCCCCTGTATGACAGACGAAATCTGAAACTCTCTCGATACAGCTTACGATACTGCTTAAACGAAATGATCCCATGTTTTATAGTTTCTCATTAGCGGCTAATAATTTTCAGGGTCTTTTTGATTTTTTGCCCATAATCGACTCACCCGATTGGAAAAATCCCGGAAATGGAAGTTATAGCCCTGGATCTTCCAAGAATGTTTCCAATAGAGCAAATGGTTTTCCAGAAAATATTTTATTTCTGAAACTATGCAGTACGCCGTAATAGTCAGTGACGTCATCGCGTCTAAATTGAGCGCGAGCAACAGCGATTTTCATATGGATTTCTTCAAATATCTCGAGCAGCGGGTGTGATAGACCAAAACCGCAAATACAAAAATTGTAGCCCTCGATGCGGCATATAACAGTCCTCGCATCGATTAGCCATATTTTTCACGAATTTTGATTTACGGCTAATAATTCACTCTGGAAAAGGATAATTTTCAGTGTCTTTTAGATTTTTGTCCATAATTTAAAAAACCCTGTACAAAATCGAAAAAATATCTGAAATAAAAGTTATAGTACTAAATCTTCCGCGTCTGTTGGTTAAAGAATTTTAACAATCGGATGAATGGTTATGGAAAAAACCTGTTTTCCTGGAAGCAAAAATAACCAAAAAAAAATTTTTTTTTAAACACTTAGTGACATTTGATTGCACTCAGTTTCTCTGCTAAATTTGAAGGCGATATCTGCAAATTTAGGACACTTTTCTTATATAGCACGGAATATCGGGAACACCCTGTACAATAGGTGAAAACCTTAGATACAAAAGTTTTAGCTGTCATATGAGCTATATCGTCATGTAAAAGAAACTAACATCTAAATCGCAGCTTAAACCCTTCGAAATTTATCGTCGAAAAACCCTGGAACAAGAACGGAGAACGGACAGATAAAAAAAAATTTTTTTTCGACGCTGATCATTTCTGTACCGTGCGTTCAATTTATCTTGATAACATTTTACTTGGCTGTAATTTTTAAGTTTTTAGAAATATCAAGGTAAACAAAAAAACACAATGTAGGGTTAGCAGCCAATTTTTCTCCTAGTGACTATAAAACAAAACGCTATCAATTTTCTGACATACGAGCCTACATCATATGTTTTTAACTGGAACACCCTGTATATTATACATGTGTTTGATAGAATATAATATTCCGATTACAATGATGTAACACACTTTAAATTTTAGTCAACTTGTTTTTGACATGTCGGCAAAAATAGGAAATTTTTATAAAATTTGAAAGAGTGCCGTCGCTGACTGCAACAACAATAAGTATTTGCAAATTACAGTAGAACAAAAAAGCTAAAAATGACAAGACACACTAAAGTAAAAAACTATTCTAAATACTACTACATGTGACCACCATTTTCCTGAACACATTCCCCATACACTCTAATTGGATGATGCCTTGCATTTAGTAACGTTTCTTGTCTCTTAACTGATTGATTGATCAAGTAATTTTTTCCCCCGAAAGAAAAAGTTAAGTCGGGGCTGTTGACTGGCCAATCCATAGTTCCGCCGTTCCTTATCCAACCCTTGAGATATTCCATGTTAAGAAAATTTTTAACTTGCGTAACATTGTGAGAAGAAGCAACGTCTTGTTGCCATATAATCAGCGCTGATATATTTAGGGGCAAATCTTCTATATATTCCGTGCTCTAAAAGTTAACTTTTGATCTATAAATATCGGACTCAAAATATGAACATCTATGACACCACATCATACATTAATTGATTGATACCATGGGTTTGGGTTTTTATTTCGTGTATTTGTGTAGGATTATTTAAAGACCAATATCGCGAATTTTGTCTATTACAACCCTTTCTTCTAGTGAACGAACTTTAATCAGTCCATAAAATGTTTAAAAAAAAAATATTATTATTATGTCTATTTGAAAAATCCAGACAGTGGATTGAGAAATACCTGTCGCTTTATATACTCTAGCAATAGGAAATATATTTGCCTTATTTTCTTCATTTAAAACATTATGATTCCGGCATATCTTTTTAGCATTTAATACGTTACTGTTTTCGGAAAATTTCTTTGCCAGCCTTGGAAATATTTGTATTGAAGGAGCTCGGCGTTCCTTTCACGGCTGCTAAATTTGCGAAAAATCATTTTAAGAATAATGACTTGGACAATAATTCTACCATCAACGTTGTTTACCAATATGTCAAACATAAACATATTTTTTAAATTATATAAAAATTTCCTATTTTCGCCGATTTGTCAAAAAAGAGTGGACTAAAATATAAAGTGTGTTACATCATTGTAATCGAAAGAATAAATTCTATTAACCCCATATACAGGGTGCTCCATTTAAAAAATATATGATGTCAGAAAATTGATAGTGTTTTATTTTACATGTCACTGGGAAAAAAACTTGACTAATATCGCTAAAAACAAAAAAGTTACAGCCAATTAAAATGTTATCAAGATAAATTGAACGCACGGTACCAATGGCGGTCCCGTAGGTTCTACCGTTACCAAGTTCGGGAGTTTAGTGAAGAGTGCATATACTTTCGAAAAGATTTCATCGATTTTTCGAAGTATAGAGAGATATACATACCGCGCACGAATTATAATATCTGGACGAAGAGTTTCCGTGCACTCTAGGTGGCGGATTGAAGGTAACGCTCTGCAATAGCGCTCCGCTGGCGAACTGAGACCCGTCTTTCAGCATGCTGACATACAGGTAACTGCCGGTAGTATTCATGAATGTGTGGTCAGCTCGCGGACCAGTAAAGTTACTCGGCGATGAACCGTTGTGGCGCGCCCATTGCAGTACAGTCTTGGAGTCTACGATGTTAGTCCAACCGCACCATCCCTCTTCCTCGAACGAGCACCTCGATCCGTAAGGCATCAAATCTAGCAATCGGCTTATTAAAGTCTTACGGTGGCGCCACTTATCTCTACAACTCACGACAATTCTGAGTCTCGTCGTCACCGAGCGGACAGTCTTCCGTGAAATCACAAACGCTGCTCGTATTTACGCACTCCATGGTCGTGTTGCACCTGTACTGAAGACGGGTACAGGTGTCGTCGTTTTTTACGAAACACTGGTATAGCTGCAGGTTGTCGAAGGCGACGATCGCGCCGCTCGCCGTGTTTTCCGACGGTACCACCTCGAGGATGATCGTGAAGTTGCTCGTGATTTTTCCCAACGACATTTCGTGTTTTTTCCAACCTCCCGAGTGTTCCCCGTGGATCTTGTCGACCAACCACTGCGTGTGATTGCTAAACGACTCGTCGTTAGTTTTGTCCCCGACGATTCGGATCTCACCCCCGTCCATGTACTCTTGGAAAACGTGCACGCGCAGCTTGCACGCCGCTGTCGTAGGCCCGAACAGCGGACTCGTCACGTGAAACTCTCTCGAATTGATCGGCAGGCGTATAAAAAGGAAACTCCCTGTTGTAAAGCAGTCGTTAGATACACGTCTCCACATGGGGCGTATACGAAAATTTTTCGAGGCTCCCTCGTACAACTGCGATCCCGCTTCGTCAAAACCGCGCAAGAGGGCACCGCAATCAGCAATTACCGATCGCCCATGTTATTTTGTTTATTATGTGGTATAACCCAACTTTTTTACGGTCCGTATACAAAAAATATATATCCCGCTCTAAGTCTGTACGAATATCGGAAATTGCACACGCCCAGTAATCATGTGGAAAAATCCGATCAATTTTAAGTGAGTATTTATTTACGGACGCGAAGTTTTTAATAACCGTTTTCTTTTAGGCACCTGGTCGAAGGAGGCACTGTGTTCGAAGTAGAGCCCCAATTGGAGGATGACTTGAACGACGACGCTCAGCAGGATTTAGAATATGAAAAAGAGCTGCACAAGTTTGCCAATCTTAACTGCATTGGGCAGTTTGATGATGAAGACGTCTACAATATGTCTGAACCTTTTGAAATAATCGAATCCAAGATGGAGAACATTCTGGAAGACGGTGGGATCAAAAAGAGAGTGTTGAGGACCGGTTATGGCGAGACACCAGGTGATAAGTGCATTGTGAGGGTGCACTACAATGGTTACATAGAATACAAAGAGGAACCTTTTGATTCAACTTACGTCCGAAACAAGCCCCACCAGTTCACCGTAAATAACGGCGATGTGTTGCCAGGTTTAGATTTTGCGGTTCAGAGCATGAAAATTACCGAAAAATCGCAGTTTATGATAAGACCGGAATATGGTTACGGCAAATATGGTTGCATGGATCGTATTCCTGCAAATTCAACAGTTCTTTTCGAAATCGAACTGCTCGAAATTATCGAGTCGGCCGCTGGCGAGAATTATCAAAACCTGCCGGAAGAGCAGAAAAAAGAGTTTGAGAATGTGTATAAATATTGTATATCCCAATGTGTGAAGGGGAAAGAACTGTTTGGGAGGAACATATGGGGGGCCGTAAAAGAATACAACAAGGCTGTTTCTTCCCTGGAATTTGCTCAGTTGCGAGAATATGAGCACCAAGTGAAACAGCAGGTGCTCCTATTAAAATTGTACTCGAATTTGTTGGTGTGTTACACAAAACTGGGAGAGCCGAAGAAGGGTTGTATCAACTTCAATAAAATCAACGCGCTGACGCAAGGTACCGATTTGAAAATATCCTCGAAAGTATATTTCAATAACGCGAAGTGTCTGAGGATGTTGGAGAACTATGATCTGGCCAAGAAGAGGTTGCAAATGGCATTCAGTTTGGAGCCGCGCAATCCGGAAATTCTTGAGGAAATTAAAACCATTGATGCCGAACAGAAAAACTACCTGGAGAAACAAGCCAAAATGGGCCGAGCCCTGTTACAGCAGTGAAGTTTTTTTGATAGATATCGCCTTACCCTTAATTTGGAGAATATGTTTTCAGAGAGGAACTGTTTTTTTTTTATTTGAATTATATTGTTATTTTTACTGCCATAAGTGAACTGTTCTCTAGAATAAAAGGCAAACAGTTTGTGTTGTTTGGACCCTTTTTAATAAAAATATATTCATTGATTTTTACCATACATGCCATGTTGCTGTAAATCCCCGGAATTTTTTACCAATAAGCTATACACAGAATAGTTTTATGTTTTGAAAGACATCGGTAAATTATGTATTTAAATCAACATATTACCCATAAAATAACAAATAGTTTTTTTTTTAACAATAGCGATATGGTTTGCAAGAAAGGAATTTTTTAATGCGACAATATTAGATCAAATAAGTGCCTGCTCCAAAATAGAGGTTTTTAACCTCGATAGAGCACGTGTTTTATAGTCGGGTGCTTTTTTTGTTGCTTTGTATGTTTCTGCTGGTGTAAATTGTAGTTCTGACCCAATAAGTGTTAGGATGTTTGAACTAAAAATGTAGTTAACATGCATATAATAAGTTGTGGATGCATAAGTAAAATCCATAGTCCAAACACGAAAGAAAAAATGAGGATAAAATCCAATATATTCATTTTTTTTTCTTTAAAAGAAATTTCTGGGAAATTAGGGCTAATTTAGATTATGTTCGAATAGACTTTTTTAAATAGTTTTTAATTTTCCTGGTTAAATTACAATACCTACATTTTTTCCAAAAAAAATTTTCACTGACATTTTTAATTAAAGACGAAACTATTATGCGCAGTTACCTAGAATTGAGATGAAGGAATGAAAAGGCACAATGGCTGTGCCGATGCTTTGTATTTGAAAGAATGCTCAAATGCATTCGACGTGGTTTGCATTCTATGCAAAAGTGTGTCAAATTATTTTAATTTAATTATGAAAATTTCAATATTGTTACATTAAAATAACACGCAAATGTTTTATTGCCCCTCGAGAATTATTTTCTCCCACCATAGCCATTCGTTTCCATTCCCTTTGCCTACATGCATCTTTTTGCATCACAACAATTTTATGAATGACTTATGCCGTCCCTTTCAGTTGGATAGTTATTTTGCGCTCAATTTAAGAGCACCCTTGATTTGAGAAGATCCATTCGACATGCGCATGCGCAAGATTTAAAATCTCGCCATTGACAGATCGTCAATAAGATCGAATGTAGCACTTTTACGGAAGAATTTTCTCAAAATATGCCTAGATCTTGTTAAATGTTCTGGGAAAACGACTTAAGTATGTGGAAATTGCAGTTTAGAAAGAAATGTGGAGGCATTCCAGGAAAATCATTGCCTTCTTCTTATATCAATGTCGCTTGCGACGCATCAATTTTTGTCATAGTAGGCCCACTATATCATCTAAAAGCTAGATGATCTCAGATGAAGAAAAACAAAAAAAATTTAGTAATCAGCTTATTAAAGTTTGCCAGTGGCTCCAACTACTACTACTACAAGTTACGGTAAGTTTCATCTTCACCGAGAAGAGACTCTTCCGTGAAATTGTAGACGCTGCTAGTACTGACGCAAGGTGAAGTTGCTCATGATTTTTCTTAGCGATGTTAACTGTTTTTTCATAATCCCTGAGTGTCCTCCATGGATCTTGAGAGGAACCGTTTTTATTTAACGCAGCAAATGTCAGATGGTGTATCCCTTATAATCTATCCTTGATCAATCAGTTCTACGTTATGTTTATTCATTTTATTCTTTTTGTATATTTTTGAGTTTCGATCTTGAAAATATCGCCATCAGAGTTTATTCTATTCAGTTCAGTTATTCATTTGGCTACGATCTTTAGTCCATTTCCGACTTCCTTCGTGGATTTTTGAGATTTCGGTCGCAGACTGACACATAAAGACTTTTCCTGTTGGTTATCGGAAATCCGTGTGCTACCATATCACTTATTATAAACGAGACAAAGGTCCACAAAACTCACAGAAACCACTTAACTCAAACCGAGACAAACGAATACAAATGAGTCTAATTTGACAAAGTCATTTGACAGTCTGCCTTTATTAATGAATTGGAACTATACATCCTAAACGGATAAGCAACCTCAGGAGGGTAATAACTGACGTTATTTCGATTCTATTTTTCAAAACTGTCTTATTAATGGAAAGTATGAAGGTTTTTCGGACTGTGGTATAGCATAATCATTTTCGTTATTTTCATTTAAAAACGCCGCGTTCGTACCGATTAACTATGGTGCGATTGAGACTTACCATATGGCCGACCGTTAGCGTCCACCTTTGGACCTGAATCGTTGCTCTTAAATTGAGCGCCTGACGTAATATAAAACCCGTTGGCGATGTCCTTCCTCCAAGTCCATTTGCAGTCGTTTTCGAAACTGCAGCTAACCCCCGAGTAGACGCTGTCGTCTTGTTTCTCTTTGATATTCTGCTGGTGCAGTCGATAGATTGGGTCAAGACGCGTTTGGTTCGTCTGCGAATGTACATTTTACATTGAAAATTAACTGGAAGTCGATTTAATATACTGTGCAAGTTTTGTTGATGAGAAAGTGTCGATTTGCGCATCAAATTTTATCTTTTGCAAATTTTAGCAACCAAAGTCGACTACTACCTTATATATTTATATATATTTACCCTGGATTTAGAATGCGATTTTGATGTTGCCTACATAAGTTTACATACAACTAAGTATTATAACGGCAGCAAAATAATAAGAGAGCTCAATTCATTTATATTGAGTGTTTTTTTTTACACCTACAATTTTAAGTTAGCGCTCTACCTGTTCAGTCGGGTTAGACTCGTTGGTCATGGCCGCGTCGCGTGCCATTTTGGTCCATTCGGCATGCATTTTTTGAATGGCCGAAAAGGATGTGTTTTTGGGCGAGCTTTTTTTGGACGTGCTTCTCCTCGTCCTGAAGTAGTTCGCCATCCTGTCGCTCATATTTTCTTTTACGGATTTTAGATTCCCAAGGTTTGTTTCGGTTACATCCGAGTGCCCGCCCACCGCGACTCCATCGCACTGCGTCAAGTGAAACACACAAACAGATATGAGGAGGAAGGAAGACATTAAGCGGGATCCCATGGTGGAACTTAGTTTACGTCGTGTAGCGGTTCGTCAGAGGTGCCCCGTGTCATCCTCAGTTCGAATCTGCAACGGACGTAGTAGGTGATCAAGTTTATTAGAGGAGACCCGGTGAACGATTTTTGCGATTTGTGTTGAAGTTATTAAAAACACAGAGCAGGATAAGTTTGTTCCTCGGCAACACTTTTATATATTAATCGTTGCATCTTCAAATAATTAAAGCCAAAATTTACAGAGCCATTATTCATGCGGGTTTGGTTATTTGGTTTTCTAGTTATTTGCTAAAAAAAGCCAATAATGGCGGTTGCGAAAACAAAAACTTATTTGACTAATTGAGTAAGAATTTAGGTAGGTTATCTGCTAAAATAGCAATAAGTAATAACTCAGGACAACTTATATTTTTAAGAAAATGATAGGAAAATTGTAAATATTGTAACTTATGCAGAGGATTATGCATCTATTCTATTAATTCTCTTACTGGCGGATCATATGCCACAAAATGAGATTTCAAGGGGCTAAAAGTAAAGCATCAGGATCAAAACTATATTTATCATTTCTCTATAACAATGCTGTTCTTAATTTTTTTTTTTTTTGGTATTGCTTTTGTAACTTTAGGACGATAGTGTAGCATTTTATTTTAAAATGTTTAAAATTTAAAATTTTTATTGTGTATTTAAGTGACGAACAGACAAAAAGTTATGCTTAAAGTCTGTATAAATTCCAGGGAAATACCCAAATCTTATGAAAGTCTATAAATCCATGTATAAAACTTCTATGTTTATAGTTCTTTTTGTTGGGGCATCTTTGTCGTTAAATTGTAATCTCTGATATCCAGCATTCAAAGGGAGTTACTTCGAAAGTAATACCTTCCGGAAATACGCGCGGCGATCACATAGCCAATTTTTTTTTTACTCAAACGCCGCAATTCATTCGACGAACGTTTAACTACCGACAAAATATCCGGGGGTGTGCTTAACTTTGCCCTTTAACATCCTTGTCCCGTCTACGCACTGCGATACCTCGAAATCGACCAGCAAATTAACGCTACCGCACCGCGAACGGACTTATACCTTACAAGATGAAAAAAAGTGGCTAACGAGACATCATATTCCCAAAGTAATCCAGCGAAAGGGAGGCTAACAGTAGCGGCGGCAGCCACACAAAAAACAATGTCATCAGCGCGTATATATTCGGTCTGTCACGACGCGAGCACAAACGGCGCTAAACTGCGTCCGCGTAGCGTCTTTAAATTTTAAAATAAATGGCAATCTCGCCACCGAACGACTCGAGTGTGTAAAAATATCCCGTCGTCGCAACCCGTAGGATGTTGTGCGCGTTAAAAAGCGACGGATCTCCGAGACGGCAGAGACGGTCGGAGGAACGAGAGAATAAGATGCTTCTATCGATTTTGCGACGGAGGATGCTGGATAACCGTACTGTCAGCGCCATCTGGCTGGAGGCTGCCGCACCGGTCGAGCAGGAAGCTTCGTCCTATTCTTGGATTATAGTCGCCAATTTACTACGCTGCTGACCACACTTTTACGTGGCCCTGAGGAAGTCTCAAAAGGGACGGTGCACGGCGTGTGGTGCGTGGTATTCAAGGTTCCATCGATGTCCGTAAATTTCTGCGAGTCAAAGGAGGCAAACTCACTAACTTGAGCAAGGTTCATGCGGTTTCGTCTTTACTCGGTCTCATTCAAACCGAACCGTGTAAAACATAATAATCGCTAGTTCAGTTGTTCTGCATCAATTCTGTCGATCAATCAGAGGGAGAACTATCTTATACGACCCGTGGAAACGCACTTTTTGCTACATACTGGAAATATGATCAAAAAATAGCAGATTCCATGAAAAAGGTTGTTATATGAAGTTATAGACAAATTCTTGCATGATATTTACAAGCCAGAAAAATCAATAAGTTCCCTAATAATTGTGCGTTGTAGAGTTTTTTCTTGTAGTACATAGCCACTATAATGTGTGCTTATGCAAATTTATAAGTCGTGTCTTAGCAAAGACACGACTTATAAATTTGAACAAGGCACGTAATGTGCTGGTAACCTTAGCTTGTAAAATTCCGAAATGCGGTGGTTCACTAACAATTTTTGCTGTGTATGGTTAGTGAAAAACGGCGCAAGAACAATATCTTACGTTGAAGTCAATGTTATCGTATTTGAATCGTAATGTGTAGAAAGCACTTCCTATAAAATGAACGGCCAATTAAACTCGGACAAGTTTTTCGCCAACTACAATTATAAGTTCTCTACAATTTGTTAACGGATTATTTTCCAACGTTTCTTAAGGCTATTCCCGCCAACCTGGTTGGAATAACTAAATAGCAACTACATTTAGTGGGGAATCAGGGGACATTTGTGCTTCAGAGGAACGTGACAACATTAAGAATCGAATGATCTTTTCGATATAACCAATTTTTGTTTGCCGCCAGAAACAATTTAAATAAAACGCGTTCCAAGAAACTTGAACGCGCGGCAATCGTAGCGTGATTACAGAATTATATTAGTAGTGTATATAAGTGACTTTTATTGTTATTTTAGACCGAATCAATTTGCAGTTCCGTTAAGTTTTACGTTTGATGAACCCAAACAGTTATAATCGATTTAAAAATGTTATATGTAAGACAGAGTTTGCATTTTGTTATTTGTAGTCCTGAAATACCCGCCCCACTCTAAGATACCCAATTATGCAAGGATCAAGCATGCTCAAAAGTGTCACTTAAAGACGTCAGCTTCGCTAACTGCTGAATTTGGGTGCGATCGGTTGTCTTAGGTAAATTTTGGCCATACTGTTGTTGACAAAAATTCTATACTCATTCATTAAACAATGGCTCTCCTAAATCATAAATGAAATAGAAGGGTGCGATTGATTTGTATCAATTTTAAAATGTCTTTGTTTCCGTCGTGTTTTTATTTTATCTCAGGATTCGAATTACACCAGCTATGAGAAAAATACATAACTGCTCATTGGAGACCAGTAGTAGTAAATAAACACATAATACTTTAATACTTCGGCAATACTTTTACAAAATTTATTTAAGTAGATCGGTTAAGATGTTCATTGTTCTCATTGTATTTTTCATATATATTTACTGGACGTTACGTAACATGTAAATTTCATTCAATTCTGGGCGTTCCCCAACAGTAAAAAGTAAAACAATTACAGAAGAATGAAAGTCGATCGGAAATACAGACGTTAGTACAACCCCAATGCGGAAAAAGATGTCATGGGTATACATCAGAGACACTTTGACATCAAAAGAAGCAACAAAGCCAAGAAGAGAACTCAATTGCAATATAATAATTCTTGTATACCAAGTTTTTTTCCTCTAGATTCCTTTTTGAATCCAAATGATTATGACGCGTTCGCTAACATTAGTCATATTAAGGTGCATGTGGATTTATAAGCCATAATATGTACGTACGTTATAACGTATATTTTCAATAATTCGAGATAATCTCACAAAAATCCCAGCTCCGTATTCATTTTACGGTACCGGCAATCAAAGAAAGGATTTTCTCAGACATTTTCGACACGAACTTAGGTAGCCTAAGTTAGTTAGCAACCAGAGTGTCAAGGACGACTTTAGTGGTGCACACGAACGTCTCCCTTAACCAAAATTTAAATGTTACGTTGTGCTATATAGGTGGCTTCCAAAAACGGTTGTGACAACGACCGATTGTAGCGGTATGATACAATTATTGATTATAAAATTATGTAATTTACCATGGCGTGAATAAATACGATAATTATTGATAATCATTAACCGTCTATCGAGAATAACACAAATACAAAATGCTACGAGTTTTCGCTCGTGACAAATTTTATCGACATATCTTGGATAACATCCACATCCGTTCAACACGCTATCGAAATAATTCGCAAAAAATAACACGCGACCATTCATCGTTCGTAATTCGACCTAACCGACGGCAACATGGTAGTCGCCCTCAGCGCGAAATCCATCAAATTCATGGACCCTATGGCGAAATACTTACGGTTTTGGGGCACTCTTCCCGACTATGACTACGACAACGATAGGCTCGCCAACGTCCGTCCGTACTCGGCTTGCTCGGTCGTTTTGGTGGCCGCCATCGCCGCTTGGACCGCCATCAACGCGTACCTCGAATGTTCCGCCGACTTTCACGTCGACGTCGTCGTCAAAATCGTTTACTTCGCTTCGCAGACGTTCGGGCTGCTGAGCATTGCGTGCTGCGCATACGACACGATCACAAAGCGCCACCTATGGGAGAAATTTCTGCGCGAAATGTCGCGGCTCGAGTCGTTGTACGGGTGCGCGTGCGCGTCGCTGTTTTACTCCACTCCTGCATTCCATTTCGCGTTCGGCAACGCGTTCCTATTCGCGTGCGTGACCTATGAGTTCTACGACAATGCCGACAATCTCACGTTCGATCAGATGCTTACCGCCGTCCCCTCCCTGGTTGGTAACCATAAAGCATCATTAATTTCCGAGCGGTATCGACCAACCCCAATCTGGCGACATGGTTTACGGCGTTAAGGTAAAAACACATTGAAAGCAGGTTTCTTGCTTACTGGTAACCTGCGCCGATTGGTACCGAATTCCCGCACTTATAGTTACAGCAGAAATTAAGTAACCTGCTTGTTTTGACATTTTTATATGCTTATCTGAAGGTGAATTAATTCAATGAAATAAGAACAAAAGTTGGTGTTCACCTTTTGACGAAAACCGACATTTTTTTCATTCACTAAGAGATGAAAAGAGACGCTTTTTCAGTTCAACATCTAATAAAAGAAACTGGGGTAACCACAGGCAACCAATTTTACCAATGTATACGATAAAGAAAACATTCCAGAACTATCTTATTTACCTTACTACTGTAAAATCACGATTTGTATTAATAGGTGATGAAGCAAAGCAAATTTTAACTATTGGAAAAGAATGCCTTACTAAACGTTTGTCTCGTACCAGAAAAAGTATTGAATACGTATTTGGTATTGTTGGTTAGCTAAATGGCGATTACTGTTAAAATATTTTAATTGACAGAAAAGGATTTCAGCAACATTTAAGTGACGTATCTGAAAATTTTTCTGATAATAATAGGTGACAAGTAATCGGATATGAATCGAGACGTTTGCGCCTGCTTTGGTCACTTCACTGGGACAGACAAGCTTGAAGATTTGCAAATTCTCTGCAAAGACGGCATAAAGAAAGAGACATAAATTTTACGTTTTTTTGACGTAACGTAACGCATTATTTTTCGAAAAAACTGCTACAAAAAACTCAGAAACACAAAGAAATAATTAACACCTAAAACGAATATACTTAGAATACTTTCACTACATAATTAGAAGAACTAAATATGCAATACTACAGAACTTTGCTAGGAAAGATGAAGGACAGGAAATAATTAGGGGATGGTTTAGAATGACATCAAAACAGCGCCTAGAAGGATAGCCATGATGATATCCAACCTCTGCTAGAAGGGACAAGAAGAAGACCTAATGGAACGATCACTACATGACGCTAAAATAATTAGGGATATATAAGTAAGACATTTTTTTAATTATATATGTCAATAACATTCCTATTGCTGTGCGTGTTATTCCTCTTATACCATAAGGGAGTCCTTTTGTACACTGTCCTTATTCAATAATTTACATCCATTGAAAAACCTGCTTATCCAACCAGCAAGAAAGGACTAAATTTTCATTCCGGGCAAACCAGTAAGCTGGCAAGTTCGAGCCTGTGTTTATTGTGTTATATGCTTATATAGGCCGCCCGGCGCTGGTGGCTAGTAATCAGAAAACCTGCTTCTTTCGCTGTGTTTTTGCCCTAAGACTCTTAAAAATATGTTTCTTTTTGGCTTTCGCTCTATAACGCTATATTATATGATGGTGATATTTTACTATTTTCTTATATAACAAACTGATGCCAAATCGTATAAAAAAAGGCTATTTTTTCGTAAATTTTTCATTTTCAGAAAAGTGACCTTTATTTTAACCAAGGATTCCAAAAATGACGAAATATACAGGGTGTTCCATTTAAAATAACAAAGTTGATGTCTGGGCGAACACTTTTGAGGCATGCTGTATCAACAAAATTATAATATTTTAAATCTTCAGGAGAATCCAGGAAAGTTTTGTGCGATTTTTTTTGTATCTCCTATGGGTTTTCAGATCGTATAGTAGATCATTTTTTTTTGGCACACGGGGTACATTTTAATTACCCAAGGAGAATATATTAAGGCAACACAAGTAAAGCTACAAGATTTTCAGATCTGACTTACGTAGGTGGATTTGAAATTTAAGCGACATTTGTGAAAATGCCTTCCATCGAAGGCCGTTTGCATCTACAAATTCGATACAAAAAATCCTCATCTCCAACACATGGATGTTCTGCCTCTCTTTCTTAATGAATGAATCTGCTTGTGTACTCTTATGTGCCAACCTTCTGAGTAATGAGTAATAATTCTGACTGAATATCGGTCACAGGAATATAAAGTACTGAAGCGATAGACCAGCATTCTTCTTTTCAATTTATCTACTAGCGATATGGTCGGTACCGGTTGGAGATTAATTTGCGCTTTGTTGGTGTTTTACCATCACGGCTTCCTCGTTTCGTTCACGGTCACGTGCCTGTCGCTGAACCTACGCGCCAAGTACGAAGCAATCGGCGAGACGTTGGTGTCGTCAACGTCGCACATGATCCGAAATAGTGGAGAAGCCATCGTGTCTCTCGCTTCGGCGGTCGACGCGTTCAACGTTCTGGTTGGCAAGCAGCTGCTCTTATTGCCAATGTTCGTTTCTGCGCAGATCTTGAGCGACTGTCTCGACGTTTGGAGGTCGAGGGCTCCCGGTGATTTGGAGCTCGTTACTGCGTACCTCCTCGCCCAAATGGTGAGTATGATTACGAAACGCGATGAGCTCTTCGACCGGATATATATATATATATATATATATATATATATATATATATATATATATATATATATATATATATATATATATATATATATATATATATATATATATATATATATATATATATATATATATATATATATATATAATAGTTATAGAGTTAAGTCCAGAAAATTTAAATAATAATCTAGTTTCGTCTGTATGGTAAATTTTAAGCAAAAACATCATCTACGTAACTTTTACTCAGATGATGTTTATGTATAATATTTTCTAAATTGTCCATGAACATTTCTGCAGATTGTGTACTAAGTGGGTTTAATTAATACTTCTTTAGAACTATAAAATTGACCATTGAGTTCAAAATAATTTTGGTATAAACAAATTATTAAACTACCTAAACAAATCTTATTTTATGATAGAGTTAATTTGTCTCTGAGTAAGAATATTGTCTAGAAAAAAGAAACTACAAACTTAAACGGCATATTCTTTTCGTGTAATTTAATTAAAGAATACAAATTCGGAGTTTAGAGATTTTTATTATTACTTGATATTTTTATTTGTTATTAAAAAGTGATTAATCTGTAATTACAGTTTTGATTTGTTTTTAATATAGATTGGTGGGATCATATTGTATACGTTGGTATAGGTCTGGTTTAAGAAACTGTTTGGTTTTTGTAATTTATTCTAGACAATCGATAACTATGACTCTTACTCAGCGTCAATTGATTTCAAATAATTCATTAAACTCCGGATTAATTTTTAACTATTAGCCAATTATAGTTTTACTTAATTTTTAAATTATAAATTTGTAAAAATAAAAAAGCTCTAACTTACCGCTAATAAATAAATAACTAATAAATTATCGAACAAGTGGCAATAGACCATAACTTGGAAAAGACTGTCCAACTCGCAAAGTGGCCATTACGTTCCTCTACCTGACAAGAGAGAGCCGAAACAGCCGGACAGTGCAACCAACTGAAGCTTAGAAATCCCCTAGCCCGTCACTAACATTTAGCTGTTTCCTACTTGTTCAAACTTTAGGGGCTTTAGGCATTTTTATGGGATACCTGTATCTCCAAGCTCGCTTGTCAGCGTAATTAATCTACTTATTTAAATAGTAACACAACAACGAGCATTAAATATTTAATTAGTGCGTGCAAATGAGTTTTCATGCAGTCTCGACGGTAACCATGTCACAATCCACTCGATGGCGGCCATGGACGCGAGATTTCTACGGCCCATCGTCAACTATTTGGCCCTATGGCTTATCGTACCAGAATACGATTTCGAAAAACGCGAAATAAGCGGCAACAACGTCAAAACGGTCGTCCGTTCGGTTACGATTGGCCTGTCGATTATTGCGCCTCTCGCATTTTCCATCTACGCAGTGATCGCGATAGAAACGAGCATCGGGCCATACCTGAAGGTCGTCGAAGTCGTCATTTTCGTGCTCGGTTCATTGGCGGTCGTGACGCACGTAGCCGACATGATGGCGCGACGTAACGAGTCTCGAAAGTTCGTCCGTCTGATGTCGTTACTCGACGAAACGTTGGGCCCTATAGAACCGGGATTCTACGCAGCCTGCGTGCGCAGGTAGGCGCCACCGTGTTCTTAGTTATGTCACATTTAATCACAGATCATAGAACCCAATGAATATTTTTAGGTTTGTGCCTTATACCAGCAAAGTTAAAAAATTTTAGGAATATGACCATTTGCATAAACTCGGTGGCTGTATTTTTTGCTATTAAGATGGCTGTATTTTTATCTATGACAAACTTTCCTTTACCAAATTTTTTAATCCGAAAGAGTTATAGAATGTACATTTACAGTGACAGGTATCATTAAATGGGGTTATATCGTAAATTTCAGATAAATTGGAATGAGTTTTTAAAAATTCCATACTTCAGTTTATCCCGTTTCGTTCCTCAATGAATGACAGGAATGTGATAGCCGCGTTACCACAAGTATTTTATTAAAATAATAATAATACTATTAAATATACATGATGGCGATCGGCAGATAATTGAGATTTTTATTATTCGAAGGTCAAGTAAATAATACACTCCATAGAAGTAAAAATAATGTGAAAATAGATAAATTGGGATAAGTATCATTTTTACTGTTTACAATACAACTTCATTTTGTAAATTTTAGCCATCACATTCAAAGTGGTCAGACAAACTGTAGTCGTTGGAGTCCAGTGATATCTAGCATGTTATCACATTCGACAGCAAAATTTCGTACAAAGAGGTTTATTCAAATTTACAATTTCCAATAGCTTCTTTTTCAGCGTAACTTTCTAAAATTGCTTCTTATCTGGAGTAAGCTAATAAATGATGTCATTTTTTCTCAAAAAAACGTGGGTAGTATTTACAAATCTTCTGGATTCCTCATCCGTGGGTTTTTTCAAAATCAAATTTACTGACGTTTCGCCAATCATCATGTTGGCTTCTTCAGAGTTTAACTGTAACTGGCTGGCATTCGAGGCTGTACCTGCTTATTGTTTAAGGGGCGGAGCTAAAGGGGGGGGGGGGGGTTATGAACATTGTCCCGAATGATTGATTCCCATATTGGTAAAAAGTGACCTGAATCGCTGTTAAGACTGTTTGGTTGCTTATAGATTTCTATAGATTCTCATATTTTACATTGCTAGAAGAATTGATTGTATGCAAGAATTTTCGTTGTATCCAATAAGATTTCTTCTACCAACGAAAAATCCGACAATTTATAGAAATCTATAACCAACCAAACAATCTTCTACCTGCTACTCTCGGGACCCTTGAAAATCATTATACGGCTAAGATCACTAAGTTTTATAGTTCAATAATGATTTCTAATTCTCTAGCCGTAAGAAACAGAGCAAAGTGTTATCCTCGCCAAGCCAACAAATAATTAATTACAACTTTAATACACCGTACGAAAACTGAAGTCTTTTTTCTTAAGTTGCATTGAGAAAGGAAGCTAACTATAATGTTGAGTATTTACAACGATGTTCGTGTGCACAACCTTATAAAGCCACTGATTTTCTGGAAAATTGTGTGTGGGAACGCAGTTGTTACCAATTAACTTAACAGGTAAAACTTAGATAGGCTGTAGGTTATCGGTCATTTTTAAACTTTCTTATGTGAGGAGATCCACAAAATAACTTTAACCTTAATAATCAAACAAGTAAATAAATTCTGGCACACCTGTGTCCTTTGCGCTAATTTGGCGACTCACAGTATAAGTGGTTGGTAGATGGTTAGGATTTACCTCTTTTCTAGCCAGACTAACGTGGCGTAAAGTAACCACACTCGTATGTATTTGACTCTTAAGACTCTTAGCACGATAACTGTTCTACTAGTATTTTTATCAAAAAATAATTCTGGTGGAAATGAATGTATTTTTAGAAAACAGGGTATAGTGTGTGTTTAATTTTGTGAATTCTTGTTTTTAAAGGTTGCTTTGACACTTAGTAAATGTAGTTATTAGTATTCGGATGTGTTAGTTTTGGTTATTTTTGTATTCTCTAAACATTTTTCAGCAACTCTCGTACATTTAGGGCTAATAATTTAGGTGACATTCAAATATTTTTTAATAAACCATTCCATTTTTTCTGGAGTTATTTAAATATTCTTGACGAGCTTCAATTTTCTGTAAAAAATAAAGCATGCACATTTTTTTCACTTCACAGATGCCTCCTGTTCGATATTTAGTACCTAAACGCTTTGTGCCGATTTTTACGTACAAATTATAAATTATTTTACAGTAAAAATTGCTGTTAATGTTATCTGTCAAATTTCTTGCCATTTAGTAGTTCCAACGTTTTCGAAAAAAAAAAAGAAACATGCAGAAGTACATGTAGAAATTGCATGACAAGCATGACACTAGACCCGTCTTATTAGGCTACAGTAGTTCATATAGCTAACTTCTGCATCCGCCGTCCATCGTGGGAGATCTTGTGATAAAAATGTTAATTTTGTTTTGATAACTATTATCATTTAAAAAACAACCTTTTAGAATCTCCCCACCTCTTTTGACGTAGGTTCATTTGCTGCAACGTCGCGTTCTTCGCTGCCGTGTCATACGTCTGTTATCAATACGTCGTCCGCATCGGCGCAGTGGACTACATAAAACATCCGCCAGAGCTGATACTCGGCTACCGCAATTTTCTGCTTACATTCGTGTTGGTGCACGCTGTACAGAACATGCGACTCAAGTGCCGCGCTATCAGCGACGCGTTAAAAACGATCAAATATGACGGCGAGGGAGCGTCGGTCAGCAAAATTAAGACGTGCGAGTCCGCGTACCTCTTGCTATCATCCGCGCAGGCGTCTTTTAACGAGTTCTTCGGCCGGCAGTTGTTGATAATGACTTTGTATGTGGGCGGGACCGCTTTGTTCCTCTGCCTCAGGGTGTACGTCGATCCGTCAAGGTTGCCGACTCTTGCACCCGTTCTGTCGTTGGGAATATTGATGGTGAGTTCCGTGGACATTTCACTGGAATGGTTATACAGGGTGTTTCGGAATTGACGTGGTCTCTGGGAATCTCTTGCCGAATCGATATTTGGTTTGGTCAAATTTGAAACTACCGTTTAGTATGTTCCCTGAACTAAAAACGGCAACTTATAATACTTATAAACTTATGCGTCAACATGACCAGGAAAAAAAGAGCCGTTGCTTAAGATAACATCAAAGCGAGCACAATTGTATGTTAGTTTAATAATCAAAGTGTCGCACAAAGCGAAGTTTGATATCACTATTCTGACCATACTATAAAAATAAAATAACTAATTGTCAGCGCGAGGGACGAGTCTCATGATATACGATCATGCAATTGACGTCTATGAGCAAATTGATTCTGAAGATTTATGGTGAATCAGCAATTACTTTGAATGAACTGAGATAATTTTCACTTCATAAGAGACCCACTGGAAACACTTGACTAATTGCAACGTCGTAAATAGTAAAGACAATGGAAGTCCAACATATCTTATTATGACCTTCAAAAAATTATTTTAGGCTTTCCGCAAACGGAATCTAGTGGTCAGTCTTTTTGTGAATGTAACCAAATGGCAAGTGTAGGGTTCCTTTGGGATTTATTTTCTTTGGAAGGTTGTACTAAAGTTGTAGTAAAACGCTTAATATAACTAATGTGAAAATAATTAGAGACAAAAGCAGACGTAAGGTGTTTTAATCAACGACCAATGCAAGAGGAATCAGAAGATTGGTGATTAGTATTACAATAGTATTTTTTGTGAAATTATTATTATTTTCTCTAATATATTCGACACAGCTGGTAGAATCGTTATTGGTTGGGAGATTTGAAAAATGTTTAGAGTTAGTCATTAGGCAGTGGCTTAACATAACCAATTTCTAGTTCTTGTTGCGTATTTTCAGACAATGCAGTTCGCGGTGATGCTGTCTTGCGATCTGGTGATGAAAGAGTCGGAGAAAGTTTTGGTGCTGTGTGTCGAGCTTCAAGAAAAGTTTCCGGAAGATTCGGCGGAGTACCACGAACTCCGGAACTTATGCGACAAGCTCACGCTAAGAAAGATCAAGTTCACGGCCGCGCACTGCTTCGACGTAGACAGATCGACGATTTTCTCTCTGGTCAGCAACACCGTCACGTATTTTATAGCGATCATACAGTTCATAGAGAAGGATTCGAAACACGGCGGAAAGAATTAAGAATGTGATTTTTACGAAACATTTTGTTATTTAAGTTTGTAAGTGTGGAACTTCAGAAAAATTTATCAGCTCTTCAAGATCTGTTCCTTTGTCTAGATGATTTCATTCCTATCAGATCACTTTAACTTTCAATCCCTTAAACTAAACAAAAAGGGAAGGGATAGATACACACAAAAGTGAAATGAGGACCATACTAAAAGATGCAGAGTTAAACGGAGCTCACGTCCACAAAAGGCGGACTAAAAAGAGATCAGGTCCAAGAAGGGATCAGATATTTGGACAAAAAGATCCATCAACCATATTTTATTGAAAGCAAACAAACAGGATTCGATACGATCGAATCATTAACAATGAAACGCTGCCCGAAACGGCAGCAATCCTAAACCGAAAATTTAATACTGCGAGGCAATGGTGATGTGACATCAGTTTTTTGAACGTCTAGACGTTCACGCCGCTGATCCTTGCCTGAAGATTTCCGCTAGCACGACCAAGGCGACGCTAGAAATTAGGAACAGACCAGCTGGCAGCGAACGGACCATGTCTTCGTGACCTGACAAACAAAAAATCGATAGGTTCGCAGATCACGACGTCATGAAAACATCATGCAATTGTATAACCGACGCTCATGCTAATTAAAAGAAGTACCTGGCTTCTCGCCGTTGCCACAAAAGCACGGAAAGTCTGCTTAAATAGAAACACGGTCGTTAAAAAAAAGGTACATTTGAACTACTAACTCAGAATAAACAACACACAGATGCGACGGAGAGCGCCGAATGACCTTGTGTCCAATCATGTACCGAGTGACCCGCTAATTATGGGGCTCAACCTTTAAAACCTATCAAAAAAGATAACAGCGAAACATGACAGAAGAAAAATTTGGAGCACTACAAAAATCGCATACCCTGTTTACTGTCTTTTGACAATTTATTACAAATCATGGTAAGTCCTTGACACAAAAGTTGGAGTTAGCGAGTTGAGAAATGGAACAAAGTTAACAAAAACATTACGGCATATGCAGAAGGACAAAAACCTACAAAAAAACAGAGTTAAACAAATAACAGAAAAAAAAACATCTTAGGACCGTAAAGGTTTTATAAAAAATCTAATCTAAAAACGTTGTATAAAAACGAGACCACCTTTCTAATTAAAATAAAAATAACAATAAAAAAATTCTAAGTTTGTTGACCGAAAACTATGGAACATTGATTTCCAAATTCAGACGCATATTGATGTTTCCGTAGTGCTCAATTGTTTTTTCTTTCGCTATTTCGAAAAAGATAACTTAGCGATTTTTCGTTTTAATTTTTAATGTTACTTTTTCCTTTTTAAAACATCAATACAGATCACTAAAGTAGATCCCTTCTATAACGAAATCAACCAAAAATATATAACAAAGGCTTTTAGTAGGAGAATAGATATAGACCGGCAAACGTCACTTTCAACATAAAATTAAAAATATGTGAGTAACTTAGGTACGAGGGATTATATTTAAAATATATCTGGATTTTTCTGAGCAATTCAAAAATGTCTTGATATACAGGATGTTCTATTTAAAATAGGTCAATAGTTCGTTGTCCACGAAAAAAACATAATGAACAGGCCTACTCGGTACATTGTACAATATTGTATTGTCATATATTATTGAAATCGTTTAAAATGAAAGCCGCCGATTTACTTCTATAAAATTTTGTACAGGCAATATATCTGTCGCCTCTGTGTGACGTGTATTCTAAGCTAAGAAACAAAATACCCGCAGCGCTGGCGGGACATTTGAACTACCACGCCGTGCACTTACTTACTTCGAGCGTTGTCGCCATCGCGCATATCCTCGTCACTTACGGCCCATCCCATACTCCTCTTGATCGCCATTTTCCACCTCGTGTACTTCATGTCGCGCACTGTAAATAAAACGATTGAGGAGAGAGTAAAAATTTAAAAAAATAGATCTGAATTTTTTTCCATTTCCGTATAGTGTTCAAAGTATATCATTTTGACTCTTGACGGACTCTCCCCTCTCATTCATACGTATCGTTTCTGAGTAAATCCAACAGACAGGGGTAGATATCGACCACGTTTCGGCTGATATCAGTTGCAGTGTCGAATGACATATTTTACCGTGCGTTTGTAGAAAGCTTCTTACCAGTGCATCACTAATTGTTCTGTTATGTCGAGTCGAAATGTTGAGTTGAATGTTTAATAAGTAGCTACTTCATTAAACAAAAGGCATTAAAAAAAAACCTGCCTACTTTGTCAATATCTTCAATAAGCGATATCATTAACTATCAGTTATTCAATGAGAAAAAAAAACGTGGTGAACAAGATATGATAAGAAGGAAAATATATTTCCTTTATCAAAACCAGATTGTACCTACTTTGCATAACCTGAAAAGGAAGCTAGAAGAAGATGAACCCCATATTGTTAGTTGCAAAATGGAACTGAAATTTCTACCGATAAAAACAAGTGGTAATGGAGTCGCACAGATTGCACACTTGGAGATTTAATTACATTTAGAAAATAAAATAAAGATAATATAATATTCAATCTTTATAATTTTTAAAAGACGTTAAAAGTCTTCTTCCAATACCGACCGATATTTTATGCCGTCAAAAGTCGAGACGACATACTTTGAGATACGGTATACCATCCTCGCTGATCGACGGCGTGAATACGTCGTGAGGCGTGGCCTCTATCTTGTCTGCGTCCCACACTTCGACGCCCTTCGCGCTACCCGCCGCTATCGCCGCCCCCAGGCACGTCGTCTCTGACATTGTCGGTCTCACTATTGAAAATTGACAATTTAAAAATTCCGCGCATCATCGGCGGTCAATCGAACTGACCGACCGGTATCCCGCAATAGTCCGCCTGCATCTGCATCAGATAGTCGTTGGAGGTCATGCCGCCGTCCACCAGGAGCTTATTCAGGGGGAAACCGCAGTCGAGCGTCATCGCCTCGAGCACGTCCCGCACCTGGTAACAAACCCCCTCGAGCGCCGCCTTCACCAAATGTCCGGGCTTCGTTTCTTCCGTAAGGCCGCAGATGACGCTGGATTTTTTCGTTAATATCGTAATTTTAACACAATTAATTAGAACAAAAAATGTTCAGATTTTCACAGTTATTTTATGACAGCTGTTTCAGTAGCACCCGGCCTTTATCAAATACAAAATATGACAATATTCCGACACCTATATGTAAATAAATAGGTAGTAATAGATTTTTAATTATCCGTGTAGGGTTATAAATTTAAATTTAACAACAGAGACGCATTTAAATCCAATTGATCATTAAGTAATAGATTCGAATATCTCATTTTGGTAATCTCCATAGCGTCCAACAAACTTAGTCTTTCTTTTTCATTGATTATGTAAAATATCAAAATTATCGCCAAACTTGTGCATATCTGAATAGCATAGTTAGAATCCGAAATTTTATTTTTATACGCCCTTTTATGTTCGTTAATGCGTTTCTTAAATGTTCTACCTGCTTGTTCAATATATAAAGCAATCTTAAGACCAAATTTAGACAGACGCTTCGAAATTTTCTTGTTAAGTTCTCCTACGCATTTTATTGTTTTATAAATTTTGGGTTTGGTGATTAAAATGTTATAGATAGAGTCCAGAGTTACTTAAAACTGCTTCTTAGTTATAATCTTATCTATCAAAGGGGAGTCGTAACCATTGTTAAATGTCATTTGTTTTATAACATTTCATTCATTTTCAACATTTTCTGTGGAAAGTGGTATATTAAGCAGTCTAAAATAAAAGTTCGGAATCTAACTATGCCATTTATTTAAATTTTAAAATGCACAAGTCTGACGATAATTTGAACATTTTGCATAATCAATCAAAAAGCAAAAACCTAAATTTGTTGGAAGCAATGGGGATTAACAAAATGAGATATTCCAATTTATTACTTAATGACCAATTGAATTGGATTGGATTTAATCATTAAAATTAAAATAACTGTGAAAATCTGAACATTTTTTGTTCTAATTTAATTGTGTAAAAAGTGTTTACGTTTAGCAGCGCCACCAGTGAAGAATAAATTCCGGGATGCCTTATAGAAAGTATCCAGACACATATAAATAGAGTATTTTAGTAGATTTTTTATTCCAGGATTAAGACCCTAGAAGGTTTCCGCTTACTTTTGAATCGCCCTGTATGTTTTGTCCAATATGGAAACGCTCGTATCAAAGATGTATAATAATATTAAATATTTTGTTTGCATTTTTTTAATTACTCCTTCAACATGTAAATTAAAGTTAATTAAAGTAAAAAATCTGTCAGAGCTCTAAAATAGGAAAACCCGTGAAAGGTTCACGTCACTGCAGTCTGGAAGAGTATAGTTTTATATTTCGCGCTTACCTCCTGGCGTCTTTTCTCCAGTAAGGCGCATAAAGACCTGAAAAAGCAGGAACGAAGACAACTTCGCCGGCCTCGCCGACGTTCTGTGCCATTTCGGCCGATTCGGCGGCATCATCTAACAATTTGAGATTATCCCGTAACCAGCGGATTGAAACGCCTGCAAAACAGAATCCGGTGGTGGTGCTTAAGACTAAACCAAATAAGAGCAACCTGCTATCGCGACCGATCCTTCTAGAGCATAAACAGGCGACTTGTCGGGGCCCAGCCGGTAAGCGACTGTGGTTAAGAGACCGTGACCGCTTTGCACAAGCTAAAGTATATTTCTTAAGAATGACAGGCTTAAGTGATACTTGAAGAACTTACGCTCGTGCCAGTATTGTACAGGATAAAACAACCGGTTCCATAAGTACTCTTTGCTTGCCCAACTTTGAAACAGAGCTGACCGACCAGCGCCGATTGTTGGTCGCCCAAAATCTTTTGGATGTTCATAAAAAAGTTAATAAAAGAACACAAAAATACACTTGAATTAATTGTAGGCAATGTAAACTAAGCATCAGAACATTATTTATCTACCTTCAATTGAATAAAGTAGTCAAATTTTTATTATTTTTTCACATGATATGTTTGTTGCCCCAAATACTGCAATTTTTGCAATAACACATTTTTTTGGGATTAGCCAACCAGGACCAAAAGAAACCTTCTGAAATTAGTTGAAACATGCGCAATTATCTAAGCTAGTGTAGTTCACACTTACGCCGGAAATGGGAACACCTGACAACTTCGGAATCGAGGTTATATACCCGTAAATCTCCGAGGAGCTTCGAATTTCCGGCAAAATACCCATTGGCACGTCGAAAATGTTGCACAAATGAGGATCCCATTGGAGAGTTTCTATGTTCATCAGCATGGTTCTTGACGCGTTAGTGCAGTCTGTTATATGAAGACCTCCGTTAATGCCGCCTGTGAAATTCTGAGAAAAGACTCTTTGATTAGGCACATTATTTTAATAGGCAGTTTTAAAGATGCTTACTGACCCAAACTAACCAGGTGTCGATGTTTCCAAAAAGGCACCTGCCATTTTCCATGGCTTTTCTTACACCGGGAACATTATCCATGATCCAGCGAATTTTCAACGCGCTAAAATATGTGCTGACTGGCAGTCCGCACAAGCTTTGCAAAAAGTTTTGTGACCTTTTACCATTCTCCAGGATAATGTCCACAGTACTGGATGTTCGAATATCTAACCACACTACAAAAAAAACAGCACCCTGAAAAACTTATCGCCTTATTACATAAGTCCAGTTTACCTAAAGCGTTGTAGAACGGTTTGCCGGTGATCGGATCCCACAATATTGTGGTTTCCCGTTGATTCGTAATGCCGACTGTCACTATTTCCTCATAGTCAATGTCGAGTTTTTTTAAATTCTCGCAAGTAACCTCTACCGTCTCCTTAACCGCTTCCAGTATAAACATCGGGTCCTGTTCCACCCATCCTTCCTGCGGTATTATGTGCGGCACCTCTTTTTGGTGGTAGGTTAATACTTCCGCAGTTTTCGAGGCGAATACCTCTCATGTAAATACGATTAATTGTGAAAAATAACAAAAACATATACACAAACTTACTAAAAATCGAGTACTGGATGTCCCCTCGTCTATGGACCCTATTAATGGGCCGTACTTTTTCCTAACATTCGACATAATCTGGCGAATTTCTGTCCAATTTTTTTTAAGGTACAAATTCCAATTCAAATTTATGTCATTGTTCTCTGTTCAGGCTAAGCCCATAGATAAAAGCGAATTGGGTCGTTCGTTATTTATGTTCGTTATTGACACAGAACACTGAAGCAAAATGCATAAAATCCCCTACAACACGTCCTATATCACAGAGGTAGTGTTGATATGGTAAACCGAATCATAGATAACAGCGGTCGGTACCATACAGTTGCTGAGAAGAGAATGATTTTCCGGGCATGCCTCTATATTTCAGCCACTAACCTGCGCTTTGCACCATTTTTTTTCTTAACAGCGATTTTCACGCAGACAACTTTTTCTCCAAAAACATTTAACGATATCTAGTTATATTTTGAGAAAATACTGTAATAAAAATACCGCATTCAAACTGATTGATAATCTCTCAGCGGGCATTTTGGTTGTTGAATGAGGCATAGATTACAATACAAGCGAGATTCCAAATCTCGCGCATGTGCAAGTTGATTGGACTTTTTCAAAAAAAAATTATAGTTGCTTCATAAGTTCTTGTACTATCGACAAATCTAGGGCCTCTATATCGCTCACTGGATGCAACAGTGGTACATATCAAAAAATATCTATTTTTTGTTTTAAAGAGAGAATACTACCAATCAATAGGTAATTATAAAGACATATAACTATAAATTTTCTATTCAGTAGGAGATCTGATATGAGTTATCACAATATTTCAGTTTTTATTTTCCTCAATCACTGATTTTCTCGGAACTATTGTTTTGTTGATGTGCCACTATTGCACCCAGTGACTCTTAGTAGCTATATGGGTGCAACTGAAAAAATTGTAGAGCGTTGTATATTTACAGAACTTGTAGCTGAAGCTTATTGTTGGGAAAAAAGAGTATTTCATTTTATTTTCATATTTTATTTTAAAGCATTTTTTACAGCACAAATAAATAATATTTAAAATAGTTGAGAGATCCAGGTGGTTTTTAAAGGTTGTTGCATACTTGGATCAGGTTGTCGCGCAGAATTTGCAATTGCTGTATCACATCCGTGCCCACGTCTGGTATTAGGGACGTCCGCAGACCATGTTCGGGCATTAATGACAACATATTGCCATCCGGCAATGGAATATTTACATTTGCCGCGCCTTCTTTTGTGACGGGCCCGGTCAGCAAAGGACTGCCCTGATAAGACAGCGCCATTTCACCTTGCTTAGGTCTGCGCAAAATCACCTGAGGAATATTGTGTTTGACTTTGGGCGTAATGCTGCTCGGGAGATCAGATGGCACTTTAGTATTAGCCGGAGTCTTGTAGCTGTTGGTTTTAGCATTCCGGGATAATGAGCGAGACACTTTGCACGTCTTCGCGGTTCCTTTATTGCCCCGTGTCCGTGCACCTGAAGTGTCACGACCACTTTCAGCCGTCGTATAACCTAGGATAGTTACATCATGAATCTCCACAGATGATTATTAAGGGATTAGGCAGTATCATGCACAATCAAAACTCCGATAAAGGCTTGTTAAAATGCGAAAAAAAACGTTATGTCAAAAATACAGCAGAATATTGTATATACCTTCGTCTTCATTAATTTTGTAAGTTGGCCGATTCCTAACTTCCGATCGACTTCTACAAAGTCTCTTCACTCTAGAGTTGACGGTGGAAAACAAGGCGGACGAAATGGTATCGCATACGGCGCCGCTTTTCTGAAAGTGTAACACGTACACACGCCAGATTAATAAAAGCAAAAGAGGCAATTACTAGTTCAGTTAGAGTTCTTTTTAAAAAACAGGGCCGGAACTTCGCGCGGTGTGTGAAATCTATCATGCGCAACTCTTCTAATTCTTGTTCTCTCAGTGATTCCAATTCCGCCATCAGCCCTTTTTCTGTAAACGGTTGAATCGAATTTATCAGGCAAAAACTTAACTACGCTACTAATCTCACCCTGTTGATCCATGAGTTCAAGCAACTTTTTCTCCAGTTTAATTCGTTTACTACTAGATATTATACGTTCAGATGCTTTTCGTCTTTTTGTTCGAGGCATTTTAAATCAATTGAGAAATTATTGACACGAAAAACTCTTATTACTGATTAAATATACACTTTAAAATCTAACGGAAACCGACAACCCACAGTATCATTTCTTCTTCTTTCTTTCTACTTTTCTTTTTGTCTTCATAAAGTCTGCTCGGGGTACTCGCCTATGACTACTCATTCGTTATTGATGTTTATTTTTATTCTTATTCAGATCATTTAAATAATTGTATCCGTCCGCTCTAGTCATTATTCGTTGACGTTTCCTTAGTGTTCTGTGTTTTTGGAGCGTGAGAGAGAGAGAGAGAGAGAGACAGCGCTCCATGTGCTTACATTTATTAACCAAGAACGCAGAAGATGTCTCGCTTAATTGTTAAAAATTTGCCAAAAAATGTAATAGTTATTAAGGACGATTATGTATGGACGTAGCTTTGTTTTATTTTCAGACTACGGAAGAAAAAATCCGACAGGTTTTCATAGAGTTTGGCCATATCACAGACGTGCAACTCAAATACACACCCCAGGGTCATTTCAGAAGATTCGGGTTCGTTGGATACCAAAATGAAGCAGAAGCCGATGAAGCTGTAAAAAAGCTGCATAAATCGTTCATAAACACCAGCCGAATAACTGTCGAAAAGTGTGCACTTTTAGGTTAAAATCCTAGAATTTATGTTTTGAGACTGGTCTGGAAGTTAGTGAGGAATTACGGACATTGGCGTTTGCACCAATATTTTAAAAACCTAAAAAATGCAAGAAGAAATACTATACTTTTGGAATTAATTAATAAAATCAATAATGTATGTAAAAATTAGTGTTAGATGGTAAAATTTAAAGCTGACTCCAGGAAGAGCGCAAGATTTGTTTACACAGTTGCTTAAAAATGAAATCAATAACAGAGTGATGGCAAGTGTTATAATAAATGATAAATTGAATGTTTATTTTTTTTTATTGCATATGCTTTTTTTACATCTTATTAGCTACAGAGCCATCAGATAAATAAGTTGATAGCTTACCAATGATGAATTATTATAGGAACACTATCAATCATTTTAGTTCTTTTCTCCTTTTTAAGTGAAATAAAAACACAAGATTTTCTTTCTTTCTAAAACTTTGAAAAGTCCCCTCCAAATTTTTTTGGGGTACCACCAACTTTTATATACATTTTTGTTTTTTTTTAACATTCGTCTTCCTTTCTCTTAATTCTACAAATGAGTTTATCATCCTATCATTGGGAGCTAGGGCATTCCTCTTTCGAAGGGAGCTTTCTTCAAAACTTTGAAAAGTCCCCAATAAATTTTATCGTGTTACAAATCCTGGTTACAAATATTACAAATGGAAGCTAGGGAACAAATATGTTGCAAACGCCAATGTCCCTAATTCACACACATTATTTTGAGTTGTGGAAACCTGTGTTTCAGGTGACTTTGAAAAACCAAAATCTTGGAGCAAATATGCGTCAGACAGTACTGCTTTCAAAAAGGCCCATAATATTGCTGAGGAATCAGACACTAATTCAAGGATCTCCAAAAGCAAAGAGAAGGAGAAAAAAACTAAAATCGATCCCAAAGTTGAGTTGTTGCAGAAAGTAAGTTGGTTATTGATGGAGTTGGGTTCTGTGGACAGTGGGCATGACTTTTAGTACCAAGATGATCCCCTGTTTGAAGAATTTCTTGAAGTCCATGGTGGCTTTGAAGATCTAAAAAAACTGAAAGAAAATTCGTTAGAAGAGAGTCACAATTCAATTGTGCAGTCAGATAATGCTCATCAGTCTGATATCGAAGACACAGAAAAATTATCTTTTAAACCGATTAGCGACATGGAGTACATGAAATCGCTAATTAAAGGACAAAACCAACTGCCCGAGGACCAAAGGAAGCCCCGTCAGAAAACTGAAAAAAAAATTAAGGAAAAAGTTAAACTCTTTACCTTGAAGGTAATAGGCTAGGTTGATGCTAGGAATGAATTTAGGCAAATTTTTTCACCATTTTAAAGAAGCTTTAAATAAATACAAACATACTGTTTAGCAAACAATAATAAAGTTGCGGATTATTCAGTACAGGAACAGTAAAAGATTTCTCTGCAAAAAACTTATGCCATATTGTATATTATTGAATAGTTATGGCTCAAACTATCCAATATTCAGATTTGTTTTTGATCTTTTTTTCCTTCCAAGCTATATCCATATGATTTGGCGTTTCAGTTAAAAGATTTGCCTTACAAAACGAGCAAGAAGGATATAAAGGACCTGTTCCGGCCAAACATTCCTTTCAGCATTCGCATCCCGAGACACGTCAACGGTATCGCCTTCGTTGGCTACAAAACCGAAAAGAACTTTAAAAAGGCCCTCTTAAAACACAAAAGCTTCGTGAGTAAGTAGTGGCGCTCTAAAGTGTGAGGTCTTCCTGATTAAGCCAAACCATATTTCAGAGGGCAAACAGGTATGCGTAATGAGGTATGAGGCCAAGGATCCGGACCGGGAGGTGTCCACTGATCCCAAACGGAACCGATGGAAGAGCCAGGAAGAGGCGCTGAAAAACGAAGAGGATATAGGAGAATCCGGCCGGATCTTCGTCCGAAATTTGTCGTACACGACCACCGAGACCGATATCGAGCAACTCTTCTCAAAATATGGTATGGAGTATATAAACATATTACTAGAATTATTCAACAACCAAAAGTACAACGCCGACCAGATACTTGAAGATTTTGGTTAGCACTTTCTACAATATGCAAAAATGTATATTTTTTATTGGACTATATTTTTGGGTTTCATTGTTAATTACTTCTAATGGCCATGATTACATAAGGTCATGCGGCCAGCTTACAACAGATAAATATAGTCCAAAATTTCTAAAGGATGCCTTCATAAATGCAGGATCTGGAAAGCTGGTGCTCTAGGTGTGTTAACATATACAAAATAACGATCGAATTATCTAACGGCTTCAGCAATTTCACTTAAAAGATGTACTGAATAAAAATTTTTGCAAATGTTACAATTTTTCAAACGATTTCTAACTTTTCTAACTAAACATCATATTTTGTGGTTATTGCCCTAAATCTCGGGCGTCTTCTGTTCAACAATTTTTCGATTAGACATACGGTTTTCGAAAAAATCGATTTTTTGATTGAATTTTCCATTCCATTCCGTCGGAGGATCCAACTTTAAATTCCTGACGAACTTCAACTCGATAGTTGGAAATTTCGGCCGTTTACTTTGTTTCATAGCGATTTTCCGAGCAAAAACCAATAGTAGCAGACAAAATGGTGTCCGATTTCGGATCGACTCAATATTTTGCGGGCCACTGTGGATTGCCTACTATTAGAGCGCAAAAAAAAAGAAAGGTCGTATTTCCAACCCTTCAAAAACCTGCCGAAAGCCCGTTACGGGGAACAGAGAAGAGAAAAAATATTAAAAAACGTTTTTTATTTGACGCTGAAACTATATGTACCGACAGCGATCCCTACAACCAACCGTTACATAGATCTCGCGCAGTGAGGAGCGTATATATTTTCACGAAAGTCGATTTCATAAGCATCGTGAAAGAAACGAGGCGAATATTATTTAACGCATGCAACTTAGGTTGATTCTTCGTAAAGGGTAAACTTACAAAAATAATAATGAAGTGTTTCACGAAATTTTAGTTATATATTCTACTGTACCAAATGTCCCTTCAGTTCCAATAATATAGGGCTTCTCAAATTGTAGGCAGTTCTCCGATTCCGTTGCAGTGAAGAATAAGTTTTTAGTATAAGTTAATTATGACGAAATTTTTAAAATTTTGACACATTTCTTGACAGTGCTTTAAAAAATGTAGCTATTTATTGTTATTTATTTTTTCGTTGGGATTAAAATAAAAATGAAAAAAAAAAAACAATATGTTTAATGAAATCATAGCTGTTAGCCCGACATGAAAAATAAATAAGAAGTTCTAAAAATAAAACTAAAACAAAAAAAAGTTTTAAAAAAGGTTCAAAAAGTCCACCATTTTTAGTTGAACGATATTCCAACCTATTATATAACATTGGTAATAATAGACTTAGTAACTTAATTACGAAGTTCCTCTAAATTCTTTGCACGATCGTGTGTGTGTGCCTGTAAATAGTGCTAGCAACGTAAAACCAAAGAAAAAAATCATTTGGTGCTAGATCTCGGGATCTAGGTGGATTACGAAACGTTGTATTCAGAAAATCCTGAACTCCTTGCATTATGTGTGGGGCAACCATTTTGTTGGTATCAAATTTCATGTACAGGGATATTAAGAGCCTCAAATTCCCATCAATAAAAAGACCAATGGTATGGTTTCTTAAAATACCAGCCCATACGTTGACCTTTCTGGATACTGAGTCCTTAAAGGAATGGACATGTGTTGCTTCTCTTTTCAGTACCCAACAGCCACAAATTCATCGGTGAATAAAATATTCGGTGAAAAATCTTCAATTTGATTAGTTCATTCAGTCATTTCTTCGCAGAATACCATGCGTTTCTCATTATCTGCTGGTAAAATTTTCTTTCCCCGCCACACGGCGGTGGGAGGAGAGACCCCAACAGCTTTTTAATCTCGTGGCAATGGTATACATTTCGTGTCACTCTTTTACATTCCGTGTAACTTTGTCATGACCTCTATATAACAAAGGTTTCCTCGACGGAGATTCGCCACTCACACAATGATTTACTTTAGGCCCCTTGACCGAGGTCAATTTGCCGGTCGACTCGGCCACGCGCAAAATGAAAGGTTTTGGGATGGTGACGTTTATGATGCCCGAGCACGCTGCCAAAGCCTACTCCGAACTCGACGGCTCCGTGTTGCACGGTCGCATGCTTCACCTGTTGCCCGGCAAGGCGAGAGATGGCGGCGCGGTTGGCGACGAGGAAACCGATTTTAAAAAAAGCAAGGCGACCAAGCAGAAATCGGAAGCTGGCTCCGCCCACAATTGGAACCCGCTGTTTTTGGGTCACGACGCGGTAGCGGGAGTGATCGCGGATACCTACAACACAGCAAAAGAGAATATAGTCGGCGAGGACGCGAGAGGGAGCAGCGCTGCCGTCAAGCTGGCCTTGGGAGAGACCAAACTGGTCGCGGAAACTAGAAAGTACTTGGAGAAGTACGGCGTGGTGCTGGACGCATTCAATGCGGTAGGCGGCGTCTTTTTATTATTATTAAAAACGTCGAAAGAGCGTGCGTTAATTATTTTCAGCCGCCGAAAGCGAATTCGAAGACCGCCATATTGGTAAAAAATCTGCCATCGAAAACGCAGGTGGCGGAAATAAGGAAGTTGTTTGAGCGGCACGGCTCACTGGGTAGGGTCATCTTACCGCCTAGCGGCATTACAGGTACGTCTAGTAGACACCACTAAGACATTTTTTTGAGCTTATTATTATTATTATTATTATTATATTTTAATTTATATAAACTGTTCTGCTTTTTACTTTTTGTTCTGTATTTTATAGGGACTGCAAACATCATTTTAATGTAACTCAAATTGAAATTATAAGTAAACTTTATTAAACGCCCAAAATTTAGAAAAATAAAATTAGAATGATCGTTTAAAGTGCATATTTGTTGGGGCGCAGTCTTTGCACTATAAATAATAAAATAATATAATTTAGAATATAAATAAGATTTCATTATGAACATCAATAGAAAGGTCTGAAACTCGAGCTTTTTAATTTTTATTCAAAGGTTAATAATTTTTGGGGGGTGAATGTTCAAGTCTTAAATCACCTTAACCCATATTTTTGGTTAGTTACAAAACTCGGTTTATTTTAATAATGTTCATAAAAATTGATGAGTGTCATGAATATACCACTGCGATATACCTATTTTTTTGTTTTTAATATAGAAAAAAATGCTTTCGATGTAATTTGTCATTTAATGCAATGTGGTATTCTGTGATTATCGTAAGTGTGACAGAGTTACACCGAAACTCTTAGAATATCAGAGAGTGACAAGAAATGTGCGCTGCAGCTGCGAGATTAAATAAAAACCTGTTTGGGTCCCCCCTCCCACTTCCTTGTGGCGGTGAAAGGAAAAACAGAAGGTGTCGTGGCGTTTGGTTAAAGTAAAAGTCTTTTACCTTTGCCAAAAATAGCTCGCATTTTTAAAAAAATGGTAGTGCATTGGACCGAAGAAACGGTTCAAATTATTAAGTGGTATTTCTCGGTTAGTTTGCCCTGAGAAATTATTGGCAGATTCGCATTTTAGTTTGAAAACGGAAAAGATCAACATATGGGCTGGTAAGCTATTATCTTGGTTCGGGTTTAAAGGCCGTCGTCGATTGGAATTACTTCCTAACGTTTCGCTAGCACGAGTGGCGAGCTTCTTCAGAGGTCCTTCCATCTCCGATGTTGGACGTAGACCAACATCAACAACCAGTCTACGTCCAACATCGGAGATTGAAGGACCTCTGAAGAAGCTCGCCACTCGTGCTAGCGAAACGTTAGGAAGTAATTCCAATCGACGACGGCCTTTAAACCCGAACCAAGATAATAGCTTATCAACGGGCCGCGAAAGCCTTAACCAATTTATCATATGGGCTGGTATTTAAAAAAAAAACATACATGGGAATTCAAATACAAACAGATATTTAGGTCGTTTCCGTCATCAAATAATTCCAGCTGTTCAGGCTCTTAATGTCGCTGTCGGTAACAAGATGGTTGCCCCACACATAATGCTACAAGAGTTCAGAATTTTCTTAATGCCACATTTCCTAATCACATAATAGGTGGAACAATCAAATGGCCACCTGGATGACCAGATCTTGCACCAAATGATTTTTTTTCTTTGGAGTTACGTCACTATTTACAGGCACACATACGATAGTGCAACTTATTTAGAGGAACTTCATAATAAAATAACAAATGCTATTACCAATGGTATTCCTGAAACACTGGCCAAAGTTCGTCAAGAATTTTTGTGATAGGTTGGGATATTGCCCAGCTAAAAATGATGGACTTTTTTGCCTTTTATAAAATAATTATTTTTTTTAGTTTTACTTTTAGAACTTCTTTTTTATTTTTCATGTCGGGTGGGCTCCTATGATTTTATTAAGTATATTCTGTTTTTTTCTTTCTAATTAAAATTAACGTTTTTATTTTAGCAAGAGCAATAAATAGGTATATTTTTTGAAGCATTGTAAAGAAATGCGCCAAAACTTTAAAAATGTCCAAGTACGACATTGCGAGAAATTGTTCGTGTAATGTTTCCAAGCTTGATTCTATAGATATTTATTAAAAACTCCATATTTTTTATATTTACTTTTTATATTTTTTATTTTTATATTTTGTATGAAGCAGAATATATCTAAAAAAAAAACATTGCATCTAGACGTCTAATATAATTTGTTAACATGTTAATAATTGTTTTTGCCATCAACTTTGATAGTTTCATTAATTAACAGTTTCCTAATTGTTGACTTGCTAGGAGCGATAGAAGTGCCATTTTGAAAAAGTCTCATCCAAGAAATCAAAATGATACAAAACATGTAGAAATACACTAAAAAGTGATATACGTTTCGCAGCAGTATTAAAAAGTTCTATGAGTCCGCGTCTTAGGTCATCTTTTTCAAATTTGAAGCCTGTAGCATAAAAGACAGAATTATAGATATAATCGGAGATACTGGTTTTTAAAAATCCTGTCGTTGATGGCGTGGCTAAAAGTTTATTTGGTATGAGTTGTAGCCCTTAGTTCTCTTCTTGGTGCAACCGTGACTGTCCGATTATGAATTCTTTTCATTTTTATTTTTCGTTCAACAAAGTTGCGATCGCTTCGAGAACCGTCCCTCGACGATTCACTCCTCAATTACACAACACCCCGTATGATTGTTTTTGTTTCTTAACGTTACAGCCATCGTCGAATTCATCGAGCCGTCGGAGGCTCGAAACGCCTACCGCGCGTTGGCGTATTCGAGGTTCAAAAACGCGCCCCTCTACCTGCAATGGGCACCCGAGGACGGACTATCCGACAGAGTCCTCGAACCTGCAGCGCCGGTAGGGGACGTCGCCGACACGACCGACGTAGCGCCGGTAAAAGAGGAACAAAATGCCGAAGTCGACGAAGAACCGGAACCGGACACCACGATTTTCGTGAAAAATTTAAACTTCGAGACCAGAGATGACGCCCTGTCGAAGCACTTCTCCGGTTGCGGCAAACTGCATTACGCCACTGTCGCCACGAAACGTGACAAAAACAACCCGGGCAAAAAACAATCGATGGGTTACGGTTTCGTCCGATTCCTGCTCAAATCGTCGGCTGATAAAGCTTTGAAGACTCTCCAGCAGAGCGTTCTCGACGGGAAATCTCTCGAACTGAAGCGTTCGGAGCGCACTCTAGCGAACGACACGCGACCATCACGCAAACCGACTAAACTAACAGAACAGACGGGTTCGAAGATTCTGGTTAGAAACGTGCCGTTCCAGGCGAACCGTAAAGAATTGTACGAACTATTCGGGACGTTCGGTGAAATTAAAGCGCTGCGTTTACCGAAGAAAACGACACCGGGGGCCGCAAACGAGCATCGGGGTTTCGCGTTCGTCGACTACGCGGCGAATTCAGACGCAAAAGTACGGTTTACTTTTAAATTTTCTTTTAGTTCAGTTTTCCATATGGTAGGTTATCGCCTGTTTATATTAGTAAAGGATCTCCGGATGGATCATCTGACTGGGATGTTGTTGATTTGACACATCTTCGTTTCTGACTCTGTCAGATACATAGGCATCTTCATCACCGATCAGTCCGTCTCACTACCAGTCCTCACATGGCAAAGTTTACAAAATTAATTGAATTATATAGAGAAGAAAAATGGTGTAAAAAAATTATTATATTGCAACTGAGTTTGCCTTCTTAGCTTTGTTGCTTCTTTTGATATCAAAGTGTCTCTGATCTTGTTCTTAACGATCGAAACAAAGTCATTTTAAAATTGCAGGTCTGAAAGTAAAAAAAAAGAAACTGTGCCACATCAGTCGCAGCCTTTTATTTAATTTATGGTTTAGGGGACCCATTGTTTAATAAACGAGTCAAAACAGTATGGCTAAAATCTACCGAAGACATCCGATCGCTCCCGAACACAAGTAACCCAAAACGTCCGAAGTGGCTGACTGCAGCGATTAGCGAAGCTGAACTCTTTAATTGACACTTTGCGCATGCTTGATCGGTGCATAATTGGGTATCTTAGAGTAGGGAGGGTATTTCAGGTTTTCAAATAATAAAATGCAACTCCGTCTTAAATATTATATTTTTCAATCGATTGTAATTGTTCGGGTTCATCAAACGTAAAACTTAACCGAACTGCAAATTGATTCGTTCTAAAATAATAATTAAAGTCACTCTACTATTCTTTATATAGACTACTAATATAATTTTGGTCGGTTGTTTATGTTTTCTTGCTGTATAATTCATTTTTCTAACTAACACGCTATCTCGGGATAGGTGTCGAATGATCGAGCCGTCTTCGCAACCGGCACCATTTATAATCACGCTCCGATTCCCGCGTGTTCCAGTTTCTTGGAATGCGTTTTATTTAAAATGTTTCCGATGGCAATCGATTCTCAATATTGTCAGGTTGCTCTGCCGATAAACCCACTGAAGCTGAAATGTCCGCTGGTCCGCCGCTAAATTTAGTTGCTATTTAGTTACTCCCATTTTAGAACCAGGTTCACGGGAGTGGCCTTAAGAAAGTCGGGAAAATAATGACGAGCCTTTAACAAATTGCAGAGAAACGGTTGTTACAGTTGGCGGAAAAGTTGTGCAACTTTTGATTTGCCGTTGATTTCGTAGGAAGTGCTTTCTACACATTACGATTCAAATACTATAAAATTGATTTCAACGTAAGATATTGTTCTTGCACCGTTTTTCACTAACCACACACCGCAAAAATTGTTTGCGGACCACCAGGGTTCGGAATTTTAGAAGCTACGGGTAAAGTTTACAGAATTAAAAAATAAGTTTCCACTCTCTGTCTTTGATTACGGGATTACGTGGGATCTCTAATTGTATGTTTGTTCCGCAAAGTTTAATTACTCCTTTAGTAAAGAGGGTATCAAGCTGAATGAATAATTGAACCATAAAAAAGAACAAGGCTTGGAGGGTTTGACAAAAAAAATTCTATTCTTCTCAGTAAATTCCACAGAGTGTTTGAAATATGCACTTCATTAAGTTCGTTTTTTTTCATGTTTAGTATAGGAACACTATTAATTTGAAAATTTGAAACACCTTCTGGAATTTAATGTTAAGAATAGAAAATTTCTGTTGTCAAACTTTTCATGCCTTGTTCTGTTTTAATGGTTTAATTTTCCGTTCAGCTTGATAGCTTCTTTTTCAAAGGAGTTATTTAGGTTTGTAGTAGAGCATTAATACATTAAGTTTTTTAAAAATAAAATTAAAAAATGGATACTTCTTATTACAGTAATTAGTTAAATAGTGGAAATACAAAAAACATAAATTTTTATTTTTTCAATTATATATGTTAAAATCCTAATTTCAATTCTCAAGTACGTTATGAAATTCCCTGATAACTTTTGCCAACTTTTAACCTATAATTTTGACATTGTCAATATTACTCTTGGAAGTGAATGAATTGAGCCATAAACAAATGAACAATTATAGCAATCTAAATGTAAATACCGATTTGATTTGAACATTCTGAATAACATCCGACGCTTGCAGTATTAATTTCAGTTTGAATGAATCTTTCTTAATATAAGATTTATTTTTGTTTTCTCGTAAAACATACATATACTTATTACATAAATATACCAGTCGATCAGTAAATTCGGTTAATTTCCCAGGAGAATTTTGCCGTCGGAAGTGAACCTGATACCTAATTTTAAAGAAGGAATTGCAATTTCTGAAGACGATTTCGAGCTGCCTTTGCAAACCCGTCACCACTGAAATGTAAACTGCAAGTTCTTATTCAACTGAAGAAACAGAAAAAAGCTTTTAAGATAGTATTACCTTATCGAATGGACAACAAAAAAAAAGACAGTCCATCAGACCACGGCAAAATTACTGTGATTATGTCGCCGCAAGCTTACGCAATTGTGGATCTTACTGTTTTCATTTCCACCATCATTTACATGGTTCTTTGTGATATCTAGATCTTGTCTCTGCTAATATCTTTTAGACAGCCAGAAATATGAGAAACTTTTATCAATTGTGCTCATACATATACAAATTGATTGATTGAAAAGGTGAGGCGTTGTTGATTGTTGCACTCTATATCTCAATATTTTTGTCAACTTTTCTAACTATAATGTTATCCATTATAATATTGAAAATTAGTGGGCTGACAGAACCCCCTTATCCGATTCATCTGTTTATGTTTAGTACTTTGGTAAGTAACTGTCCTACTCTTATGTTTTACATTTGCCTCTTTTAACATTTTGATGGCATCCGTATTCAGTTGAACGTCTTAGTCATATCAGCAAAGCATTATTTGTTTTAAGACAAAGATTGTGGAGCGGCTTTTCCGAAAACCTTGTTGCTCTCTTAATTGAACGATTTTGCCTGGTATTTCCAGTACCCCTTGAAAATATTTTAAATATGTTATTTAAATTGAAAGCATTTTACAAACGTTTTACGTTTTTTCCGTCGATTTACAGGCGGCGTTCGAAGCGTTGGGAGGCAGCACTCATTTGTACGGCCGAAGACTGGTGCTGGAATGGGCGTCCGGCGACCAAGGCGTCGAAGAAATCAGGAAACGAACTTCCGAACACTTCGGGACGCGCGACGACGTTAAATCCAAAAAGAGCGTGTTCAGCATCGACTAAACCGCGAATCGTTGCGTGTTATCAATAAACCGCGTCTGCCATAAAAACAAAAAAAAAACAATAACATTAAATAATAATACATAAATAAATAGAACATTTAACGAGATCAAAAATGCCCCATCCAAACTAATTGATGGTTGGTCTGTCAGCGGTCAGCTGATGTGATGTGAAATACTAAAAGGATGTCGAACTTCCATTGTCTTTATTTTTAACTTACACAACGTTTTGGACAGTTGTTTCCCTACCCGTTATCGAGTGTAAACTAAACTTAATCCTGAGGCTAGAAGGTTTATATACTAGGCGACGGTGCTCATCCATGAGGGAGTCGGGTGTAGTCAAACGTGAAGTTGTTCAACGCCAGCAGCCTTATTAGAGGTTGCCAAATTGTTGGTATAGCCACGCTTGGCTTTCCGAAGATGTTTTCATTGTTTCTAATGAAAACTGCTTCTTTAAATTTGCTCTTTCTCCAATGCTGCTCTCTGTGAACAACCCGCGCTCTGGACCATTGGATGTTGTGTTGTTTGGCCCACACATGTTCTGCGATATCTGATTTTTGCGTTTCACCCTTTATTGTATGTTTTTTATGTTCTTCAACTCTTACTTTTAGAGGTCGTTTCGTTTCGCCAATATATGACTCTCCGCATTTACAGGGTATCTGGTTGATACACTCTTTATCTTGAGCCGACGTTTCAGGCTTTGTTTTTGTGAGTACACTTCTTAATGTTGATCCAGATTTAAATACAGTTTTAACTTGATATTGTTTAGCTATTCGCCTAATCTTTTCTGATATCCCTTTCACGTATGGGATCGTCAAGAGAGAAAGAGTATCTACCTCACATGGTTCCGGTGTGTGAACCATGTGAGGTAGATACAATTTCTCTCTTGACGATCCCATACGTGAAAGGAATATCAGAAAAGATTAGACGAATAGCTAAACAATATCAAATTAGTATTTCTCCTGAATCAGTGTCTACCACCTTCAAGCAAACGAGAGATTTCCAATCTAGCGCATGCGCATGATCAATAGACCTTCTTAACAATTGAAATAGTTTCTTTATAAGTTCCTGTATGATCGGCATTATGGGGGCTATACACATGCAGGCAAGTCCGCGCACAAGTGTGTCCAGATAAATCCGCGAGCAAGTGCGAAACAAATTGCGGTCACACACTATTCAGGTAAACCTCAAGGTTCACCAGTTGGTGGGGCCTGCTGCTATGCGGAAAATGAAGTTGGCCTTCCCACTTGCTCTTAAAATCAGACACAATCTGATTCGCTTCGACCCGCGCTTGGAACTGAACGAGCCGTGAATTTTGACACATACACATTCGCACTTACTTGCGTGTCTCGACCTGTACAGGCTAGTCTTAACACTTGCCTGCATGTGTTAGGCCGCTTTAGGCAGGGACTCCATAGGGTATGGTGGTTTTGGTGTGACGTATAATGTAGCTATTGAAATTAGGCGCTCACTCTTTTGATTATCCACCATCCTTGTCATAAAAAATGTTACTACTTGAGAAGTCAAATTTGGAGTGCTTGCGTTTCATACGAGTTTCATGTTTGCTTTGTATCCCACAACCAACTGCCAAGCTAAGTTACTTAAGGCTACTTCTAAAATATTTAATTGGCCTTTGGTTCCTTGGGATTGTCAATACAATTTGTTATTTTCTTAAGACTTTTGAAAGACACCATATCCCGCAAATATAAAAGCACGGGGTAAGCAACTACTACAAATTTCATAGGTTAGTTTGAAGGCACAATGCCAAATTACCCTTTAAGTTATAGATGACTGTAGTTTAGTTGTTGTGCCATTGTCTACACACCACAAAAACAGTTAATACTTTATTATGGCTAATGCAGGTAGAGCGAGCCATCCAAACTAACAAGTAAACCTTATGGAACACTTTCTTACTGCTATTGCTGTTACTCTCAGCAGCGCCACCATTCCAGAATCAAGTCCCCAACATTTGTTCTTTTCTAAATCACTTGATCGACTAATAGATGCCGATGCCAATATGGTTGGATTTAATAAGAAAATGAAAACTTGTTATGGTAGACAGACTAAACGGAAGTGTTCAAATGCTTTTTATTATACAAATAAAAATTTGTACTGCTCAGTAACAGCGTTCTTCTCCAGTTGCATATGTCAGGTACTAAAAAGGAGGAACTCAAAGTAACCTGCATATTTTGAGAACATTATAACAAAATAACAGCCAACGTCTCAATTTAACAGGAGAAAACAAAACACCATAACAAGATCTACAAAACCAAACTACACTTCCTAAACACTGGAAAAACTCATTTTTTAAGCAATGACTCGTCCTGCATAGACAGTTGGCCCAGTTTTTTGCCGATCCGTTCGTGGATGTCCAAAAACTTCGCAACGCACCGATCTATGCACACGGCTTCCCCCTTGGCGATTTCCGAGTCACCGTAAACGGGAGGAATGCACTTTTTGTGGCAAGCAGCGGTCATGCGGTTGTACATGTCCGCCATCATTTCGATTTCCAGTTCCTGGATGAGTTGAAGATTTTGCTGTTCCTTCTGAGACATTTTACAAGCTGCCGATTACTTGGGCGTACTAATTTTCCGATGTTCTGGAGAACTTTCTGTAACTGGGTTGGTATGATCCGTCGTTCGCAGTTTGCATGCGTTGCCTCACTTTCATATTTTCATACCGGTCCTTGTCGACGCTCCGTTTGACGAAATAAAATGCTCCGATGCCACCGGCTACGCAGCAAATCCTGAAAATGCGTCCTTTTACCGGAAAGATAGTTCGCAATATATATACTCTATAGGTTAGAAAAATAATTTTGCTCGCCCTTACACAAAATGCTCACCAGCCTATTGCTACTTTCGCGTGAACACTCGACACCATTCTTCGGTGAACTAACTGTCGCGAAACCGCTAGGATTGTGTTAATTCAACAGATTGAAATAAACCAGCGTGATTTAAACTTCCTAGACTCCTTAGTTACGGCCAGAGAATGCTAAGGTTGTTGGGGCCTTAGATAAATCACATATTTAAAGGTCTAATTTTTCGCTACAGAACGGACGATGGTTACAGACCACTAATTGTTGGAATCGATCAATCGACTCTGCAAATCAGCATCACAACTGACCAATTTCTTTCTCCACTTAGCATTTCCAAATATCCTGTGATGACGTACACATAATAGTCTACTGCCATGTGTATGAAAACTTCCACGTAGGACCAGCAGGAAGGCAGTTAGAATTGGAGTAGGGTTATTTTACGAGTTAGTCGGCAGTTGTTACGGCACCTTAGAATCTGTTTTTCTAAAAAAGAAAATTAGTGAAAATGAAATACTTTCTTTTGATTTCTTTACTGGTTTTACCGGCCCTTGTGTTAATTTTTGAAGGCGGTAAGTAGTACTATCTTATATTTGGTAAGGTTTTAAGTAACATTAAAATCACCCAATTTTCTGCATATAGTCATATATTATATGTGAGAAAAACAAATATTAACACTTACCCTTATTAACCTAATGTGGTGGCTTTAGGCAACAAGTTGGTAGCGTATGCAGATGAAGATCCTTTGGAAGATGAAGAAGCAGATGTTGAAGGAGAAGCGGAAGAAGCTGAATTAACAGCGGGGGAAACCGAAGATGATGAGGAAGAATTTAAAAATACAGCGTCTCCAGATGCAGATACAGTATTACTTTTTATTAGACCTAATACTCCTGGCGCATCTCAACTAGGTTAACTGTTAAATATTGTTTTTCATTTCAAAAAATTTAAGTGGTTGTTTCAGAATTGCCTGCTGGGGTGCCAGTTGAATTCCTTGTAGGCTTCCGTAACAAAGGTGGAGATGATTTTGTGGTTGAAACTTTGGATGCTTCATTCAGATACCCAATGGATTTCAACTTTTTCATTCAAAATTTCTCAGCGATCGGTTACAACAAATTAATTAAGTCAAAGGAGGAAGCTACTTTCCATTACAGTTTTTTGCCATCAGATGTTTTTGCTGGGAGACCATTTGGTCTTACCATTAACTTGGCCTACCGCGATTCGTCTGGTAATCAGTTTCAGGAGGCTGTTTTTAATGAGACTGTGCAAATTGTTGAGCTGGAAGAAGGTCAGTGAAGCAATTTAATGCAAGCACTAAACTATGTTTTTTTTTTGTGAATTTGTTTTAGGTTTGGATGGAGAAACGTTCTTCTTGTATGTTTTCTTGGCCGCTGGCGTGATATTGTTGTTAGTTATTGGTCAACAAACACTTCTATCTGTGGGTAAGAAACGTCCAACTAAGAAAACCGCGCCTGTTGAAACCGGGACGAGTAATCCTAACAATGTCGACTATGACTGGTTGCCGAAGCAGACGCTTGCCAGTTTAAGTGAGTGTTTAGTTTTCCTTAAACTATTGTAGCTAACCCTTTGCTAACGGAAGAACTGATCACTCAAAAATGTATTCATTATACACTTATGAAGATATGTTTCTTTTTTGTTTAGACAAGGAAAAGCAACAAAGATCTCCAAAAGCGTCCAAGTCGCCAAAGCAGATCAAAACGAGCCAAAGCCCCAAACAGCGTAAAGTGAAGCGTTCCACCGGGTCCGAATAGTGAACATCTCGACTGACCCTCAAAGCGAAACCACTCCATTTCCTAAATTTTTGTGGTGTTCAACTTTAATTAAATCCATCGATATTTATGTTTACTGTAAGGTTGTTTTTATTATATTATTTCTTTAATTTATAACTTTGTAAACAGTGTTGTGATCTTTTTTTGCTTTGCGTTAGGTTAGGATGGATGGATGTAAATATTCGGTTTGCCACAGTGTGGCCAAGTTAATAAAACGAATTTTTTTACTTATATTTTTAATTATTATTCTTGCCTAGCCTAGCCCTATTTAAGTACTATATGACTTGAAAATAGTTGTAAATTTGCCCTTTTTCTCTGATCTTTCACGTATTCACGTAAATTTCACGGTGACCTGCCCTGCCCTGAACAATATCTACACGCTTAATTAATTTTTTATCTGAAAATTTTGGAAAAATACAACAACAGAAATGCCACAATCAAACCGTCAACCGCACGTGTACAGTGTTGTCAGCGGCCATGTTGAACGCGACGATTGACTTACGCATACTGAATATCACAGGACAAGAATATAGCTACTAGAGATATAGCCTGCCGATCCCGATAATACCGGAACTTATGAAATAAGTTTGAATTTTTTTTTAAAGTTATTCGACATGCGCATGCGCGAGATTTAAAATTTATTTTGCACAACCAACATGGCCATGGCCAACATGGATGAAAATATTAATCGCTTTTTGGGAAGAAAATGGTCGGAACTGCAGGTTAGTGGGTGAGATGCAAAGGCATGCTCGGAAAATTACTACTTTCTCTACGAAAATATCAATGCCGCCTGCGGCGCATTAATTTATACCATAGTAGTGCCACTGTAAGATCTAATAACTATATTTATGAGGACAAGTGATATTGAACAGCTTTTACAGAGTATATGATGGAAGAGCATAATAAGTTAAATAGAAATTAGACTTGAATTTTAATTATTTATGCAAAAATATAAAGTGTGCGTTTATTCACCAAATTCTTTAAGATGTTTAACTGTCGATTCAAAATAAATGCACAAGACCGTACATGTTACATTAAAATTTTACACCTGGGCGGGACAGTAATAATTTTCCTTGACTGAAGTTAAACAGCTAGAGAAATAGTGGGTTGCCTACTTCCAAATAATTAATTGGACCAAATTCTTTAAACTAAGTACATATGTGGGCATATTTGAAATAAGTTATTGCGCATTCTCTCACAATACTAGTTGTGATATAAAATAAAAAGTAAAAAATTCTCCCCACGTGAACGCTTTTAATTTATCTAACTATTGGTAGGAACATGTAATGACGTCGATTAAGAAACGATACCGTCCTTTTCTGTCTCAGGGGAATCCTCGCTACCTCTTCCTCGGGTTTGAAATTTTGTGAATGTTCTAGCTCGAAATCATATTCTCGAATGGTGGACTCTGTAGTTTTCAAGATCTTTTCAGTTGGGGTTGCTGTTGCCAAAATAAATAGACCCACAGCAATAAGATACCAGCTCATCTGAAAAATGTGATTTTCAGAATCTAACGACATATGCAGGGACATAAAAATCTGAAAAAAAACTAGAGCTAAACAATAGTATTCTATGCCAATTTATCTACTTAAATACTTTGTCTTCAAATTGACTAGACTTTAATTTTAACTTTTCTGAATTTAACTACACTTGCAAACTCACCCACGTATTCATCCTTAATAATGGTCAAAATGGCGTAAATTCGGGAATACGCCTTCTTTCTGTAAAATGACATTAAATAAGTCAGTCCAACTTACTTCACATGTTTATATTAGGCAATGTACTCAAATTAGCGCCTCAATTTTCACCTCTTAATGTAAATATATTTCATTAACAGTTAATTTAAAATACGTGCGAAGTGCAGCGTTGCCATAGGGACCTTTTTTTTCCAGGTACCATTCGTTAAAAATCGGGTAGTACATTTTAAAAATGCAAAATCCGCATAATGAGATCAGAAATAAATAATGACGTTGGTGACACCTATATTTTTTTGATATTAAACATTGAAGGAAGCCAAAAATATTGTTTCCAATAAAATTTTAGTATGAGGTCTCCTTAATGGTGTGACGATGCTAAAAGTGAAAATTCGTTGATTTATTTTAAGGACAAACTTCACGTCAATCTGATCTAAACACTAAAATAGAATTAGCATTAAGTCAAGATGGTTTTGATGACGAGCAACTTATTTTAAGTCAACAAAGATTTACTGAACAATGTCAGTATCGCACCAATTTGCTCTTTCAAAATAAGCGGTTAAATCTGGGGCGGGCGCCACTGGTAGAAATAAAAAAAGTGTTGTGCACCTGAAAATACCTTTTGACGTACAAGTGCAGTTACCAAATTTCTCAAAGATATCTGCAATCCTTTCTTAGATAATTAGGACGTATGTTGACAGATATATGAACTCATTTCCTTAAAAATATACCATTAGAGAGCATCCCGTATTTTCTTTAATTATAGCCATATTGTTCCAAAATTCGTTAAATTTTAACGCCTATTCCTATCTAATGTTTATGTTTTGGCACCGGTTCATTCTAGCCGATAGACAAATTAAATAAAAAGTTAAAAGCAATCGCTTTTTTGCATCTACAACGGCGCTTGTCGTATTCGATGGGTGTTGTTGTTTGATGGCGAATCCATCATGTCTGGAGTTGTGTTTATCATAATAGTGCCCACCGAAGATCACGAGAAAGTGTTGCTACGAAAACTAAAGAAAAAAGTGAAAATTGAGGAGAACCCCGAAATCATATTGTCTCAAAAATTTAGTACCGAGGGTCTCGAATATTCCACAGAATCCAATCGGGAGAAATGTAAACAACACCTGCCCAAGCACAAAACTGATCAATCGATGGAAAATGTAAGCACATCTCAGATGTAAACTGTTTCCAATATTTTTTAAATCAAATGCAAATCAGCAAAATTTAGGTATATGTATTGAAACTTTCCATACCAAGTCTCTTTTAGAGCCGAAAAAAAGCTGCTTAGAATAAGTGGAATTTTCGTTTTTTTTTTTTGCAAAGAAAATATAGAGATTTCTACAAGACCATCTCGTTTAAGTAATCCCCTTTGCTGCCGCAGACAATCCGTTTATTATTGAAAGAACTGGAAATAATCCATTCCGTGTGGACCCAAACCGAAGACGGCAATTACTATCAAGTGATATTTTCGATCGAGAACGAAAAGTGCGAGGACATTTTAGAGAATTTGAGGGACAGCGATATTGGAAAAAAGCTGCAATCGAAGGTGAGCGTTATCCCTTGCACTATTCATTACAAGGGAAGCGAATACAAGGTCACTGCGAATGCCTCGAAAAGCGATGAAGAAATATTAGAAGAAAAGTAGGTACAACTGAACATGCGGTATAACTGCTATGCGGCACAGAATATTCTGGCGAAACGCAAAGTTCCAATTCTGGGACGAGAAACTACTATAGTTGCTTAAATGATATTCGCATTAATCTTTTCTGTATACGGTACCTAGTAAATGTGATATAAAATATAATTTTAAACACTTCAGATAAAATTGCAATTAATATTAAAAACGGCATGCGACTGGCAATTATTTTGATCGCAGAGTTGGAGATTGCTGAAAATACATTTTTTTAATAAGAAAAAAATCCAAAGTTTTTGGATACAATATTTTGTGGCATATATGCAAGAATTAAGTCATTTTAATTTGGAGGAAATACAGTTTCTTTAAATTTTTATATCCAGAGAAACGGAGGGAACCAATACTGGATGGAATTTCTTCATTTCTTCCGTTAGATCTCGCTTAACAGTTGCACAAGTTGTGGAAAACGTCAAAGTGCGCGCTGCCATGACTTTCGATTTCATTGTACTGTTATTGATTTCCACGTAAGTAAAGTTAATAATAAAAGCGATTATATTTAAATTATTCAAAATAAGTAAAAGTTCGTACATTATTTTCGACATAAAACACAAAACTAAAAAATTGATATTTTTTTTACAAAGGGTACAAATGCCAATTGCATTTTAATATAATACGAATTAAAAATACTTTAGCCTTTCTAAAACTAACAGTTCTCATTGATTTATTCTGGGGCAGCATTTTTTATATCTGGATAGCGATGAAGAAGTATCCTAAGTGATAACTTGTAACTTTTAATATTATAGTAGTATGTGCAGAAATAAGGACTTGCGACCTTAGTACAATCTTTATTTTCTAATCATATTTCAATCATAATTAAAATATATTCGCATCTTGCAGAACTTTGTGTGCTCTCGGTTTGGTAGAAGACAGCAAAATATACATGCTCTCGAGTATGCTCATTTCACCGATGATGGTGAGCGATGTGCAAATCGCTATTTTGACGAACTTACAAGTGCAACAATATTGCAGGGTCCTGTAATGGCTGGCACGTTCGGGTCGGTAGTTCAGGACAAACATCTGCAGAAGATCGGAGTCCAGAATGAATTGATTGGTTTGGGGATAGCGACGATTGTCGGGTTTTGTTACGGGTCCCTCATTTGCCTTGTTACGGACAAATACGGTTACCATGATTGGCCCACCTATGAAATGTATTCTAGGTAAGTTGAATATTAACTTATAAAAAAAAAGAAAATAATTTTTGTTTAATCGATATTTTTGATGCTTTATATTGAGTTAGTAAAAAGTGCCGGAACACTTAAATATCTGTGACGTTACATGTCATAATTTTGATATTTTAAATATAATGCCCTATTTATTTTTCTTGCAACATTTACATTACAGCATTGCTATTGGCATTGTTGAATTATGCACGTCCAAAAACACCCTGATATTGAATTTGAGCTTGTGCAGTTTTCGAGATATTCAAACGTTCCTGTAATTCTTGCTAAAAATGTGGTATTTTCGTAGCTCAGTATTTAATAGAAACAAAATTTTCAAATTACGAAACCTTATTAAATTCGACATTGCTTGAAACAAAATTAAATACTCCATTCTATTAAAAATATTGACGAAAAATTATGACGCGTAACGGCAAAGTGGTAAATTTGACGACATTGCTATAAGCATTTTTGAAATCTGCATGTTCAAAAACCCTCAGGGTATTGAATTTTATCGTTCCAGCTTTGGAAATATTTACGCTCTTTACTAACCGAGTATACATTGAATATAGTTATTAAGATTTCCATATCTGATGATTGACATTATGTGGGTAAGCGCAGTCAATTTTTTTTTATTCAGAGTATTAAAGTACCATTATTATCAACCTAAGGTCTAAAATGTTTGGTTTTCGAGATACAAGTTTCATTCAACAATGGACATTTTGAACATATATTGTGCATTTGATTAACAGTGTAAAGAATGTAATTTCTAGTAGTGTTTCTATGTACGGTGATTATATCAAGAATCTTCCCGTTGTCTGAGTTTGGATTCCAGGATAAGCATTCGTCAATAGTAAGGCTTGAAGACTATTTCATGTTTCAGAGTGACATTTTTATTCTCTAAATTTATTACTCTAAAGGTAAACAAGGATTGATTGTGGTCAATACTGGCGTTTCGAACTTCCATTTTCTAAAAACGTTTTCTATAGTTACTGCTAGTGATACTTATTATTTTCAACATGACTAAGCCACTAACATATGTTAAAAATAGCAAAGGCCTCGAAATCTGCGCAATGCCAAGATCATTTACTTTTATATCTGACTGTGTGTGAGGTAGGATTATATCCAGTTTAATGCTGTTATGCCATACTTTTATAACATAAAACTTCATGATTTAAGCAGTCATACGCTTTACTTAAATCTAAAAGTAGTCGTAAAGCTAAATTTTTGTTTTCTAAATTCTGTACAATGGCAGTAGTAAATTGAAATATATCCGACAGTTGTTGATAAATCCCGAAAGTATAGAGCACCATTCCAAATATTTTCGAAAACTTCGTTAGGAGACTTATCGGTCTATAATTATTAAGGTCCTATACCGCGTTTTAATGAATTTTTTCATCAATGTTGCATCAAGGTTTTGTTTGCTGGTCTGTGGTGTATCTGTCAGGCCTATGTCCCTAACCTTACGATGCTGTTACAATTTAGGACTTGTAGTGGAGTTCTATTTTATTTACAAAGGCTTCCAATACGACACTTCACAATCACGACTTTAAAGATGGACAGTTTTAAAATAGTGGTTGGAATTTGATCTCCTTCACTGCTGCATTTATGTTTCGGTTTCTGGATATATTCAAAAGTTTGGTTGTTACTAGATATAGCACTACAAAAATGACAGCTGACTGGTGCAAAAAATTTATTAGTATTTATGTCCCTGTAGTGTCTAATACTTATATGGTTGAATGCATCAGGGAAACGCTTAAACATTTTCAAGGTATTTCTACAAAATATTATAAGGAAAAGCCAATTTCCAAGTTCCAATGAAGTAACTCCTGTCAAAACGTAAAGTAATTACCGGTCCAAAGCGATTACCATGACAACTTACCCAATGGAGTCAACCGACTCCCACTAAATTTACGCAAATCCCATTTTGCAGTCACCGGGGACCACGTGCTTCACGTCCACGCGCCGTCCTTCACCTTTGCGATGCTGCCGCTAGCGGCAGTTAGACTATTTTCCTAGTCCCCCTTTTATTGACATAGCAAATAGGGCGAGCTATATTACAAATCGTCCGTTTCTTAAGAATTATTAGTTATAATGCAAGCATTAAAAGGGCGTTATAGATGGTGTATTTCGGCAAAATCGGGTGGGACTAGGCAACGCCGCCCCACGAGGCCGGGGTGTCTTGAAAACAACTTTTCCACTGACGTCAACCGTTTTGTGTCTTTTCAGGGGCGAGTTGCGCTCCCTGTGGGTAGGGGCCCTGATCGCTCTCTTGTCTGGGGCAGCTGTGGCCTTGGGGGTGTTGAGCGATAACATCGCCTCGCTGGTGGGCGTTGCCATATCCACTTCGCTTATGCCGCCCACCGTTAACGCGGTGAGTAGCGAAAAATATTTATACAAATGTGCACGTGAATGCATTCAAAATACCCAATTATGTACGGATAAAGCCCGTTACCTTGGTAAAGTACTGTAGCGAGCGACTTCGGACATTTTCAGTACTTTGGTCACGGCTTTGGGAGCGATCAAATGTTTTCGCTAGATTTTAGCCATTAATGATATTTTGACGTTTGTCGATTCTGATGGCCATGTCAGAAGCTGATATTTTAAAGTGACGTGCGTAAGCATGATCAGTGTATAATTGGGTAGGCAGTAGAAAAAAGAATTTCTAAAATACCTCCCATCAGGATTTTTTTTAAAGTGACCGTACGCGTGTCAATTGTAATAGACATTGTACAATATGTTACAGTCTGCATTCTTTCTGATCTTCTGTTTTCTTGTAACCTTAAACTCCATCTTAGCAAATGGTAATGAATTACTAAAAATCAGTAAAAATTGTCATTAAATATAATAATGCATAAATGAAGTTGGTGCTTTTAAATTTCGTAGCAAGCTGGTACATTGTAATTCCGACTAACCTCACAGAATTTAAATATTTTCACTTATACTCTAAAAATATAGGAAATATTTCGAACTTATTTTCAAAATTATCCTTCGTCGTGACTCAAAAATATGAAGAAAATGTCTCACTAGATGGCGTTTAAAAAGCAGTTTTTGACAATGTTTAGAATTATTAAAATTATTGCAGTTTGTTTTTTAATGTTATGGAAAAGATAAGGAAAAACGATGACTACAAAACAAGGAAGAAGTATTTTCATTACGGTTTTAAATAATGAAGTTGTGCTTGATTTTATCCGTGCACCAAGAGAAATGATCGCTGGAAAATTGTCGCCAACTTACACCAAGGAGAGACAATGACAGCCATTGAGCTTACTAATATTTTGGACACTATTTCATGATGCCCATCTGTTATCTCTTTTGGAACTTCATCTATGTTTTGAAGATTTTAATATTAATTTAAAAATAATAATAATAATAATAATAATAATAAAAATAAATGTAATAATATTAAAAATAATAATAGCAGTTTCCTTAATTCTGTTCTCAACATCATGGTTGGTAAGTCGAGTGCCTGTTCTCTTTTACCTCGTTCACCGGTGCTATACGGCATAAGTCAGAGGCAGATCGAGATTTCTTCAACAAAATTGAGAGTCGTTTTACGGGTGTTCTTCTTCTTCCCTAAAATCACAACAAAGTAACAACTTCTCCATTACACAAAATATCCTCTCAAAATAATAAATTATAATTATCTTTTCTAAAATTTACATTTGAAAAGCAAGAAAACTGGTCCTTCAAAATAACTTAATAGACCGTTCGGTGAATAAAATTCTACTGGTTTTCAATAAAATGATATTCAAGAATAGAAATTGCGCACTGTCAATAGAAACACGTCCATTTTCTCTTGAGTTTTCTTTTCTATCGCGATTGAGAATCCATAATGGCCCAGGTTGATTGATTTTGTACTTCAGTAGTCATGGTGATCAGTAAAGAAAACATTTGAAGTTAAAGCTCTTGTACCAAAATCTTCTTAGTTCGCCGTACATCAATGAGTTGTTTCGATCAAGAAACTGAAGAAAGTATTCTTCAAGATTTTGCTGACGCTTACGAATTCCAAGAATTGCAAGTCAGGCATTTGGTAGCAATTCATGAACTTTTGCTTAGAAAGATTATATAATTTGGATAGAGCTGATATTCTTGTGGAGAAACTCGCACTCATTCTTCTCGCAGTGAAGACTTTGGCTCTAGTTCGGCCCAACAAAACTCACGAGAAGACTACAAGGAGAGTATACTGACATTTTTATGGAATTCCATGGCTGCGCAGTTGCAAGAATATTTTCTAAAAAGCTACACTCGTTAATGTAATACAAAAATTTTTGTCATGTAAAAAATAATTCCACTATCATTCGCTCTTAATTACCTACCCTAGAAAGAAAAATTTCCGGTGATTGTTTAAAAACTACTGGTTTGAAATTTTCTCTACAAGTACCGGATTACAATCTAATTCAGGAAAAATAACGATTATTTGATGGTGTCATCATTATGACGTAGTCGCTGATTTCTCTATCTTTACCGTGGCGAGGGTTGATGAACCGAGGTCATTAACACGGAAATGTATTAATGTAATTGGAATTTTCAAAGAGATTCAGCGAGATTGAATGGTTTATTTATTCGCTTCGAATGTAAAGACCTCTCGTCGATCGGAATTAGCTAGACCGCCCACTCCTAACTGCTACTTCGGCCAAAAACCTCAATAACATTATTTGCACGGTTATTTGGCTGAAATTACGAGTTTATTTGAACAAATAGGTCACTGATCATTTTTGGTTAACGTATACTTTAGAAAGGTGTAATGTAATAAAACCTAATTAATAATTCAAAGGGAGGATATAGTAACGTAACGAATACACTTTTATTGTTTACCTGCGGCTACTGCTGAATTTTAATTCGTTATTTGTAATTTGCTTGGTTTTCAAAATTTATTATGTGTATATTTCAGGGTTTGCTTTGGTCCTTGGGATTTGTGTATTACGTTAAAGGAAACGACACGACGAGATTTGCTTCGTTAACCCGTACGAACTACTATTCCAGCAACACTGCCTTGGAACTGGTCGGATTGGGAGCTATAAGCATATGCCTTACTTTTGTTAATATTATTTGCATTTATGCGGCTGGAATTCTCGTCTTTAAGGTAAGGTATATATGCCGCATTTCACAAGGCTGTTGTTAGGCCTTTGGACAACCCTCCTTACTAGTCATTAAGGTTCGTGAGAGAATTTGTATTGAAGAAGTCCTTAAACAAAACAAATGAAAAATATTTTTCAGTATCTACCAAAAACAAAAGTTGTATTTTTTTAACTGAAATTGTGTCTGCAATAACTTTATTTCCTCGACTTCCTTTAGAAAGACATCTTTATACATGCGTTTATTAACCAAATTAATTGGTAATTGGTTGAAAATTTCCGTTTGCCTTAGAAATTAGCAGAAAATTTTTTTGAAACCCCAGTAATTTGAACATCCGTTTCGTTTCTTTTGTATATGTATATATAGGTCTATTAGAAGTATATGTAGAATGAATAAAGATAGGTATCTAAAAATTAGGTGGCCGCCATGATCTTTGGTTTTAAAATGTTTGGGGAATTGCAGCTTTGCCACATTTAGTTGAACCACAAAATAAGTTGATTTTTTAAAATGAAATCACTCATATATAATTAAAATTTTAGATTCTATGAAACATTCTACAACATTCTATGCAACATACATTCTACCTTAAGTGAGCTATAGATAAACATTATTTTTTAGAAAATTTGGCTAACGTCAGAGGCTGTTCTCTCTTTCATCGGTTTTAGGTAAAAATCTCAAATTTTGTTTACAATTTGTCGCTAGATATGAGGGTGTTTTCAAAATTATGCATATTTTACAAAATATGAAAGCGTAAGATATTCTCGAATTCTAAACGGAACCAACTCTCTTTTATTGTGGCATTAAAAAGAATGATTCATTATTTGATCTAATAGTATTTTAACATATACTACCTATTTTGACCTGTTTTGGAGTTAAAAGCAAGAAAAATATATTTTGACAATTGAATTAGATATACTTTATCAAAAAATATATTAAGAAATTTTATGTTATAATATAATATTATTTTGATATTTCAAATTCGTGTTTCTGTAACCCAAAGGTCTGCGTTTCTTTTGTTGAACGTTACTTTTTTGAAAAATTACACTCATCATTCCAAACCGTTTTCAAAAGTTTGATTTTTTTTATATTTTAACAAAATCTCAATCGTTGAATTGAAGTAATTGTAATGTAATTGACTTATAATTATGCATTTTATGTGTATTTAAATACAATATCGTTTATAGCACTTCTTAATATATACTATATAATTGAACTGTCAAACCAACTCCAAAACGGCTCAAAATATGTTTTTATAATATGTTTAGATCAAGAACCAATGGTTCTGTTTATTACCGAAATAAAATACAGATAGTTCGATTTAAAATCCAGGTTTAAGTTATATGCGCATAATTTTGTAAACATACTGTATGAGATAACTTGCATCTCCGTGAAATGGTTAAAAGATCGATGCTTCTTGCAAAATTTTCTCAAAAATAATTTTTATTTCCAAAATATCTTGAGAGAGGTACATGTGTGTTACATAGATAGTTTTAAAATTTTCCAAGGAATTCAAAAATGTAAAAACATACTGGGCAGCCCATTAACAAAAAAGAATAACTGTGCCGACGTCGCAATGTCCCAAATATTTTACCTACTTCTAATAGACCATCGAGTTTAGGGAACCGTGTTTGTAAGATCCAAACTCAATCAAAATTTTTATTTCACGGTTTAGATCAAAGAGGTCGCTCCTCACACCACCCGCGACCACGCCCGAAGAAGATTCTGGAAACATGACATCAAAGTAGCCCGCAACTACAATAAAACCGTCCAGTACGGCGACAAAAACGACTCGTTTCAAACCATTTCCGACCAAATTGCTCATTATCACAGGACCAAGGATTCATTTCACCATTCCACAGACCTTTCCAAAGAAAACTTGAAAGTTAAAATTAAACGTTCGGAGTATACGTGGTCGCCATGCGTCAATAACGTTTACGATCAGTACGAGTCGCTCGTCAACGTCAGAGGCTGTTCTTCTAATGCCGTCAAATGTCATTTTCCCGTCGCCAGCACCCGCGGTCACAGAAGGCTATCGCAGATATTTCCTAGGTGCTCTCCTAAGGACGAATTTAGAAGGGATAAACAGGATATCGAGAAACAAGGTTTGGTTAGTGCGGTGGTCGATCCTGTCAGCACTTGCGAACTGGTCTGCAGCAACAAGAAATTTACCGTCACTCCGTGTGATTTGGAACAGCTCAAGGGCGTGGTTTAGCATATTTTATACCGTGTGTTGTTATTTTGTTATGTTTAATAAATCATTTTGTTTTCATTCAAAAGTTGTAGAGTGATTCGCGGTCGATTGCAATGCACAAGGGTGGTATATTATCAATCTTACCAATCTTTAGTTTTTTCATTTTACATTTTAGAAAAAAAAAAAAGGTTTAATACAAAAGTTGTAGGTGTGATGTGTAAATTTCATATTACATACTTATTTGTATACAGGATGTACCCAAAACGCTTAGTATATAAATATTATATTGTTTTAGATGGAAAGTCATTTTATGCTTATTTTAAAAATATATAACATGGTATAGTTAATTTTTATCTTAATTCCAGATTTACCAAAAAATAAAATCGTCACTTAGTCATCATGGCGTCACGCCAACGCCACCATCTTTTGTTTAATTATGCCACTTGCTGCATATCTTGAACGTTATTATTGTTCATAATTCGATAAAAGAATAATGTTTTCACTTGACGACATATTCGAAGTATTGTCGTTGTATGTGAAAAATCATAAAAAATGATCGTACGGCTAGTCGCACCGGTTGGGCCACTGACAGAATATTTGAATGATACACAGGGCACAATATGGCCAGTCAATTGTCATTTTCATCATTAGTTTTCATGTATTTTATTCGCTGGCCCTATTTACATTTTATAAATTGTTTATATGCAATTTTATTTGGACATTTTATTGCATTTAAGGAAGATATGTCATAGTTCAATAAAAGACGTGGTGTTTGCATGACAGATGCATGCCTGGTCAACTTGTTGAGGATTTTAATTCTAGCCTTAATATAAAAAATAGCTATAATGTGTTATTTTTATGATATGATATACGGAAATTCTAACTGAAAAAAAACTTTAACATATGCTTTTTGTCACACCTTGTACAAAAATGAAAATGTAATATTAAATCTACACATTCAACTTTGGCTATGGAATTTTAAAATGCCCGTGTTGAGCCTTTTAAATATGTATAAATAGTCAATGTTAATAAAAGGCATCATTATTCTTTATTGGATTTTGTATTCTGTTATACTTACTTTTAGTGGCTAAAGCCAAGCTTTAAATTCATTTAGCTAGTTTGAAATTTATCAAAAAGGCGTATAGTATGATACGACAAAATGTTGCATATTTTCAAACGAAAATGCAGAGGCAGCCAGCGAACTTTATCTCAATACAAAATTTAATCTTAGTTTAGCTTAGTTCACTAGAAGTAGCTAATGTTTTGTTTGGGTTAAATTTCATTATTTGGTATTACAACAATTCTTGTGTGTCATTAACTTTCAAAATTTATGCGGTTAAATATAATTTATATTAAATTATTAATTTTAAAATTAAAATAATTAATAGTTCCTTCATGGTTAACTTATTTTTGAAAGTCACTCTGTGATGTATTTAATTGCCCTTGTCTTATATGCACGGCCTACTTATCCATAGCTAATGAAATTTTAAAAAAGGGTGAAAATTTAAAAACGGATCCTGGTAGGCAGTGAAGATATTGTTTTATGATTAAGTGATTTTTAGAAATTTAGCCTATAACATGTAAGTCGATTTTGCTCGGCCTAGTTTAGCAATAGGTTTAAAAACACTGCAATTACGACCGTTCTGTGAATATAGACGGAAACCAGACACGAATTAACAGGATCGTTGTGAAATTTGAAAGTAGTTTTTCCGAAACGTGTATAATTAGGACAGGCCTTACATATATATTTAGGACGTGAGTTTATTGTTGGCCATAAAAGTGGTAAAAATTGCGGTTTTCTAATTAGAACACCTTATATGTTGTGAACTCTACTCTGGAAGTCAATTTATTCCTAGTGCCATACCTAAAAAGTTCTGATTCCGAACGGAAATGTTCGTGTAGTCATACATTTCCAAAAAAAAAACCTTCACTATAGTTTGCGAAAAAGACACACACTCTCGTCGAAGTAAAAATCTGCCAATTCACAAAAATAATGAAACCGGGCTTCGAATTTTCCCCAAACACGTGAACCGTTGGCACGTGCATACCTTTAAATAAATTTGCTATGTAGGATCGATGCATGCCAGGAACACGTTTTGGGTACATATTGACGTCATATAATATACTTCGTTGAAATGTGTTTTTGGTAATACAAAGATCAAAATAATTAAAAACCAGGTTGATAAAAATTTTATTTCGGTACAGCAATGGTAAATCTCACGTCTTCAATAATGAGTTAAATCGTTCTCTAATGCCTTCAGTCTGAGCACTTAGGAAGCAGCGGTATATTAACCAGATAGTTACGTAATACTAAATCGTCCAAACAAATGAATTAGCACAATAAGCCTGCTTTTTCTGATTGTTAGAAACTTGAAAGGTTAAAGAATTTAAAAGTAAAAATATTGGTATCGAATATTCCATGTGTGTGAAAATAAATCTGAAATAAGAGCGCCTTCTAGATAAAATACTGCATATTTTTCAACAAAATTTGCTAATTATTAAAAAGAAACATTGAGGCTATTAAGCTATGAACCTATAATGATATTGCCTCATCTTAAAGAAAGAAATAAACAGACCAAGACAGAAAGCGAAATGGTACGCAATATTGCTCTATTTTAAAATTATTCGATTTGGGTACATTAGGCGGACACTCCTCTTTAAACGTACATGTTTTTTGGAAGGAAAAATTTGCATAACCTTTTACCTGCAAAACAAACCTCTTTAACTGGACACGCCGTTAAACGGACGCGGACAACACTGTTCTGACTTAAAAAAAAAATTACCTCTCTTAAACGGACGTGAAACTTTTTCCGAATCCTATAGCGCAATTACCTTTTTCATTTTTCATATCATATCGTATTATTCATTACGCCATGACTTGCAGTTTTATTTTTGGCATTCAAATGCCGTAAGTGGATTCCACAATTTTTAATATAGCACCTATTAAAAAAATTCTTACTTTGCGGGGAAAAAATGGAAATTGTTAACGTTTCGGAAAAGGAAAATTTGTCACTGCGGAGGCTCACAGAAAAATTTAAAATCAGGTAAACTCAAGCGGTGGAAATTTGGAAAAATAAGGACAGCATTTGTGTACAGTGGAAGTCGGGAAGCAATACTGATCAAAAAAGAAATTTTGTAAAAACTGAGGGACTTCAAATTGAAAAAGTGTGTTTTAATTGGTTTTATCGGTTGCGGGGTCAAAAGTTTCCAATGTTGGGGCACTTAGTAAAGGCCAAGGCTCAAGAAATAGCCGAAATGTTCGAAATTTTAAAGCTTCCAATGGATGGCTGGAAAAGTGGCGCAAGAGACATGCGATAAGTTTTAACTGTATCGCTGTAGACTCAGCAGATGTGAGTCAGGAAGACATAAATCAATTTAGTTGCCCACACTACTCCTCGGATATTAGCCACACGATATTTACAATGCCGATGAGACTGGCCTTTTCTTTCGAATCTTACCTAGCAAAACACTTGCTTTGAAATTCGAAAAATGTGGTGGAAAGCTTTCCATGGAGAGGCTTACAATTTTATTCTGTGCTAATATGGCAGAACAAAAAGAAGATTTGCTCGTGAACGGAAAGGATGCCCGACCGAGGGTATTTAAAAACGTAGCAATTAAACATTTAGCGGCAATATGGAAATTTAACAAGAAAGCATGGATGACACACACGACACATTATGAATGAATGGTTGTTACAATTTGATTGAAAAATGACCATACAATAGCAAAAAAATTTATTATTCTTGGATAACGCAGCATTTACAAAACATGAAAATTATCTTCTATGTCAACCTCTAGATCAGGGTATCACACAGAATGTTAAATTCTAATATCGTGGACTCATATATCATCAAAGATGGATAAAGTAATGTCCGCGTCAGATTTAGCAAAATCTGTAAATATTTTCGAAGTACTTTATTTTATCAAGTCAGCCTGGTATAAAGTTTTGTCAGAAACCATACAAAATTGTTTCCACAGAGCTGGTTTTCAAAAAAATAATGATTTTTATATTCAATGGAATGGGATCCAGAAAATAATATCCCACTATCTACGATACTTGAAATGCAACGATGTGTTAAACAAATGAACATAACGCGAAAAACTCTTGGAAGCTATGTTGGAATCGATAATATTACAGCGACTGAAATTGAATTGAAATCGAAAACAAGAAAGAACCTGAACCGGAAGAAGACAGCGATCAAGAATATGATAGCACAATAACAGGTATAATGAAGCCTTAATAGTATATTATGCAACAAGTGCGGTAAGCGGCATTTGACTCACGAGTTTATTTGACACGACCGAAGCGAGTTTTTAATAAACGAGTGAGTGAGCAAAACAACACAAATACGTTCGCTGCATGACCGTCAGAATTGACAAACGTCAAAATTCAAAGCGTGGGAAATATTTCCGAAAACATCCGATTGCTCCCAAATCTGTGCGGTAAAATCCCGGAAATGTCCGAAGTGGCTCGAATTGGTGGGAAACGAAACGGATGTGGTAAAGTGACGCTTCCCGCACGCTAGATCGGTGTGTAATTGGGTATTTTACAGACGGGAGTAGAAAAAAAAACCTAATACATATTTACGATTTATGTTGTTTTTTTTTTTCAATGTACCTCTAATGAGCGGACAAAACTAGAGGAACCGTGAGTGTTCGGTTCTGGAAGTTTTTCACTATATTGAAAGAGTCACGATTTTATCTAACATCTGATGGAATAGGGACTTAAAACATTTCAAAACGTCTGAATGCACAGAAGAATGCCGCCATACCTGTCCGGTCGCTAACCAGGTGCGAAATAACTCGGCATCGATAAACTAATCAAACGCTAGCTTTTTTTGGGGCAATTCCGATGCAAAGAGTGGGAACGTAGCGTCGCGGTGCGCACGCCGCCGTCCCTTCCATAATACCGGCGCCCCGACGTCGTTATCAGCTGGAGGAGACCCGACGCCCAGTCTTGTCGGGCGTCTTTCCGCCGACGCCGTCAATTTGACCGCTCTCGACTGCCTCCATCATGGCAGTCAATATGCGAAGCTAGACTAATGTGATGTATTCACTGCAACACGGAGTGAATTTGTCGCGGCGTGCATGCAGGGGGTTGCTGGTTCTAATATTACTCGGACCGTTATGGGGTGCGGGGGCGGTTGCGATTGTCCCTCTCGATCGTACGGATCCCGGGTCTTTGCAATTCCCTCCTGTTTATCCGAACAATTACGCCGATGGTGTCTCGAACGTTGCGTCCGTTCCCACCGTCACCACCGACAGGCCCCAGTCCAAGAATGAGGTGCCAACGGATATGCCCCCGACTCTTGAGGTGGCCACCGAAGGGCAGCCTCAGAAAAAAAAGCCGGTGGAAAGGTATCCGGTCATTTCGGTGTCGTTTCACAGAGTCGAAACGCCCTTCATCATCGGTTTATGGATATTTTGCGCCAGCTTGGCCAAAATCGGTAAGAGATGCGATTTTTATTGTCCTGCCACTGATCATTCACTTAAAATTAGACCCGTTGTAGTTTTACGAAACCACGAATGGGTAACGTTGAAAGTTCCATTGCAGTTCACTAATTCCTGTGTTGGAGCTTACGCAGAGTTCGACAACCAGCAACTTATTAACTTAAAAGAGCCTATAGTATATCATTTTTTTCTCAATTCTAGCGCTTGTCTTGACTCAAGACGAAATAAGTACAAATGAACCGATTTAATAAAATTTCTTTTTGAGTCAGTGTTGATGGTTTAAATATGGGGTGCATTAAATTACTTGCACAGAAATCATCTTTTCAATTGATCTTGTTCTATTACGAAGTCTTAAAAGTTTAAGCAGTTTGTGGCCAAGATTTTGATGAAGAAATCCGGCAAAAATCACGGTACGGCTAATAAACTGATTCCAACTTGTAATTGACAAGATAATAAATATATAGTAAATATGGTAATTTTGATTAATAACAACTATTTGGAAGGTTTCCCTTTAAACTTATCGAAAATTATTACGATGGTCTGGTTCTTGTTCAAAAAGTATGAAAAAATGTATCAAAATTTGTGAAACCTTATGCGAGGGAATACATGAATACAAAGATGCGGTGTAACCATATAAATATAACATGCAACAAGTCTGATGAACGACTCACGAACCTGAAGAAGGTCAGAAGAAGTTTGTAAATAAGTATTTTCTACAACCATTACGTTTTGAGTCCCTCAGAACTGGAAAATGTCAATATGCCATCAGCCTTTTAAATCTACAGAAAGTATCCGTGACGAAAGTAACGGAAAAGACCGAAGTGTTTAGTGGTAGTAGAAAGACGGTATAAATTCACAATTAGATGATTATATTGACTAAGCGAAGATGGTGACGTCCACTTTTTGATTTCTCTTGAGTTGAGTTTGAACTTTCGGGATGATATAGAGCGCTAAACTCTCAAGTGCAGATCTCAAGAATTATTATTCTCTCTTGATTTTACGTCTTTCTATGTCTCCTAATGGCGTTGCTTTGTTTTATTTTCGTTTTAGATCTCTTTTCGGACTGTCGCAAAGACGATTTTAGGTGCGTTTGCAAATCGTTTCGGGACAAAAAAATGAAACCAAAATAAGTGAAAACAAAGCCAAAATCAGTAATTAATTAATAATTAGATTCTTTTTATTGGAAAATTGATTCACACATTCACATTCGAGCGTTGGCGTAAATATTTTTTGAATATCGTGTTTCTTAATAATACCTCAATACTGATGGATGCAATTCTGGAATTCATTTTACGAAGGGAGCTTGATATCTACATATGTTCTAAACATCCTAACTTTTAAGGACAGAAGGAAAGAAAAAATGTTTTCCATGTATTTGACATTTTTTCAGATGAATATTTTTTGTAGAATGTTTAGTCGTCTTTTTGGAAATGGAATCACCCTGTATCTTACAAGTCATCATGCCTGGGTCATACGTTCATTCTGTAGTGCGCTCGGATAGTTTTGTGAATAGTGAATTCCGGCAGGAACGAACGAACTGCTTTCGGGGAAAGACAGTACGTGGGGAATTGGTCTAGCTGATTGGTCGTTATTTACTCAAGAATTTTATTAAAAAATTCGGGTCAAGGATTGGTCTCTTCAGTGTCGACATATTATTAAGAGACACGCTATTAGAAACATACCACACAGCATATACTTACAAGTTAATTTTTCAAAGAAACTTCCACAGGCTACTGTAATACTTTTCATATTGCTTCTGAATTCCTCCTGCGTCGGTTTTTGTTGAGTCGAACTAGCTAACTGCTTCAGTTTCAGTCAAGCTCTGAAGAAGCCAAGATTATGATTGGCGAAACGTTAGCTAGTTCAACTCAACGAAAACCTACACAGGAGGAATCCAGAAGTTGTATAAGAAGTATACTTACAAGTTGTAAGTACGAGTATATATCGGCGCATGGGTGAAATTGAGAGACTGGTTTGTAAACGGAATTTTTTGATAATTCCATTTGTGTAAAATTCTTTGTAGATTTTTTAACAGATATATTCAACGTTTTCATATTGTCATTAACTTAGAAGAACCTATGGTACTACATCATTGCTATCTCGATTCTACGGCTTGTCTTGACTCAAGACGTCTTTCCGTATTTTGAAATAAGTACAAACGAGCTGATTTAAGAAAATTTCTTTTTGAGTCATTGTTGATGGTTTAAATATGCGGCGTTTTCAATTACTTGCACAGAAATCAACTTGTTAATTGGTTTTGTTCTATTACGAAGTCTTAAACGTTTATGCAGTTTGTGACAAACATGACGACACGGCTACTAAATTGATTCCAACTTGCAATTAGCCAGAAATTAAATCTATAGTAAATAGGCTAATTTTGATTGACAGCTAATAAAAATATCTGGCTGATTATTTCACTTTAAACTTATCGATAAATATTACGATGGTCTGGTTCTTGTTAAATAAATTCAGGAAATAAAATGTTATGGGGCAAATATGTGTTCAAAAAGTATTGAAAAAATGTAGCAAAATTTGTGAAACCTTCTGCGAGGGAATACATGAATACAAAGATGCGGTGTAACCATATAAATACTACAACATGCAACAAGTCTGATAAACGGCTCAGGAAGCTGCAGAAGTTTATAAACAAACTTTTTCTAGGACCATTACTTTTTGATTCCTTCAATGTCAATGTACAAAGTAACGGAAAAGACCGAAGTGTTTAGTGGTAGTAGAAAAACGTAATTCATGGCATAATTTCATAATTAGATGATTATATTCACTTAGCGAAAATGGTGAGGTCTCCTAGACTTTCTTCTCGGTTTACTTTATCTGAATTGACGCTCTTCGATGTTTACGTTACTTCCGCATTTCTCTTGAGTTAAGTTTGGACTTTCGGGATGATATTTTTCGAAACATGCTACTGAACATTTCCGAGAGCTAAACTATAAAGATTCAAACAACTCTCCTGATTTTACGTCTTTCTATGTCTCCTGATGGCCTTGCAGGCGAAACACGTGCAACGTTTTGAGAATAATGATTCTTGAGGCTTTCACTTGTGAGTTGTTAGCATCTTTATAGTTTTGCAGTATGGGCAATTCGTTTTATTCTTCAGAGCGGTGCCCTAAACTGTTTGTCTGAGCTTGTGGAAGTTTCTTAGAAAAAGAAAATACGTTCTTATTTCAAAGAGCGTAGAGCAGATAGGTGTAGGAAAACATAATTAAACTTGAGGAAATTTTTATATAGAATTCGAAAAGAAAAGATGAACTTGCGCTCCTGTCCTCAAAAAAACGACGCGTGCCAGACCCAACCGAATGGATAATCTTAGGTGTAGGAAAACATAATTAAACTTGAGGAAATTTTTATATAGAATTCGAAAAGAAAAGATGAACTTGCGCTCCTTTCCTCAAAAAAACGACGCGTGCCAGACCCAACCGAATGGATAATCTTCTCCTTAAGCGTTTTCCACGGCTGCGGATTTCGTAAATATTTTTTTCGAAAAATTTACTTCAGACGAACACTCCGTCTATGCACTGGTTTTTTAAAAAAATTACCTGAAACGTCAGGTAATATAATAACGACGCTAGCGCAATACAGTTGGCACAGTTTCAACTTTTTAAATTGGTTTTTAGTGTGATTCATATTCCACGTTTGCTGGAATAACTTTGTCATTGCTAATTGTATTTAGTCAGTCACTAAATAAAACGGATTTTAATAACATGGTGCCAGAATATTTAATAGCCGTTTTAGGTATAATATTTTTGAGGAATACGTCAGAATTTCTGCAAATCAAGTTAGAATATCGGGGACACTGCAGGATATAACACGATGACACTAGCGCCAGCTAGGAGCTACGTTAAATAAGCTTCAAATTCGCAATTTCCATGTCAAAACTCCTATAACTGCCAATTTTTATTATTATGTTATCAAATCTTTCTCAATTAATAAGAAAATTCGGAATAAAATTAAAACTTTGAAAGCTCAGCGCGTCACTAGCATCAAGTTTCAGCCTTAAGTCAGAAATTCAAAACGAGGGGATGAATTTTCAAAAACAAAGTAATTTTTAATTTTTTGTTTGGAAAATCAAAAATTTAAGTGTCCGAGAATAATTTTGAGTTGTGAAATTGTGGAGGAGGCGTAAATGTAACATCTGTCCCGATTTAAGGTGACAGATTTAACGATCAAGAAATAAAAGCCTCGAAGCCGTGCAGCGTATCCGGAACAACTCGGTTTATGGGGTTTTTAAAGACAATCGATATTCCCTGACCTCAAACTTTGCAGTATATGAAACCTCGCGGGAAAGGGGTTATTTTAATATGTTCTGTTTTGCGAGATAAAAACTTTTAGTGTTTTAGTTTCATTTTAGAACCGTCCTTATACGACAAAAAATGAAACCAAAATAAGGGAAAACAAAGATAAAATCACTAATTAATTAATAATGAGATTCTTGATATCGGAAAATCTGAGTAATTCTTGAATTCGTTGTAAGAAAAGAGCTTATTATCCACGTATGTTCTATCCTTACTTTTAAGAGCAGGTGAAGTTTAAAGAAAAAATGTTTTTCAAGTATTTGATATTTGTCATCTTTTGCTTTTTTCGCAATGTGAATGATACGAATGCGGAAATGGAATCACCCTGCGTCTTACAAGGACATTTAATATTTCATACTGTAGTACGCTCGGGTAGTTTTGTGAATAGTGAATTCCAGCTTTTGGGGAAAGGCAGTACGTGCCCAATGAGCTCCAATACTGTCCGGGGTTTATAGAGTTCAATGGTCATTGAGTGGTGCATATGTCCAAAACTTTAACTAAACGACACTGCGAATTTGCGTTTAACGAAATAAACGTCTTTATTTACTCAAGAATTATTTTGATGACACAACTGCAATTGTTTTCCGTATGTTACAATATGAAGTTTTTTATTAAAAAAATCAGGTCAAGGATTAATCTCTTCAGTATCGACACACTTTTAGAAACAGGAACATACTTACAAGTTGTAAGTACGAGTATATATCGGCGCATCGTTGAAATTGAGAGACTAAGACGACTTTTGGTTTTGGTAAACGGAATTAATATATGTCAAAGGTTCAATACTTTTGGACCACTTCAACCACAAGTTACTTCTATAGGCTACTTTGAGAGTGAATGAAAAATCTGATAACTGTTTGTCCACAACAACCAGTCTAAAGAATGTGAACATTATCAAGAAAGTCGAATTCTATCCAAAGAAAGTATAATAATGATAATAAACGATATATCACCTTGAAATTGACTCTGAATAGAGTATGGGTAAGCCAGACCCAAAACCCAAAAGCGAGGTCCTTCTGCACAATAAAAACACACAATGATATTGCTTGGCTAGTTCACCGAGAATTTTGTACTCCTTTTAAAAAATATCATGGAGCTCCATTCTATACCTGGAAAAATTGGATTCAATTAATTGAGAAAAATATGGGCGGTTACCAAAATCCGCACTACCAGGGAAAGATCTGCAAATCCAGGGAAAATGCTATCTTGAGATGCAAATGGCGACTATATGTTCTAAACTAGCAGATGCACTTTCAAAAACTTAGCATCACTATAGAAGGAATTAAAAGCTCTTTTTAATGATCTCGACGCTGATTGCTTTTTGAAACGATTTTGTCAAAAATTGTCCCAATGACAAACTTGATGTGTTTTTAAAGAGTGTGCGCTGCTTTACGTTGGGACACCCTTCCTATCATTTTCACGTGTGTTGTTGCTGCAATGTAAATATTCTGCGATAAAGAAAAATAATTTTTAACAAGTAATGGTCATTAAAAGGGAAACCCTAATTATTTATTATTAAGAAAAAAATGACATATCGATACGCACACTTGTAATAATGTTATCCATAAGCTAAAAATAAAACCCTCTAACTTATTGGCATTTACTTTGTGCTCATTTGTTAAATATTATGTTACATCAAAATATATAGTCTTTTAGTTAATTACTACAGAAATCGTTAGGGATGATTATAGTTGTGGAATTGACAGGTCAATTTTTTTTGTTTCAATTGACCGAAATAATTCTAAAAATAGCATGAAATGTATATTTATTTGTATTGTGCGTTATTTTGGGAACCAAATGGAATATTCCTCGAAGAGGATTATAGGTAAATTGAACAACACAAACGCATAATAATTTATTATAAAATACATATTATTTTTTAAATGATGATAATTGCAAGATGTTATTTAAAACATCTTTTACTAATCAATTAAAAAGTGGTCAATTGACCGGTCAATTAACAAGTGGCCAATTGACTAGTTCCAACACTAGGGATGACGGTAACTTTGAAAATTTTCGTTTTTTCGAAAACGAGAAATTGATTTATTAAAACATGTACACTGCGTACAAAATGATAAAGCTAACATACCACCTTTCGAATCCAGTTAGAGAATTTTTTTTGTAATTTTTGCAAGACAATTTTTGGATATTCTTGAAGCAATTATTGTTAAATTTATTTATTATTGTTTTGATCTATGTGTAAATATGAATGTACATCGCAAACAATTACGTATTATTCAAGATGGACGACTATAGCACTGCTAATAAATGAATTTAGAACTTGCTTAAGAGATGTTTATTTCGCAACAAACGCAAAATTTTCAATAAAGATCATTATTTTTTTTATTATTATTATTGATAAGAAAATCGAATCTGATGATTTTGAAGATCTTATAAAAAATGATTTTATGCTACAATCAAATGGGAACAACTACTTTGTATTGTTTCAGGTTTCCATATGGCCCCAAGGCTGAGCGCCATTTTTCCGGAATCGTGCCTCCTCATTTTCGTGGGAGTAGTGATCGGGGTGGTCCTGGTGTACATCACCGACAGCGTTCACGTGTCTCCATTGACACCAGACACGTTCTTTTTCTACATGCTACCGCCCATAATATTGGACGCAGGCTATTTCATGCCCAGCAGACTGTTCTTCGATCATCTCGGCACCATTTTGTTATTTGCTGTTATAGGAACTATTTTTAATACCTTACTTATAGGTAAGTATAGATCAAAACAAGATATACCTGTACAAATGCAGCTTTTTTGGTTATGGTAATATTCCAAATCACCAAAACTAACCAAAACTTAAAGAAATGTTTAATAAATATTGCTTGTGATTCTATAATGCAGGTAGTATTAAATTTTCCTAAACAATATATAGGGTTATCTTTATATTTGTCTACCCACATATAGCCTTAACTACAGGTTTTATAAAAAGATGTTCAATGCTAAAGTTCTAGGGGTTTTTGGTCTATTTTCATTAATTAATATAACCTATAATACAGGGTGTCTCAAAAAATGTGTGTTTTAAATGGAACAGTATTATATTTATAAGAACCCCTGAAGATTCGACAAGTTTTCGTCATGACCGTGGTGGCACTGTTGTCGATTGTTTTTGAGTTATTGACTCTTAAAAAGATTTATGTTTGTCCATTTTGTCGACTTCAGTCAAATATGAAAACTAAGCAATTCAACGTAGAGCAAAATAACTTTACATTCATACTTTAGTTTTCATACATTTTCACTTGAATTTTTATTTTTTTTATATTACATTTTAATTAAACTTTCAGTTTACACGACACAATAGCTTGACAAAAACTAAGATATTGGAATGTGGAGGTCATTTGGCTTCAAGGTGAATATCACGTTTCGAGTATCAATAGCTCAAAAACTATTGAGAATAGAGTTATATAATATCGCCATAAACATTGGAATTAAGTTATTAAACATTCGATACACCTAACTGGAAAAATTTATTTGGCTACAAAATAACAGAATAAAATTGAAACACTTTTTGAGTACTTATTCCTATTTAGTCTCTATGTACCTCAATAAACGCTGAAATAAAGTAATATGCAACTGAAGAGTGCAAAAATATTTTTGAAGTTATACTGAAGATTTATTTTGAAAAAACAACAACGTTGACAAATTTGAGTCATCGCCACAACGCTTGATCTGTAATTTTTCTAGAACGTAAGACAAAACAGCGAATTTTTTCTTAATTACCATACGCCTAAAAACTCGTTTCTTGTGATAGACATCTTTACTATATATATAGATATATATATATATATATATATATATATATATATATATATATATATATATATATATATATATATATATATATATATATATATATATATATATATATATATATATATATATACATCCCGCTATCTTCCGAGCGTCCTTTCATGGATCCGTCTCTGAGCGTCCAGTATTGTTTTCTTCAAGATCCCTACTTTAACAAGTGAATATTTTGAAGTTTTATAAACGAGATGGCGTTGAGTTGCCTTAGGCCAGATTTTACGAAGATCATTTTTGTGAAATTTTATGATACTTATATGTCGGCGTCCTTTTATAGAGGTACCTTGCTAGCGTCCAATATACACGGGAAAACTTTTACATTTCAGCATCCTAGCGTCCGTATGTATATTTTTCATTTATTGGGCAGATTTCTGAGCGTCCGAGCAGCATTGCCCGATTGATTGTGTATTAAAGTACATATAATAAGATATGGTCTTTAGAACACGCTTCTCCTTTTTAACATGACGGTGCACAGTCGAGCGGGTATAAGGCGATTCATGTTTTCGCTATATTTTAAAAAATGCTTTGTTGCTAACTGTTTTATTTTGTTATATATGTTTTTTTGTAGATTTGGTAGTTTTTGAAGCTCTTTGCTAAACTTAATTTCTTTGTGTAGATGTTTTCTTTAACACGTCGCCCGATTTTGGAAAGTAATTCTTTAATTCTTTGATTCTTGAATATGTTTGCCAGAAATATTGCACATGTATTTACGTTAGCCAGGCGCTGCTTGGACATAAACCTAACCAATAATAATAATAATTGAAAGCAAATACTATTATTAATTTTTCAAAGAAACTTCCACAGACTACTGTAATACTTTCTACAAAACTTCTGGTTTCCTCCTGCGCCGGTTTTTGCTGAGTCGAACTTGCTGACGTTTCGCCAATCTTCCTGTTGGCTTCTTCAGGGATTGAGTGAAACTGGCTCGCATTTTACTCTGTGCCTGTATATATATTGTTTGAGGCGGGCGGAGCTAAATGAGAGGCATAGACACCGTCTCGGATCACTGATTCCCATGTTAGTGACAGGTAAAGACCAGAGTCGCGGTTAAGATTCTATGGTTGTTTATTGATTTGTTTGATTACATACAAGAATTCGCCAACAGCTGATGAATTTATTTGTCTTAGTCGTACGGCTCTTTCGTGTTCTTTGAGCCTAGTTTTTCGTCCGGTTTCTCCAATGTATTCTTTGCCGCATATGCATAGAATGTTGGAAACCCCTGGCATCTCAAATGGAATTTTATCTATGACGGACCGAAAATGTCGAGAGATTTTGCATAAGTGGTAAGTCTGGTTTTGACGTTATACTTCTTTAGAACTTTTGATATGTGGTCAGTGATATTTTGAATGTAAGTGGCAAGTGGAGGATTGCTTTCGGCCTCATTGCTATTGGAAGGTTGTGGTGAAGTGTATTTTTTGATCGAACGCTTAATATCTTTAATGTGGAATTTATTAGAGAGAGAAAAGCAGAAGTAAGATGTTTTAATTCTGGGTTCAGTGACTCGGGCTGAGATAGTTTTACGGTTCTGTAAGCAACAGAGTTGACAACCGATGACTTTTGGGCCAGATTGTGATGTGTGTGAACTTAACATATTAAATTTGAAAAGTTTACCTCTGCTCTTCTCTCTAATAATTTCCACATTAAAGATATTAAGTGTTCAATCAAAAAATACCACAACCTTAAAATAACAATGATGCCAAAAGCAATCCTACACTTGCCACTGTGGTCTTCCTTACATTCAAAACATCACTGACCACATATCAAAAGTTTTAAAACCAGATTTACCACTTGTCCAAAAATTTCTCAACATCTTCGGTCCGTCAAAGACAAAATTCCATTTGAGATGCCAGGAGTTTACAGCATTCCATACATATGCGGCAAAGAATACATTGGAGAGACCGGACGAAAAATATCAACTAGACTCAAAGAACACGAAAGAGCCTTACGACTAAGACAAATAAACTCATCAGCTGTTGCCAAACACACTCACGATACTGGCCATAAAATTTTATTCGATGAAACTAAAATTCTTGCATGCAATCAGTTCTTCCACCAACGAAAAATCCGAGAGTCAATAGAAATCTATAAACAACCTAACAATCTTAACCACGACTCAGGTCTCTACCTGTCACCAATATGGGAATCCGTTATCTGAGACGGTGTTTATGCCCCTCATTTAGCTCCCCCCCTACGCCAATCCCTCAAACAATATGCCAGCAGGTACAGAGTAAAATGCGAGCCAGTTTCAGTCAAGCTCTGAAGAAGCCGACAGGATAATTAACGAAACGCCAGCAAGTTCGACTCAGCAAAAACTGACGCAGGAGGAACCCAGAAGTTTTGTGAAAAGTAAATACTAATATTTAAATATTATTTTTTTAAATTGTTTACTAAGTTCTTGACGGTTGACTTATTTGCAGATCAATAAATTATGGTACCAAATTAAGAAAAACTGTTAATTTAGAAATTATGTAATATAATTTTCAATTATTTTCTTTTACGAGGCCAACTGAGGCAATATTATTGTGTTGTTTGTGCTTAATGTTGGTCTAAAATGGGCCGATGTTAGTTATTTGGAATAATTAGAAGTTACTATTTTAGTTTAATTAAAAAAAATTATATAGAACACAGACAACTGCGATGAGAACGGCATTCGTTACTCGTTAACATTAACATTTTCTTCAGAAGGCTATTTACAAATCTTCTAGATCCCTTCTGCATCTTTTGTTTATAAATAAAGCTAGCTGACGTTTCGCCAATCATCCTGATGGCCTCCTCAGAGCTTAAGTGAAGCTTGCTCACATTCTATTCTGAACTTACTGATATACTGTTTGAGAGAGGCGGAGCTACAAGAGTGACATGAACATTGTCTCGGATTTCCATATTGTTGAAAATCAGGGTCGCGGTTAAGATTGTTTGGTTGTTTAGAGATTTCTATTAATTTTCGGATATTTCCCTGGTAGAAGAATCGATTACATTGATTAATTTTTAATTTGATCGAATGAGATTTCGGTGTCATTATTGTTTTCGGCAACTGCTTATGACTCTATTTGTCATAGTCGTATATTTTTTGTTCTGTTTCTCTGGTTAGTTTTGACATAGCTCTTTCAGATATATTGCAATTCGGGAATCTGGAATCAAACATATTCAACCAAATTGAAAAATGCTTGTCTGGAACATATTTTTCTTGTAACGGTCAAATTTATGAACAGGACCAGCTGTGAGATCTCCAGAATGGTTGGCGAAACGTCAGAAAGTTCGATTTATCAACCACCGACGCAGGTAGAATGCAGAATATTTGTAAATAGTCTTACATTATTCTGTGAAAGTTTCCTTTAAAAAAAAATCTTCAGAAATCTTTGCTAAACAAGTTTGATAAACGCCATATTAGTTTATTTGGCACGAATGGAGCGAGTGCTTAATAAATGAGTGACTGAAGAAGTTTACAAGGTGTTGCATACTATATGCGTGTACCTTGACCATCAGAATCGACAAACCAAAGCACTGGCTAATATATCACCGGAAATATCCGCAGTGGCTCGAAGCCCTACGTAACGTCTTTAAGCCACACTGTGTAATGCGTATTTTAGAGCAGGAATGTAAAAGGGGGATTTTTTTAAATCAATTTGAAAAAAAGATTTAGATGGTATCCAAGGAACTAAAGAGACACTTTTTATCGCGAGGCAAAACTTTATAGAGAATATGTCGAAAATCACCTAAAAAGATACTTTACTTCAGAGGTTGATTGTTAGGATTTAAGTTTAGGTACATTAAAAAAAGTAATATATGAAAATATTGTTCAGTGGCAGTGGTGATACATTATTGTACTTTACTTTTCATCCCTCACATTCCTTGTTTAACTTCATTTTTATTTATATCTTAGGGCACAATGAAGAAAAATAACTATTAAAAAGAACACTTTTATCGAATAACTTTTATCAAAGTTCATTTCAAAATAATAATTTTTACTAAAATATAGAAATGTTACTTTTCACATTTATTTTGGTTTGATTAAAAGCAAAAGTCAACAACTTAAATCGTTCAATAAAATAGTTCTTATATGTTGCGACCTATTAATATTAATGAAATATTATTAGACGATAAAATCAAAATATTTTATTACCCAATTATTTAGATAAGTATTTAGGAAATGATATTTTAATTTGCAAATTCCAACAACTTCTTTTCCTATTGCATTAAACAACCATTTATGTTCAATATTTCTATAATATAAATATTTATATTCGATATTTTTAATATTTCGAACACCGTTCTAAATAGCACTTAGCAGAAATTATCGGAAGAAAGTAATAAATCTAAAAATGTGCCCAAAAATTAAAAAAGATTCAGAAGTTATTGCATAGTATTCGCATATAAAAAACCAAAACTTGTTGGTGCCACATTGTTTAATTAAAACATTTTAATAATGTTGCTTCATGATTCTGAAGATTATATAATGCAATAATAATAAAATAATCGAAAAATAGCAATTTGTGCAACTAAATATAATTTTTTTTAAGTGATCGAGGATGGCTCGGTTGGTAAGTCGTTAGACCTGCCAACTCGACTTGCAGTAGAGGTTGTTGGTTCGATTCCCACCTGGAGTCTTGGGTGTTGTTATTGCGTTTGTTGTCTGACTTTAACGACTGACTTTAATCTAGTCAGGCTTCCAAGTAAAGACAGAGGCGAGTTCATTGAATTAAGGCAACGGGCGGACAAGTAGTTGAAAAAAGAATAACTTTATGCAATGAGCGGATTTTCTCACGAAGAGAGCAAGCGAAACAAAAGAGTTTGGCGACGTGTCACAGAATGTTGTTTTAAATTCTAATATCATATAAAGCGTACGGCATTGGCAACAGGATATAAATATGATTTTTGTAAATTTTGAATTCTTTACCACACATTTCGAAAATAAACTTTAATTAATTATTTAATTTTTTAATAGAAAAAAAGTCTTGCGTATTTGTGTTACGTTTACGTTAATTCCTTAGCCTACTTCCGAATTTGTGGTACAAAAAATAAAATTCTCTATTTCCACCGTCTCTACATGCTCGAACTACGGAGCGCCAATCGAGTTCATTCAATATAAAAAACAAAACAACTAGGCGAAGCAGAGCCGTTACCCCACAATTTCGCACCAGTCTGCAAAAGTTAATAGTGACAGTGTTGCCACGTAACAAAGGCGCAGAGGACGCCTCGAAATCGACGAGCTGAAAGTAGAATATATCTTGTAAAATATACAGACTGGGTCTCGCGCCTCTACTGGGTATACAGCTGAACTAACAATATACAAGAAAAATCAGTTTACTACGATCGTAGCGTCTTTGTGAAAATTTTAATTTAGACTACTTAGATCTTGTATATACCGTTTCTATAGCGCTGCATACGGGCGTCCATATATGGACGCCCGGTTGTAGACGGACGCTCGGAAAATAGCAAATTGTTAATGTACGGACGCTTGGAAGATAGTGGGATATATATATATATATATATATATATATATATATATATATATATATATATATATATATATATATATATATATATATATATATATATATATATATATATATATATATATATATGTGTGTGTGTGTGTGTGTGTGTGTGTGTGTGTGTGTGTGTGAAAAAATTATCAACTTAGATTTAGCCAGATTGAGAAACCGAAATTTAGCAAGGGAAATACATATCAGTATTTGAACACAAATATGTAGTTATATGTAAAATATTTAGTCAAGTTGCTATAATCAAAAATATGAAAAGGAACTATCACTCCGGCCTATCAAAAAAATTATATAGCCAGAAAATTTTAGGAAATTTAATTTTTCTATTAAGCTATCAAATATTTGACAGAAGTGACGTTTATTTACTCTTTGTTATTAAATCCCAGCCTGTCAAATTTACTTAATAATTGCTAGTTTGCTGTACGTCAGGCACGAATGGGAAAAAAATTGTTGTGTTGGGTTAGTTACAAATATTGCTGGGCTAGTTGATTATTCAAGTTTTGTTGACTATTATATTAAAACCAAATGATGGAGAAATATGTAAAATATAAACGACTCAGTGCAATTTATTAGCCTCATGGCTGGACTATCAACTTCTCTATTTACGTTCATTCTATAAAGATGCTTGATGCTGATAATATATTGTCAAGATATCTATGTTCTTCCTATTTAACATGGCTTTTATTAATGATATTACATATAGAACGACTTCGAAAACAAGATATAAAGCTATTCTAGTTTGTTGTTGTGTCACCAACACGTAAGTGCTAAGTATTGGAATCTTTTGAATTTCAGGTGCTTCCTTGTGGGCGGTAGGACTAACGGGCCTGTTCTCATGTAAATCCTCTCTGCTAGATATGTTCCTCTTCGGCTCGCTGATCTCTGCGGTTGATCCGGTCGCCGTACTAGCGGTTTTCGAAGAGATCCAGGTGAACGAGATCCTCTACATCGTTGTGTTCGGCGAATCGCTGCTTAATGACGCGGTCACTGTGGTCCTATACAACCTGTTCGAGTCTTACAAAGAGATGGGCTTCGAGAATATCATCTACACGGACGCGTTGGCAGGCTTGACCAGCTTTTTCGTGGTGGCCATCGGGGGCACTGTGATCGGTGTGATTTGGGGCTTCGCCACCGCCCTAGTGACTAGGTTTACAAACGAAGTGCGCGTAATCGAACCTATTTTTATATTCGTTATGGCCTACTTGGCGTATTTAAATGCCGAGATATTTCACATGTCCGGGATTTTAGCGTAAGTACGAACCTAGTTTTATTGAGGGATTTTTTGAAAATTTTACACTTTAATTTGCCTGGTATTTCACTAATTTCGGAAATCTAACCAATCGAATGAAGTATAAATTATTTTTGATAATCGGTAATTACATTAAAAAGAAGATGGTATTTAGATAACCATAAATAAACGTATATAATTTATTTAGAAAAACTAAACAGATCAAGTAAAGTGGAAATTAGTCTTATCCCAAATCGCATTTAAATTTCAGTAAAATTCACCAGACCCATTTGAAATACAACCTATTCAGGTATCTATTATTATTAACAGCATCTTCTATCTAAGTCATTGAAAGAAACAAAATTCAAAACCTAAAATAATTTATTGTTATTGTTACTCTTCGTAATCTAGTTCCTTGGTGACTTATGGTTAGCCGAGTAGAAGCTAGAGATCCTTAAAAAATTGTTGTATTGCATTAATAAATATATATTGTTACTGGCAAACAATAAATAAAAGTCGAAGGGACTTACAAAGCTATTACATTTTACATATTTAAAATATATCTAAATTAATCATGTAAATGAAACCATATAACACAGAAAGAATTTTGCTTTTAATAAAATCACTTTTATTCCGCAATAATAGCTTGATAAACTTATTAAATTTGGAAAATGATCAACAACATTTTATTCATTTTGATCAAATTGAGCAACCGGAACATCTATTTCTAAGAATAAACCTAACAGATATTTTACATTTATTATTAGAATTGTGTAGGACCTACTGCCGTAAGTCATGAGTTTAACTTATCTGATTTTATTGCCATTGTTCTCGCAATTTGTTCCACGAGTAACGATTAAATTTTGCTTACTTTTTTTCTAGAATTAGAATTAGAATAATTAAAATATATAGAAATGCTTAAAACTTTTGGGACGTAACTAACCAAGCTAAAAAGTTAATTAACGGGGAAAAGTTTGCATTGGCCCTATATATGTTATCAAGATAAAAAAAAATCAATTTTATTTTTGATATGTTTTATGGACTTTTACCTTTTTATACTATTTTGCAAGTCATTAAAACGCAAAGTATAATTTAAAAAAGCGAAAGTCAACTAATAATTGCGAACATATTTACATATATATATCACAGTTTTCTTTCAATTTAACAAGTTTTGTAAAAGCAAATAGGCAAACGAAAACAAAGACGCTACAGTTAAAATGTTAAATGCTTTAAAATAATTTTTAGAGCTATGTGTTTTTGGGTTTCCAACAAGGAGAACGTATACAGTTTTATGAGCACCTAAAATCTCCTGACCTGACACCTTGAACAGACCCCATATCGCAGCTTTAAGTCGATATTTACAAAATAACTTTGAATTATGCTCTGTTTCTTAATGCGAGAGAGTTATATACCATCTGTAAAACTTAGTGGTATTCCATAGGCGTATCTTTCTACCTACGATGATTTTCAATGTTCCCGAGAGTGGCAAGTAGAGGTACAGGTAGTTGACCTACCTGTGCTTTAGTGTTCAATATTAGAATTGTAGTTACCTTTCAAGATCACCAAAGAGAGGTACAGCAAGAAAAGTAACTGCATTAAATCAGGATAAAAAGATTGTAATCAGAAGAATAATACACTTGTTTTACTTAAATAAAGAAATACATGCCTTGGACAAAATAACGTCAGAATTGAAAAGGCATAATTTAATTACACCCATGGGTAAGAAGAAAATATTTAAAATTTTAAAGAATATGAATTTTTGTTACGAATAAACTCAAAACATAAAATCACTTTTAATTAAGTTAGATAGTTTCAAAGATAAAACAGGAATATTTGGACGAAATTTGGGTAAATTGAGAGTTACTTGTGATGTCCGATATTCACAATTTGTTTTAGATTTTGAAGTTATTCCAGGAGTTTCATTATCGCTGTGAGTTGAGCCATGAAAATCCTGTAAATCCTGTTCCACTTCATCGAAATCATTGCCAAGCGAATTTCAAAATACATTGGAGTCGTTAATTTAAGTTTAATTATCGTTAATTATCGATTAGTTTTGTGCTCGCAATTTCATTAACCAAAATTATCGATGTAATATTCACCTTTGAATCGCTTTTTATAATCAGTGTCAATAATTGTTTTACTCGCAATTAATTAACATAGATTGAAAATGACTAAAAATCATTAATTTCTTTAGATTCAGATTTACTCCCAATGAAATGGAAATACCAGAAATGACATTAATTGATTTTACAAAACCTTAAGCTCCAAAAAATATTCTTTGACGCTCCAAATACGTGCTTGAAACTTTGTAGTGATATCTATAGTGGTATGAGAGATATGACAAGAAATATATTTTTTAGCGAAGCATTTGGATGAGCTCTTATTTTGGAGGTTGTTTAGGTATGCACACTCCAATTCCGAACACCCTGAATATTTTGAAAGTCGCGATCAACAAATATATAAATGCAGAACTGCCTTCAAGCAATTTCCGCCGAAAATCCAATGATATTAAAATTGATGAGCCAGCATATTTCAAATCGTTCAAAGCGAATTTTCATAGCAGCGTAGAAGCTAAATTGGGTCTGAGTAATTGAAAATGCGCTTTAAAAAATACTCGCTGCAAAAATTGGTAAATGGTCTTTTCTTGAAGGTGGAGGAAATGAGGGTGTGCTCCAATCCGTATAACTGGGTCGGCAATATATCTTTCGCGCGTATGTTTTGTTAGAGTGGCGCACTTCAATAATTTATATTGGGGAAATTCTAAATGTTGTCTCGTATATATGGACTGATTTATGGAACTGTTTGTGGTTCGAAAGTGAACCGTTTCCATACGCCGCCCACAGGTTTTTATCTTTAATATTTCATTGTGGAAACACCTTCGCAGGCTTTCTAATATAACAGTGATGAAGATAGCGATGATACTGCCAAAACATTTCCCTGTTTCATTAAACGTTAAGATATTTTTGGATTTTTCATAAACAATAATACTATGCTCTGATTTTAGATGTGAGTTCTTGGATTTTCGAGAAAGTTAATAAGAAATAATATAGAGGAAGACGACAGGAGTTCTCTAATTATATACCTCAACATATTATATTCTATTCTTATATCAGGGCAACAATATATAAATGGATTTCAGTATTATCGGGAAATTTTTAGCTCTCTTTATTTCACTCTCTTTTTTGCGTCTTAATAGCTCGGCCTCTTTCTGTTTTCAAAGCCACATGAATTAAAATTTTGAGTTATGTATTTTGGGCGTTTGTAAACAAATAATTTGTAAAATTTTCGAATTTGTTATAATATGTATATAACATTTCAAATGTACAAACAGGTGAGTTTAGGAATATGAATTAAATTGCACCTAGACTTTTAAGAGGAATACTTAAATAAAATTCTATATAGGTTCCATTTAAATACAAATTGTATATCATTTTCCAATTTTGTTTATAGATAGAATAAACCCAATTTTTAGTTCATATATTTCAAGGTATTTTTAAGCCACTAAAAGTTATATAGAGTTCAAAGTGATATTCTTCGGAATTCACTTATTTTGTGTATAGAGTGACCCAGTTTTGAACTATTAATACCTATTTTTTAAATTTAAATGTCTTTTGGGCATTTTTAAATTTCTTTAAATTTTGACCTAAAATCCCTTGAATAGAGAAGAGAAAAAAATTATGTCGCTTATGTTAATGAAACAATGTATTAATCATAATTTTTAATCCGCAATTAAAGTAGAACAAATTAGAATAAGGGAAAGAAAAAACCAAAAAGATATATTATTGAGGAATTTTGGCTGCGTTATGGCATTTTGAATCTAATTACAATACCATTTAATTAACACTCAAATGTAACGGTTTAAAATCCACCCATATCAATCCTGTTGATATTCATAGCTTTAATATTAATGAGATTTATTTATTTTATAGTGTTTTTCACAACAAAAAATAACTCTTCAATTCGATTTTTTTTAAATTTTGGTTTGTGTCACCCAATAAAAATAAAGCTAACAGGCACAACAAAAGTGTAAAATTTACATCCAAGGTATAATTAATTTTCCTCGTTTGTTCCAGGATTACTTTTTGTGGCATTACGATGAAAAACTACGTCGAGGCGAACATTTCGCACAAGTCTCACACTACCATCAAGTACGCAATGAAAATGCTAAGCAGTTCATCGGAAACTATCATTTTCATGTTCCTCGGGGTAGCAACTGTCAACAGGAACCACGACTGGAACACTTGGTTTATTTTGCTAACTATTTTGTTTTGCTCGTTGTATAGGGTTTTAGGTAAGTCGTTGGTCCGAAATGGACAAAGTCCTATTATTGACTAACAGTTTGTTCGCAGAAAAGATTAAAATTCGCCAATGAAATTTTTATCAAAGCATTGCGCGTATAGAAAAGATAGATAGGTTATACTCTGTAAGTGACAGCATGAATCATGGAGAAACATTTGAAAGTTTCAAGAACCTGTAAAAATATCAAAAAATCAAAGACAAAGGTTGTTTGCATTCACTTAAGAACTATTTTCTGGCATATTTTGAATTTCATGGCAAAAATGATTTAAGCAGGTCTAAATATGTTCTTCGATTTTTCTGAATGAAATCTTTGTTATATGTTTGAAGTTTATTGCCTTATGGAAACTGGTGGCCTCACAGCTTCCTAACAATGTCCAAAAGATCATTGTGGTAGCGCCTTCGAGGTGCTAGCTTTTTCTTTTGCTTTGCTTCCTATCCAGTATCCTCGTGCAAATTTCAATCCTGTGCACTTCCGTTTGGTATATGTTGGGATATGTGCCAACACTTTCATTCGTTTTGGAGCCGCATGTTTGATGTCCTGCCTCCATCAACTCATTCAACCCTGCTTGGCAGATTCACATCATAGAGTTCTGTCATTGTTATCTTTATCATATCTAAGGTATTCAGCAAAAGTCTGTATATACGCCATCTTGTCTCTCCCTCCAGGTACATATGGTAGGAGGGTAACTCAAATATACGAGTTTAGCGCCAAAATTTCTCGGCCTGACATAGATGCAGCTCCAGAATCACGATAAAACTTTGTCTACTTTTAAATAAATATCTAAGTAGGCTGCGAAAAAAAAATTGAAGTCTTGCTTCAAATAGTTTATTATTGATAGCATTTTAAACAAGATGTGTCCGAAAAAATGTCGCAAATAACGCAAAATGAGTGTAGAGTAGTCATAAAGTTTTTGACAAAAGAAGGGTTAGCACCTAAAATTATTAAAGAAAGGCTGGATGGTGTGTACGGCCAAAGTTCTCTTTCGTATTCTGTAGTGAAAGAATGGGCAAAACGTTTTCGAGGAGTCATTTGAAGAGTGGAAGTCATATCGGAAGATATTGTTGCGATTGTGGAAGAAGTGGTATTGAGTGATCGACGTTTAAAGGTCAAAGAAATCTAAGAAATTACTAAGCTTTTTGATACAAGTCTTCATCGAATCCTGCATTATCATTTAGGTATGCATAAGGTTAAGGCATGATGGGTTCCTAAAAACCTTTCGGCTATTCAAAAACAACGCCGTGTCGTGTGTCCGCGGTCTTTTTGGAATTCTGTGGGTCGGAACCGAATAGAAATTATTGTGATGGGAGATGAAACTATGGTTCTCTATTATGATCCTCTATCGAAAAAAGAATCAATGGAGTGGCGTCGTAAGGGTGAAGCACCTCCAAGAAAATTCAGAGTCTGCCAGTCAACAAAAAAGGTGATGACCATGGGATTGTGAAGGAATTCTTTTGATAGATTTTAAAGAAACTAATACCACTGTCAATGGTAAATCTTATGCAACATTATTACATAAATTGCGAGACTGCATACGTGTAAAACGTCGAGAAAAAATGACCAGAGGCGTGCGTCTTCTACACGATAATGCACCTGTCCATACTGCTGGTGTTGCACAAGCTGCCATTTTAGAGTGTGGGTTCCAACAGATAGATCATCCGCCCTATAGTCCAGATATCGCCCCCAGTGACTATTATTTGTTTGGATATTTGAAAAAGGACTTACGTGGACGGCGGTTTAACGGCGAAGTTAAAAGAGGCTGTTTTAGCTCATTTTGTAGACAAACCAAAAGAATATTTTTTTAAAGGTACTGAGTTGTTAATAAAGAGATGTAATAAGTGTATTGAAGTTAAGAGGATTATATTGAGAAATAATTCAAAATTGTTACTCTACTTTGTTTCTTTCATATTCAGGCCGGGAAATTTTGGCGCTACCCTCGTAAACCTTAATAATAATAATAATTCACGAATTTATTTGGAATTATAAACAATGCTACTTTATGGGTAAATATAATTTCATCAAAAAGGCGAGGTACATATGGTAGGACGGTAACTCAAATATAAACCTTAATAATAATAATAATAGACCAATTTATTTGAAATTGTAATTTCATCAAAAAGGCGAGATTCATTCAGCTAAAGATGTTAGTATCTTGTGCTATCTGGCCCAAAGGAAGGGAAAAAAAGTACCAATATTTTCAATTCCGTTACTTGAAGATTTTAATGAATCAAATCAAAAACGAAAATACTAGCAATAATAATTTCCACAATTGATATTCGTAATTCTGATACTGATCAGTCTCCAGCGGTATTCACTGTCGCCCTCTTTTTCCGTTATTTATTTTCTCATTTACCACCTTGCTTGTTGTCTAACAATGTTTTTGGCTACATAAATATAGATGTCATAACGTAAATGATAATATTGATTACAGGGGTGATCGTGTTTACCGCAATAGCAAATCGTTTTCGAATTCATCAGCTCAGCAAAGTGGAGAAATTTGTGATGTCTTACGGCGGTTTGAGGGGAGCGGTCGCGTTCGCACTGGTACTCCTCATCGATCCTAAGATCGTACCACTTCAACCTATGTTCATGACAACTACCATAACCGTTGTCTATTTCACTGTATTCATTCAAGTGAGTTTTACAAAGTTCTTGAAGTATCTATTTATCAAACTGATAACAAATATTATTGAATTATATTGATGTTGAGATGACAAAAATATAACTTGCTCTCGTCCCATCTCGACTTGCAATTGGAGTAACTAGAATTTTATATAAAAGAACGTAAAAGTGCTTAAAGCGAATTCGAAATGGAGCTTAACTTACATCTCGTCGTTTTCCGACAAAGAGAAACAATAAACAACTTGAATTGAATATCCCACTAGAAGCGAGACTCAGTATTTCCATTAGCTTTCCGATGTGGAATTCTTATTCCCATGAAATTGTTGTAGAATAAATTGCGAAGATGTAGTGATTGTTCGTTTTTAGAAAATACGTTTAAAATATCAATCATGTAGAGTTCTTACTGTTTGGTTTATATTGATAACCAGTAAACGTCATTGAGCAAGCGCAAAAACTAAGTAACTTCAGGGTTTATGGACTAATATACAGGGTGCGCCAAACAACACAGGCTTGGCATCATCACTTTTAATGATATTTTGCTATAACTAGACCAAAATTTTGAAGTCCAGCGCCCTCCTGAGAAGTATTTTAGCGTATAGTATTGTCAAAGAGTTGAACGCCATTTTCATTATTTACTTTGAATAAGCCACTAATACTACAACAAGTTGTTTTCGAGCGAATAAACAGAAATCATGAAAATTTATTTTTTGGACCCCTTGGAACACAATAATCTGGACTCTAATAAATTAAAGGAAATCAGGAAAATATATTAAATAACGACGTAAGGATTTTCGCACTTAGCTAAAAAAGGTGTTTATTTTTTTAATTACACCCCGTAGCTATAACGTTTATAGAAATATTTTTTCTTTGGTAACAGCGTTTTATTGTGCAAAAAAATGGTTTACCATTCATTCCCAAGACCCACGGAAGTCAATTTCATTCTGAAATTAATACAGCGTCGGTTTTTTAATGTTTCAGGGAATTACAATAAAACCGTTAGTGAAAATTCTTAACGTGAAAACGGCCGAAAAGCGGAAGCCAACCATGAACGAAAGAATACACGAAAGGGTGAGTAAAAATGCTGCTTTAATCGATTAGCGCGGCCTATAAATTATTAATAACAAATTCCATGTTTACATTAAAAGTCGATAATAGATTTAAGATAACGTTTTCCGATTGTAGCGAATGCAATAAATTTGTCTGCCGGGTTTAATCAATATCATACACGGTGTTCATGTACGTCGCTACAAACATCGCTAAAATCGGAAAATTCCAAAAACTTTTTTCTTATATAAACCCACGTTCAGATCACATATGTAGAGAACAAACACTGTAGCTTCGGCACGTACCCCAGTGTTTAGGTTTTCAAATTACCCGAAGTCCGTTAATGTGTCTCGTTTCATTTGGATAAGTGGATTATAAATAAATATGTCCATATTTATTCATACATCAAAAAATAAATATTAATATAGATTTAATAAACGAATACTAACTCAATAACACAATCGATTATTATACGCGCAGTTGCGAGCATAAAATAGATAATATAAATTGTCTTAGCTGATGGACCACGGAATGGCTGCCATAGAGGATATCGTCGGGCAACATGGCAATTACCATATTCGAGACAAGTAAGTGGGTGAAATAAAATATACTAAACTTGCTGTATCTATCATTTGTTTGGAAGTTACCGGATAAATATTGATTGACCGTGTATTGTCGAAGTAGGCGAGAAACTAACAAATTTTGAACGCAGTAGAAAATAGTCGAAATCATAAAAAGAATAAACAAAAGTAAACCATTTATAAAAAAAAGGCCATTCTCAATAGTCCGCAAAAACTTCTTTAACAAAGCTTTAGCACTTTAGTTCACGACATGCATTGTTGTAATTAATCAATGCTGACAAATCTAAGAGATTTAAAATGCAACACACTAGAAAGTAATGACTATGCAGATTTATTCACTAACTAACTAAGGCTTCTAGATCTAAATTGATATATATATATATATATATATATATATATATATATATATATATATATATATATATATATATATATATATATATATATATATATATATATATATATATATATATATATATATATAAAAAATTAGCATCTTCAATGAAGATGAGATTTTGGCGAAACGTCTGCAGGATTCCAGTCGGAGTTCAACAAGTGCACGAATGATATCCCGGAATATAGTGTCATCACATTTTTCCATCCGTGAATTAATACGTGAAAAAAAAAAATATATATATATATATATATATATATATATATATATATATATATATATATATATATATATATATATATATATATATATATATATATATATATATATATATATATATATATTCTCACGTATTGATTCACGGATGGAAAAATGTGATGACACTATATTCCGGGATATCATCCGTTCGCTCGTTGAACTCCGACTGGAATCCTGCAGACGTTTCGCCAAAATCTCACTTGGCATCTTCAATGCTCGAAAACACTTCGAACACACACACATATATATATATATATATATATATATATATATATATATATATATATATATATATATATATATATATATATATATATATATATTCAATATGTTAAATATTTTTTAGATCTGTCGATGCACACAATGAACTTAGTTTTAAAATATTAACATAAAGAAAAATGATAAAAATGACCACCACCAGGTTTATTTCAGGCACTTATTTCATGACGTAAGAACTTCCACACAAGCCGTTTATTATTTAAAATTTTCAACGCCCTTGCAAACTAAGCACTTTCGGTCCGACGTATATATGAACTTTTTTTTCTTTTCTGCGAGTGCCAAATAATGGCGCATATTTTTCTAAATGCCCTACACTTAAGAGACAGAATCTGGTAAGAAAATCTTGTTTTAAATTGCATTTTTTATGTTGTGGTGACCAAAGTAAATTCCGCGATTTTAAATTTTGATTTTGAGTACGAACCTGGCCTCGAAACTTTATAATTTGATTTAATTATTTTATAGAAAATCATACCTTGTGGAACACACTTGTTTGAAGTATTACCGCTTCTATCAAACGTATCGCTATGGCTGTCGCGCTTTATTTTGATCGTAAAAGGCAAAAAATGTTTATTTTGAGTACAAAATTCTTATGATTTTATAAGCATTTTACAAAGACGAATGAAATTTGCAGATTTAAACGTTTCGACAACAGATTCATCCGACCTTACCTGATGCGCAACCACCAAAGCGCAGAACCGAAAATATTAGAAACTTACTCGAAGCTAGCAATGAGGGACGCTATGGAATACATGCGTCGCAACGCTTCGACCATCGGCAACATTTCAAACACCGAAAGCATGTCGGCCATATTCAGGAACTACACCTCGAGTGGTAACCTCAACGGAAGGTGCGCCCCAAAATTAATAACCTGGTAAACTATAACCCCGGCACTGACCGCGGTCCAACAGTTTTTACTTAGAGTTTAGAACCGGAGTATTCTAGTTAGTTTCGTTGATTGAGGCTGTCCATCCAAACGATTTTACTAGAGCGTGTCAGATGGAAACACACCCGAATTTTCTTGGAAAATAATGATAAAGTTACGTTGTTAAAACAATGTCATTCGGGGTTGTCAAACGCGACGGTGAAATGAAGAGATTTCACTACACGAAAAAAACTTTAACTGAACTGAAAATTTGTTCTGTCCAAAACAACATTTAAGACCACTAACAAAACAACTCAGGCAGTGTCCTGATGGAAATGGTTTGCGCCTTAGTCTTAGTGCTGCAATTCGGAAAAACGTATCAGTACAGTGTCTCGACCCTACAACAGTTTGTGTTGGTCACCTATCGAAGTTGCGAAAGTTTCGTCAGTAGATTAACATTAACCTTAACAATGAGTGGTCAAAAATAAGAACATGTTCAAATTAATTTTCTTTTTATCATTCATAACGTTCTTTACCCTCTAAATATGAATTAATTTTATTTCATTTATAAATATAAAAAAACCTAAATAAAAAAAATGAAAATTAATGTTTCTTAAATTTTATAATTATAATAATTAAGGATATATGATCATGGATAACACAGATTATTTCTTTAAAAAAAACAATTGTACAAAAATAATAAAGCGCAATACTAAATGGTGTAATTTACAGCAATATATAATGTGCGCGCTTACTTAAATGTAAAATGAAGAAAAATGTTGACTGACTTTTCTCCGCGGTGACAGAGAGACAACTAGTGACAAGCGAATGCTACAAAAGTAAGGACGAAGGGATGGTGCTGTGTGTTAGCTCTACTAAAACTATGTAAATGTTACTATTCGCTATACATACATACTACATACACTACTAACAATTTACAGAGCTCCTTTTATTTATTTCCATTGACCATTTATTGTTCTCGGCCAGATAGTCCGAGTAATACCGCATTCTCAGTCTATCATCTGTCTCTCTGCTCTGCTGGGCGACGGTGTTCCGCTTTTATAACTCGGCAGAGCCTCCTCGCGATGAGTATCGAAATTTCGAAATGTTTGTGAAAAGGTGCGCTCTGTAGTGAAGCGTTCGTTCCCAACATTCCCGAGTTTTCCGTGGCCGACAGGCCCGGGCCCAGCCACCAGGTCACATTATTTTTAGTATAAGCGAGCAGAGTGTGTATTTTTATGTAATATAAACAAGCAAACTATAAATAATTTTGAAATTTAATAATAATAGTTATAAGAGGGATGTTTCTATCGGCGATACGCCATAATACGATAAAAAAATTGTTTGTGTCATTCTATTGGAGATATATTCTCGTTTACACGCAGCCTTAATTAAATGAGCGCCAATGCATGGCTGGGTTTTGTTTTCGCAGGATCGGGCTGATGCATAAAGCTTTGTTAGTTTTAGTGCGTCAGTAACGCAATTAGTCTCCGTTTTGAAAATGACTGCGCCGTTATTTATAGTTTAATTGCACTGATTTTCACGTAATTAGGTTCGAGTTGTCTGTAGAATCGACGGCGGTAGTTTCACGGTTGTGTTGAAACTGAATTATATTTATTATGACGATGAATAATTAGGTTTTCCTTTTTCGTCCTTTAAGCGCAAGCGTTTGTGTGAAATTTTAAAATTTTAAAATTCACCACTTTACCATGTCAGTTTCGTTTCCCACGAATCCGAGCCACTTCGGACGTTTTGCGGGATTTTACCGCACGGATTTGGGAGCAATCGGATGTTTTCGGAGATATTTCCCACGCTGTGAATTTTGACGTTTGCCAATTCTGACAGTCAGGTCAGTGAATGTATTCGAGTTTTGCGAAAATGTTCCCAAAAAGTGACGGTCGTAGAAAAAGTATAGTGTGCAACACGTTGTAAACTTTTTAACTCACTCGTTAGTCGTGAGTCAAATGCCGTTTGTATAATATACTATTTCCCCACGATTTTAGTAATTAATTTTGCTCCGATGTTCAAAATAATTGATGTAATGTTATTAACTAATTTTGTGGATTCTAATATTAATATTCTAAATACAATGATATATGTATGGGTATTTATAAACCAGATCCTATCATTAATGCCTAAGTGTTGTCAGTCATCTATGGCAAGTCTTAATATTATGACCATACACATGCATATATAATAAAAGATTTTTCTAAAATGTTTTTTTTTGCAATCTATGCTTACTGAACTTAAACACTAGAACGCAAAAGCAAACAATTAAACCTATAAATTAGCTCCATTATTATTAGCCCTTGAAAAATTGTTCCGTGATTGTTTAAAGTATTAACCAAATTCTTCATGAGTTTTGCCTATGGGGGATTGTTCTGATTATTCTTCGTCATTCCAATAATTCAAAAAAGTGATAATCACTCTGGTATCAATCAATGATTGCCAATAGTATCAGGTCCGTCTTTTTTTTTCTGTGCGAGCAACGATCAATTATCTTTTGGCATGCTGTGTATAGGAAACACATCTGAACTTTGAATAGCTTTTTGAAAACATTTTTTTGATAGTTCGATGGCTATGTTTTTTAAAAATATCTTAGTTTTGCAGGGTGATTCCAAAATTTCGTAGCGACTCAATGAGCTAATATTTGTAGCAATCTGATATAATGTTATGCACTATTATTACGGAACACCCTGTACCCAGTACTTTTTTGGAAAACTGTAGCCCATAAGCCATATACATCGAGAGTTAATATATCACTTCCATAAAAGTTCCAGTTTAAGTCAGATAGATTCGAGCACTTGGAACATCGACATGCAGGAATTGGAGTACAATCCTTCAAAAAAAGACCTGACCGACGCCAAAATTCACCATTTGCTTGCTGAGGAGTTGGTCAAACCTTATCGACGGGTAAGATTAATAAGGAAATTTTAAGGCGGTTTAAAGCAAATTTTTAATAATGTGTAATAATTTTCAGCACCGGAGACTAAGTTACAGCCGACACGCTGTAAACGATCGAGATCTATCTACTCAAGTCAATTACAAGATGCACTACAATATGAGGCGACTGGTGGCGGACAAAAAGCATCATCACAGTCATAAAAGGCACAGCAAGAAATTAAATAAAGTAAGTTGGTTTTATTTCCTTTATTGAATTTTCGTATAACCTTGTGCAGGGTGATTTTGCTGGTTATCTCAGTTGTTATTAGTGTAAGAAGCGGGTTTTTCATTATACGAAACATCAAATTTTCAAATTGTTGCTTCTATCGTTTTCAGGTTCGCACTTTCATCCCGCCTATATGCACATGCCAGTTAGCTAAATCTAATCGTTTTGTTTTAGGACGGAAAGCAGAATCACGTCAGTTTCCCAGAATTCCAACAAAACGGATCGGCCAAGCAATTCTCTCATGGTAAAGTTGCCTTTCCCAACTAAAGTTTAAATTTAGAGTTGTTTTGAAAATACATATATCGAATACCGCCATAAAGTGCGTTTGCGAAGTTTTTCTTGACTAAAAGCTAAGACTTTAATTACAAATAGATAGCTTTAAATTTCAAGAGAACAAAGAAAACGGAACAGGCAAAAACCTTTTTTTGTAGCAATAACAAGTTTTCGAATGAACGGAATTTTTTTGTCTGTTCTCTGTTCTGCATTCTCTAGAGGCGCTGTATTTCCACATGAATAACTTCCGAATGTTTTGAGCAAAAGGGTTCATATTTAGTTAATTTAAAATTCGACGCCGCAAGCATAAGCCTTGGCAATTTCCAGATGAGTTTCGCACATCTCTACGAAACAATGTAAGTGCCCGAAATTTTGAGCTATCGATTGCGAATTAAGTAGAGAGATAGTGTTTTGTCCCATTAAATTAGGAAATTGCGAGCTATTTTTAAAAATTGATCCATTTTCTTGCGTTAAAAAAAATATTTTTCCAAAAATAAAATTATGTACTCTACCGTCCTTCTAATTTAGATTACATAAGCGAAGTGTTGAACGAAGACGTGGACACTGAGCCCAAATCTAACCGAGAAGATTGGGATAGCCCAATCACATTTACAGCCAAATCTTCTCGTAAGTTTAATAGGCGGTGCATGAACGTTTGGCAATGGTATGTTTTTCCTGTGAAATTAGGTAGTTTGTGATCAGTAGGAAACAGATTCGAAGCAGTCGTTTCGTTCGGTAAGCTAAGTTAACAGCTGTTAAGCTGCGATTGTTGTTCCATAACAGAGAAGTGGGCCGTTTGTGTTGACTGCACTTCGTGTGACTTAAAAATTTATAATTTTTTCCGTAGGCAGAGTTGACGGCGTTTGGCGTTTTCTGAACGAGTTATTAAAAATGATTTCGTTTTTCTTATTTAATGTATATGCTATTTAAACTTTGCATTTTTAAGGGTTTATGAAGTTTGTGGTGTTTCTCATTATGGATGGAACATTTTGTTACGCTTTTTGGCACATTTTTTATGTTTTCTTAATAGATTAATTACGATTTCATTTAATACAATATGGAGATTCATTATTTTTCAGATTTTATAGAGACTAACCAAAATAATGACAATCTATTTTTTGAGAAACTGAATTGAAAATAGTCGTGTTTTGTCCGTGGCGGATACGCACTCCAGACAAACTATTTGTGAAATTTAGTGCAGAAGAAAAAATACAAATACAAATTCAATTTAAATTCGACATGCCAAAATATCGTTTCAGCATCTAAATGAAGTCCAGATTTACTCATTAAATTATATTGTATCTTTTCAATAACACCCTGTATATTGAAAGTTTTCTTGAAATATTCCCACAACTTTAGTGGCTCAGCTCCTCTTTATTCTGTCTGCAGATTTCAAATAAATGCTACGAAAACATAAGAAGTGTGCCCAACTGAATTAAACCTTAACCTATAACCTCCCTCTGCAAATGATTCTGACTTTTAGCCAGTACCGGGGATGAAAACAGCGCCAGTTTCGCTAGTCAAACTGTTCCATTGATGGAACCGAAACCTAAAAAGCCGACTGCGATCGAAAGCAGTTTCCCTTGGAGAAGGGATCGCCATGGTACGAACACATAGTACCACACGTTCATTTTCTCGGTACATCGTACCATCAGTTTAATAATATCAGCTTGCTATTTGTTTCGATAGAGATAGCAACGATATATAGGGACACCCCATAGTGTTGTTTTTATTTAGAGATTTTGGTTCGTATGCAAATTTTATTCCAATTTGGAACACCTTGCTTTAGTCAATATTGCGGCATCCACCATTTTGTCCGTCTACATAATTCAATAAATCTGTTCCATGGAATGGAACTTTCACAGAAACATTCAAACATATTTTATGATTTAAGAAAATTTTATCCTATGACGTATTTCAACATAAAACTATATTTTGGTACACGAATCCAAAGACCAGATTGGCAAAAATATGTACTGGTTCTGAGACTGGGAAAAATATCCCTAATCTTCAATCGTTAGGTGCATCTACCTAAAATCTTTTGGTGTCATAGGATAAAGTCGTAAGTTTTTTGAAATTCTCACTAAAATTTTGCTTCGCTAATAAATATACCGTAGTACCGATTGCGATTAACGTTGTTGGTATCCCTTTGTCCCGATTAAATGGTACCTGGTTCATAAAAGTCAAACATACTATGCATACACATATTACAATATTAACAATTGATTTTTTGGTTAGGTGTAATAAGAATCATTGGATCAACATTAGGAAGACTGTGCTAACTGTAGGTACCCCTACTGTATACCCTACAGTTGGATAGATCGTATTTATTAGCTAACCAAATGGGGAAGTGTTAATGTAATCATTATTATCCGAGCTTTACGTATCTTTACAGAACTACCACTACTACTGCTATCATATGTTGCATGTAAAGCTTTTTTGGCATGTGGTTTATTCACTTTGCTTTGGTGTTACCTTTCCTTATATCTCCTGCACTCTTTATTATACCTTTAGTTACAGATGAAAGCATTTTCTCTGATCCTGGCAAACGATTGTCCCGAGGTTCTATAGACGGTAAGTAAATATATCTTCAGACATTCATAAATCGTAAAAAATAGTTTAAACATGTGGGTTAGATATTTACGGAAAACGAAAATACATAACAAATATATTCTGCAGTGTTGCCGCTTCGAATAATATATGGCACCATCGTCATCTTAAATGGCATTTATATTTCTAGATTCAGAAGTAGTGTTTTTTGCTTAATATTTTCCTATACATATGTAGTGCGGTTTCCGGAATATTTTTTTCCACCAAGATATGATAGCAGTAAGCAGGTTAGCTACCAAAAATAGTGAAAAATATATTCTTTCAAATAGGAAACCTATATTTTTTATAATTCTAAAAGATAATTAAATTTTCAAAAAAAAAAGGTTACATTGACATAATGCATTATTTCATGTGTTTGACAGGTTTGACAGATATTATATCCAGACCACGAGCGTGTGAAATTTGGAATTAAATTTCGAACCACAATCGATCAAGTCATTTTGAATTCGTACTTTTTTTTTGCAAACAGCATAAGAATGCCATATGTTATTGGTAGAAACGGCAACATCGATCACCGACGACCGATATACTGGGAGTATCAAAGTGACGATTTAATGTAAATCCGTTAGTACATTCTGAGTATCCCGGTATATTGGCACCTTTATTCATTACATTAATTTTTGCTTGGTTTTTTAATGACTACTCGAACTCACATTTTCTTTTTTTCTTTGGTTTTTGCAATAATTACTACAAATCCGTATTTACCGTGCTTCTCACAAATTAAAACTTTTGCTTAGGAGGTGATTTAATGCGCGTCACAACCCCAACAGCGACAGAGATGATGTTGCCGTGGAAACGCGACGAGGAAGAAAATTCGGCGCCACTGCAGCAATCGGAGTTTCCGGCATGGGCGTCCAACAAAGAATACCTGGCCTATAATTCCCCATCCGCCACCTTTTTAGGTATATGAGCGAACTTCATTTCCGGTTTTAACGGTTACTTTAAAAGTGTTTAAAAGTAACCGTTACTTTTAAACACTGCGAATTTTAATTCCTAACGTCATTTTATTTCCACGTAAGATTTTATCTGAAGCAACCAAATATTTTTATGCCATCTACCAAGTAGAAAACTCAACTCGTATTTCCGATATACACCAGAAATATACAGGAACGAGAACCAAACGATTCAGAAATACGAATAAAGTATCAATATGAACAATTTTGAAATTTATTTGCTTATATAATGGATTTGCTAATAAGAACAATATATTTTGAATTGTGTCGACTGAACTAGCCAAAGGAAGACACTAAAGTAAATGCTGGCTCAATTTCAAATTTCACAATTCTGTCTTACTCATATATTTTTGGGAATGTTGTAAATGGTGCAATTAAAAAATATAGAATTAGCGATGTATTTTATTCTTCTGAGATTAAATAAGCATATTGGCATCCAAATTTCTTAGTTTGTTGTGTTGTGTTCCTTAGTTGAGTCGGTATGGTCTGTTCATAGATATAAGAAAGTGACCAATTGCTTTTGAATGGGATTATCCAAGGGTGGTCATTAACATACAATACATACAATAAGATTATTACCTAAAGTTTCGGAATTTAAATTCAGGTAAAATTGTGGTCCGTAATAGAAAATAATTTTATACCTACCTGTGTTTAATATTCTTTGGTTTGGTATAGTACTTAGTTTAAGTTTATTAGTAATCATTCTCATTTCGTGTGTAATACAGTGTGTGTTGAATCGTGTGCGAATTATGAAAAATATGTGCGAGTCTAGTGTATCTCAAGAGATGCTCCCGCCCAAATGTAGGAAGCTAAGGAAGTTATAAACAATGTTTATTTGACCCTCATTGACGTGGTGCCAGCAAATAAGCATCTTTAGAAGAAACGGCCACATTGACGAAAATTCCAACATCAACTGTATGGAAAATTGTGAATAATCCCATTTCAGCGGGGAAAAAAAGAAGCAATGCTGACATTTTCTCGAGTGTAGATGAAAGTGATCAAGATATAATACGGCGTAAAATTTACCAGTTATACGAGGAACAAAGGGTGCCTACATTAGTTATCTTAATTAGGAGGCTTGAAAAAGATGAAACCGGCGTTAAATGTGGCAGAACTACCTTATGGAAGTGTATTCAACACATGGGTTTTAGATTTAAAAAAATTGACAAAAGGCAAGTTTTAATGGAATCTTTTAGAATTCGGAAATGGCGACTGGAATATCTAGAAAAAATTAGGATTTACAGAGAACAACAAAGGCCAATTATTTACTTGGATGAAACCTGGTTTCGACACTTACGATACCCCGGAAAAGGGTTGGGTTGACTCAACTGATGAGTGTAAAACAAACGCGGCATCAAAAAGAGGTAAAAGAATAACTATTTTGCATGCTGGCTCTAAAGATGGTTGGATTCCAAATGGACTTTCTCTGTCTGCGAAAAATATTAAAGATTCTTCTCTGGATTACCATGAAGACACCACCGCTGATTTATTTGAAAGTTGGTTTAAAAACAAACTAGTTCCAAACATTCCTCCTAATAGCGTAATTGTAATGGACAATGCAAGTTATCAGAATAGACAGTTGACTTAAACCCCTTTCTCATGTGACACAAAAGCAACAATCCAAAACTACATGTATAATAACAACATTTATTTGCAATTAATTGAGGTTCTACAAAGCTTGAACCTACAAAAGGAATACGTTTGTGATAGTTAGGCAAAAAATCTAGGGCATACAGTTTTAAGGCTTCCACCTTACCGCTATATATTTAATCCCATTGAACATGTTTGGCACCAACTGAAAACTACCATTCGTCGTAACAATGTTTTTCCTCGTGTTAATTCCAATGTCCTCAAACTTATAGAAACCGAAGTTTTTAACATCCATCCACAAAGTTGGGCAAATTCTGTTAAACATATAGAAAAAGCAGAACAATCGTATATCCATATTGCAAATAATATAGTAGGTAATCAAAATAATTTGTAATTTTATTTTAGATTTAAACATAAATACATACATAAATAAATAAATATTGTTTAGTATCTTTCCTAACAAAACCCCAAATAATTAAATTCTAAGCAAAGTACGGACCTGTTCGGCCATATTTCATTCTTACAGATCCGGGTCTTTCGTTAATTCGTATCAGTTAGTTGCTTTCTTATATCTATGAAGAGACTTTAACTGCATTGTAGTTTCTGTAATCTTGGAAACAGCTACCAAAAGCAAAGGTTTCCTGGTTTTTTGATTTTTTTTGTTAATTTAATTTTTAGGTTGTAGTTAGACTACGACAACACACAATTTAGCAATTAGTTCCTAAGATTTTTAACACTTTATTTCGGTAAGCATTAATGATCATACAAAACAACTTGCTCCATGCCATGCCTCTCAATTTAGTCACATTTTGAGAAAATAGTATCTGTATGTAGCATAGGTAAGGCCTCTATGTCTAATAACTACATGATTTCAGCCAAGGTCAAGTATAAAAAAAATGCTGTCCAACATTTGTGGAAATATACACACAACTGTTATTGTGAGTATTAAAAATCAGAAAAGTTGAAATAACAAATCCTGTGACACATGCAGGCTTAGTTTTGGGAAATGAATATTTTTACCTCGTGAATTCCAGCCACTAACTACAACTATCTACATGGCTCAGTACACTTTACAATTCGGATTATTTTCATACAATTTTTCTATGATAATAAAGGGCACCTAATAATTTTTCTACAATTTTGGAGATAAAATTTATCATGTTATAAGAATACCTCGCTGCTATTGGCAAAGTGATACTTAAGAGTGTCACGAAAAATTCAAACTGGTTTGTTCCGTTTCGAGTTTGTCTAAATACTTTTTGCAGGAGGTTTGGAAAATCCTAGATCGTCCGTCATCGGCCTATTTCGACGCGAGAGCATTGGGTCGGATCCGACGAACAGCGCAGAATCGACCCCTCAGAGGGAACGTAGAGGTTCGCTCAACAGAAACATCTCCCTCCTGCTCGTCGAAGATGGAGAATCGGATCCGCTGGGCGCTTTACAGAAACCCCAAATAGCTCAGCAACAATTAGGGTCTCAACAGTTTCCTGGTCCCTTACCTCCGCCGCCCCATACACCAGGTCAGAGGCGTCAGGGGCGGAGGGGTTCAATGCTCGAGCTTAGCGGGTGTGTTTCTGACTACACTAATCATATGTAGTGTTTTGAAATGTAAGAGAGCTTCGTCGTACGTTTGTCGGAATGGGTGTTGGACATGCGACCTCTATGCACGACTGTCCTTAGTTTCTTTTCTGTGGAACTAACCAAACCCTAACATTGGCACTCCTACTGTGTGCTACAAGAAATGGTGTCTTTTTAACGTTTAGTGTGGGTGGCTAACAGTTTCATTTACCATTTACCTTTTTCTTATTTTGATAATCTCACAATCAGCTATTTAACTCTGAGTCAGCGCTTCTTTTTGTTGGCGTGTCGACATTATTCGACCTTTTTTTGATTTTTTGGATTTTCAAAATAACAAGTTTAGAAAAGATTATTTGGTAATAGATTGGATTGAAATTTGTAAACTCCATTGATTATAAGATCACATATAGGATTGCACAATCACTTATTTATCACAATCTGAAAAACTGGTTTAACAAGCATTCCATAAATTCGAAAGACATTTGAAAATTATTTTTAATTATACAAGGCGTTTTATAAAAGCATGGCAATACAAAAATACGCATTTTTTAAATATATTTTTGCATATTACCGTTCTTCCAAGAAAGATTTATATCACACCGTGATTGTGTTTGAATTTTAATACAACGTGGACCAGTTATTAAGGAAAACATAAATCTATAAAGAAGACCTCTTTTCCAATGATATTCTTTATTTCTAACACTATACTGCCTTGAACCTTAATGCAAACGCATTACTAAGAGCAAGGTCTTGTCCTTTAAATTAACACTTGGATTCTAGTTTCGTTGGAGGAAGCATTAATTGGTTAAGTTATCATAAAATATTAAAAATAGTTTGTTACAAAGGTTTTGATTGTTATTTATTTGTCTTTTTCAAGGTTAAATGATAAAATTTCAACAATTTTACAGTTTTGAAATGATAGAAGTATTCCATGATCAAACAAATATTTTAAAAAACTGTAGGGGCATAATAATCAACATGCGAGTGTATTTGAGAATTATGGAATATTTGAAGAATGTGAACGGTACGTTCCATTGAGAAAAAACAAATGCCTACAATTAATTTTTCAAAAAATTAGTACATACAAGTTAGTCCTTGTCGACATTGACTCAAAGCGAGCTTAATATATATACATATATATATATATATATATATATATATATATATATATATATATATATATATATATATATATATATATATATATATATATATATATATATATATATATATATATATATATATATATATATATATATATATATATATATATATATATATATATATATATATATATACCGAAATCGGTAAGAAGTTTGCATATAACTGGCAGCTTTCGCCCTCCGCTGCGAAGACACTGGGTTAAAGCCTATATCTATCTATCTTAATTTTGATATCTTATTACAACCTGAGCTTTTTAGAAAATCCGTTAAAATCAATTGTAATCAGGCGAATTTGTATTAACGCATGAGCCGAAGGATATTTTGTTGATTAAAATTTTCAGTTTTTCGGAAGGGAAACAAGGAAGCAAGCAAGCAATTGGCGAATTTATATAGGAAATGCCGATTTCTGTAATTATTTTTTTTTTAATAGCGTTGACTGTTAATGATGTTATTGTACGCGTTAATAGCAAATGCCGTTATTTAAATCTTATTAAAATTGAAAATCAAAAAGCGAACAAGGTGAGCCGATGAATATTAAATAATTGCCATTAAAAAAAGCGTCTGTTCCAGTAGAGCGGGCAAATAATTTACCTTTTTCGGAAATATCTGAGGAAGTTATTAAAATGTGTCTTGCTAGTGGTCATCGCGACACTCAAGGCGACCCTATAAAAAGTTATATTTAAACCCTCGAGCGTTTTTTAGCGGATTTCTAGTTTGATGGATTTCTTAGAAGAGTTGGTCTGAAAAGTATACGGTTGAAAAACTCAAGCTATGAAGGAATTTGGATATTTCTGAAATGATTGATAATGGCAGACTCAAAAATAAAGTTATTAAAAGGTTATACTCAAATACTCGAGCCTTTTTTAACTGATTTCTGTTTGATGAATTTCTTAGAAGGTTTGAAGAGCATCGACTTTTTTGACATATGGTTGACAAACTTAAGCAATAAGTTATAGCGAAGACGATATGCAACGAATAAATTGAACTCTTTATAGGCTGCATTGAAAATATGTTTTTTTTCCTTTGGCATTGAAGGTGGAGGTTATTTCAGATACAACAATAGTTATCATCGACAATATAGCTGATTCGTAAAAAATACAATATTTCTCCGTTTTTACTTTAAACTACTTCTAGAGGTCAAAATATTTAGGATATGAAATTTGAATTTTATATGAAATTTTGGTCTTGTTCCAACAATTTTTTTCGCAATATATTTACTGATTCACTAAGTACAGGGTGTATCTTTTTCGACGGGGTTTGATGATTTGGGGTATCTCGTAGCATATAGGTTGAAAAATAGGCAAAGATACCTCAAATTGTTTCCAAGCATTTTATAAAAAATCTTTGTAGCTTTTTAAATTCTGTAAATTCCGATTGTTTTTAAGGGTCAAAATTGAGCAAAACTCACCAAAACTAAAAAAATAAGAAAAATACGTAATTTATGTGATAAATCTCAAATTGACACTTGCTCTTTAATAGGCGGAATATACCTAAAAAATACTACAAAACCTTTTAAAAAAAACTGAAATTTTTAGAAATTAAACCACGTTTGTAGATACTCTTACAGCTCAGCTCGGAATTTCCATCATCTTTAAAAGTAAATATATGCCGCAAACGATGAAATGAAAACTATATTTTCCTACTTACAAAGCTGTCTTCTATTAAGGCATTACTTTGGGGACGACTAAAACCTTCTATTGCCAAACTGGAATATCTAATAGATATGTTTATTATTTTTGTTATGTTACTAAATCGTTTAAATTCGACAAACGAGATTAATTTTGTTTAATTTGCATATTTCGTGGCAAAGATCATGTCCGCTGATTTTTCCACGTTCTGTCAATAAGATAGTGTTTTATTGAGTTATTCAAATCGCAAAGACGAGAACTATCAACGTACGTGCTCGAGTACATGACAATTAAGCTTTATACTTTTACAACGGGACGCGTGTGGATTTCAAAATTTTACTTAGTATTAAAAATATTGCGCATCCCCTTGCTTTTTCGAGATACCGCGAGCAAAATTTCAAAGAAATAAACTGCAGGACGATCGAAACACAGAAGTGTGGCATATTTTCAAAACAAATTTGCAAACATAAAAAAGATTTTTGTGTGTATGTATTTCAACCAGATGATATATTATAAAATAAATAACACATTTGGTATAGCTATCAAATTAATATAATATTTCTCTTCTTTTTTCTTTTCCTTTATAAATGTCGTATTTTGGGTGATATATATTCGACAGTTTCCGTTAAAACAATATTTCGATCCTGATATAAGTTGTCTCACTGCCGCTATGTCTATTGTTAAAACTAATTGTTGATAGGATTACTTGATTCGCTTTTTACTCAATAAAAGATAAATATTAGTAAACCATTTTTGATGGACTCTTACATAAGTTCACCCAGCAGAAGAAGAAAAAGCAGGTTGAACTTCATAAAAATGATCTATTAGTTTTTTTAGTTTATAAGATAAAAATAAATACTTTAGTTTACTCTACTTTACTTAAGTCTTCAGCTGCGAAGCTCAAAGGTTTTCTTGTTTTACCTGCATGTACAGTTTTTTATGTTAACACCCTTCCAATGAAGCAAATGAATACTCTAATCACTTAATTGATTATTAAAGGCAATCCAACGATCAGCGACCCGCTATATCAACTACAAAATAGCCAATCAAAAATAAATTATGCGAGCTACTCAAAATTCGACCTAACCAGTACTTCTATAAAGGCAGACTATAATCGCCATTTTGCGTTGGGAAAATACCGAAGTGAGTTTCTATGGGTGCACAACATTACGAATGACAGAATTATAACTGTTTAGTCTAGGTCGATAAATAATACGAGTCAAAAATAAACACTTCAAACATCCAAAACGAAATATTAGAAAGTGTCGACCACGTCTAAGAGTTGTAATATAGGCAGTTTGGAATTGTGTTTGTAATGTATTGTCATTGTAAATGACCGACCGGAAAACTTTCACAAGGATGATTAAAACCGTTTTGAACTATTGTTTTAATATTAGCCAACAACACACATACTAATATTCAATTATGTTCTTAGATTCAGGTTTCAATATTCTTCTCGAAGTACTAAAAAATTGATAAATCAGAATATCGATTCTGCTTATTGACAACACCAACAGCGGTGCGGGGAAGTTTATAGACAACTTTTATAATATTCCGTGAACTTTGCCTCAAGCATGATTCTGTATAAAATCGTGTACTAAGACGGAATTTAACATTCTTTGACTCTTTTGACTTGTTTCTAACAACAAATTTTTTCGTTGGGTGTGACGACGCATGATCGGTGTCATATTATATTGTGCCCTCAATTTAGACAAGTCCAGTGCCAAACTGTGTTCTAGATCGATAACAAGAGACACTATACTTGAAGAACCACCCCTGCAAACTTCGTCTCTGAAACGACCAGCTTGGCTTCTCCAAAATCGACAGCAACGTCCCAGCTTTTGTCGACAAGGTACCCTGGGCGTCGCACTAATGGGTACCGTGTCATCGCCGTCATCGGACTCCTCCTCATCAGACGAAGACAACGATATGCTCATGAAGAACGCGGAATTCTGATCGAAAAGAACTGCCCTGAACAAGGGCCCAATATCAAAATCGCTTAGCCCGATTCTGAATAACATTCAGAGTAAATATCAGGTGTTTACGAAGAAATTGGGTCGCGATTTGGTTTAGATTCAAACTTAATAACTTAATAAACTCGCACGCTTAGGAAGTCCAGCTATCCTACACAAAGCAATAGCTTGGCAACTGAGACGAAAAAGTTCTTGCTCATAAATGTGCGTTCTCATTGGTTGAGTCTGTTGAGAACAGACCTAAGAATTTATAAATGTGGACTGCACTTTTCTGTCCTTTACTTATCAACTTAAAAATTCAATTTGAAGGTTAACGAAAATTTTGCACGATATTTAAAATGTGCACCTGTCTTTATGTGATTAGAAAAATACTGTTTAGGCCTCAATAAAAGATTTTTTATAACACCTGATAATTGAAATAATATGACAAAAAAACATATTGCAATTCACAGATTATTGCTTACCAGTGCTGAAACTTGCGGCTACCATTTGGATGTACCAACTCTGAGACAAAAGCAAGATACTTGATTTAACTCGAACTTTTGCCCATTGCGCGTTGCATTTAAAATTAATTTAATATAAATAAACTTAAACTTGTAAACCATTTAAAAGCGCTTTTAGTTGAGAAGGGCGTCATTGTACTTAACGGCTAAATGGTTTTAACTGATCGCAAATACGTAGATGATAAATTTTCGTCCAGAAATACAATAAAAATTATAGTTCATGTAGACGTAGCAACGATTTGAAAACACCATTGTTTATTTGGTAATTGTTATTAATCGAACGTTAATTTGATTCTATCAAAATGGTCAAACAGTTTAACGAATTGATTGAAGAGAGAATGTTTTCTGTTTTTAATCGGCAGCAACTGGTTTGGCCATTTAGTGCGTTTCCAATAAACCACTTGTTGACACCCACATTTTGTGAACGATGCGTAAATGTTATGTTTTCCTTGTACAAATAATAACTTCAATTGGGATTTGGCAAAGGAAAGCCTTTGATCTCCATCTTTTGAAGGTTTAGGTAAATTTGACGAGCCTTGAAATTGCAACGCAATTTTTATGTCAGCAAATAAAAATTACGAAATTATTCCACACGATGTTAATGTTAACGTTTAAGGTACAAATAAATCTACTTTCAATCCTCGTGGCATTTTGAAATCTATGGATCCTTATTATTTTATTAATATAATTTAAAAATATATTTACCGTACTTGATTAGATCAAAATAAAGGAACACGGAATGTTTATAGAATAGGTTGAACATATTTGGATAACATATCACTCCGCAAAAGCCCCTATAAATTCTATTCTGCAATCTTAAATTCAATTTGTTTGGTAGGAGTACTGTGATATATGGGCAGACAACCAACATTACATGCTTCATTGGTCACGCACCCTCACACGAGGGCATGTAATGTTGGTTGCCCTTCTGATCGTATGTGGCAATCAAAGACGTTGAATCCAAGCATGAATATTTCCTAGCGGCACACCGATTATATTCTAACAATAATAATTCTTTTAACTATGCCATTTTTGCTCTTTGAGAAAAGTTTTGTTGCTAAAAATTATAATATAAAAATAATGAATAAGAAAATGTTTTTTTTTATAACACCTGTCGATTTGGACTGATTTAATGGATAAATTGTCGAGTCTCCTTTGGATATAACGCCTTTGATCGCGTGTTGAATAGCAACATTTTTAGATGTCAAAAAAGTAGACGTATTTGAACCTGTCATTCAGCGGATAAGAGCATTATTAATAATATAGGGTATAATAGTAATGTAAAAAAATAGTTATTGTTTAAATAATATTGTTAGCGTTGCCTTGTAAGTATTACGTTTGCATTTAAACATTAGTGAAATAAGGGAATGCGTAAAATGTTCTCATTCGACGGCAGAGATTATCTAGGATACTGCCTCAGTAACGTAGCTTGTTAAAAATATTCTTCTAAATATTTAGGTACTTATACCATCTTAAAAATAGTTTATAAATATCTGGTTTTCTGGTTAAGCCAAACGCATTAAAAGAAGTATACGTGCAGACCTGATCTGAAAACCGTGCTATCAAGGGAGATGATAAAATATTTATAAATTATTATTTAAATATTTATAAAATATTTAAATCGAAACAATTTTCTTAGGCAATAATATTCTTTCGTAGTACGTTTAAGAGCACGCCAGGGCCGTTTAATCACTCAGTCTTTCTTTCAATAATAGCAGCACTTATTACATTTTTTTCTAAAAAAGGTATGTAAATGCAGAGCTATAACATTTTCTCTCAAACTAAACTAAATTGATTGATTGGTAATGCATTTATAAGTCCTAAAATAATAATAAGCTGCCCTCGTATATTCTCGAATGGTCTGCATTTAAATGCAATTCGTTTACCAATTTTACGTATATATAAGTTTAGGTTAGCTTGGATTAGGATGGTGTGGATTGTGTATATATAAGATTGTGCCTCAACGATTCGACCAGATAAAATTTTCCTTAAAATATCTTAAATAGTACTATCAAATACCTACTTCTATTACCTATTCCATTAATCATTTTTCGATTAAACTGATCCGCGCGAAGAAAGATGTAGTAGGATTTTGGGGAGGTGTATTTCAATAAAATTGTTATACCAGTTACGTTCCGCTCGTTACTTTGCCAGGCGAGAAAATATTTTTCACTAAGCTTCGTTAACTAGTAAGCTTGTAAATATTAATTGTAACTTCTTGTAGAAAAATATTTTTACATCCCGACAATAGGAAATTTACGTAATGGTGATTATAAGAAATTGCAAAAACTTGTTACAGAATTCTTAAATAAATTACATTTAATCGAGCCTTTCTGTATTTATTTCCGCACTTGCGTTCCGATCTCCGCCTTCTCAAATAATGGATATCAAAATATCTTTATGCGCTAAATAATAATACAGTAATACAAAAATGCTTAAAATGAATAACAATAAATTATCTCAAAAAGTCGCGCTTAGCGATTGATCCAGTGAACCTATTTTACCTTTTAACAATTTTACACATTATTTTCGAATTTATTTGTAAACACTGAATACAGTTTTGTCAAAAATGAGTAAAAGATGAAATTCCAAATTGTGTGTGAAAAATAGTCTTACGGAAAGCACTTGTTTTCCATAAGTAAATCGTAAAGAAATTTTAGACCACTGGTTCATACAAAATAGTCATGTTATGGTCGTCCAAAAAAGTTGACCTTAATTAGAAAATATAGAGTAACTCGTAGTTATAATACAACCAAAAATATAGTGCATTTATTGCTTTGACGTTTTAAGTATTTTACAGTACTTTAAACGCAGACCTTCGCAGGATCGTGGTAAAACCCATCCCAACAGATGTTTATTTGCATGAGATGGATCGTAACGAATATTTGTTGAAACTTCAAATTTTTATTTGAAACGTAAATGGACAGTTTTAAGTTTGATTAAGCATTGATGCTGCGGGGTATTTTCGAATAATTGCAATATGTTCGCATATATTACGGAGGTATTTGACTGTGACCCTTCCAGGAAGTACGTATTTATGTACCTGATTCTCGGGCTTTGACCCTGCCAGGCTGTTTTCACTGGATAGTTCAAAGGGCAAGGGTACTCTATTTATCTTATAGGTAAGTTTGAAAATAATTATTTTTGTCTTGTGTGCCTGTCGATTAACAACATTTTTCTTCTTCTATTTTTGTGTCTTCTACATAGTTCTTTGACTTGTAAAGAACAACAGCTTTTTTTAAAGCTTCGCAGTAGATAAAGGTACGTCATATGAATACAGATAAATATTTAGTAAAATCTTACAATTAAACATTTTTTGAAGGTTCATGTTTTTTAACACTTTAAAATGTGAAAACCGTGGAATGAAACAGATGTTCATCTGTTAGAAGACTAATGAAAACATATGAAAATTGAAACATTCTTAGGACGGTCCTGGAATGGTTACGGGTAAGGGTCTGCTCGGCAGAAGGGCTGCGGTTTTGGAGTAATAAAGAGTAGGCAAAGTTAATCAAAACACCATTTTCACTTGAGCATCTGTCTTAACACTTGGTGTTGGAACTATTACTTTTGTAGATGGCATTACGGAACACCAAGTTTGGCTAAACATCCCTACAGACAAATTATAGTGTTCAACAATTAGGATTAGGCGGCCGTTACATGTTTCAATAGGTAAAAGTCTCGTATATAATCTAAAAATAATTTACTTGCCGAATGATCGACAAGAAAGGCTATTTTAAAAATTACATATTACTTGCAAAAATGCATATAATTTTTACAAATCACGCATTTGCTTTACACAGGCGTTACCGCTAATTTATGATCGTGAGTGAAAGAATCTCGCGTTTGTTGCCTTGACAGTAGCATTTAAAACGGCTTGCTGGAAAACTGCGAACTATAGTCGATTCCATTCTCAATGGCCTTTGCAATCGACCAAGTTCAAGAACAAATATCAGCGACAAAAACCGACGCGGTTGTCTCCATTTAGATTTAAATAAATAAAAAATAATTAGTTTAATCCTTTCGACCATGTTGCCAACTTTGTAGCTTAGCCAAACTAAATTATCAAGAATATTTTGATGATGCTAATGATGTTTCTTTTACTAAGTTTCTCACTGTCAGATCAGATGGCAACATTCTCATCGCGCATAAGCATTTAGATGGAATAAACGACTGCTAAGTTCATTTTTAATTCACATGAACTATAGGAATTGCGCGAACAACTCTGAAAAATCGTCGCATTGGCAACATCGCGGCAATTCCCAAGACCACTGAACAAATTCGCGCATGTGCCTTAATGAGTTTTGACACGTTTCAAATATTCAAGAGTTGGCGCTAGCATGACAGTCGGTGTTTGTGCGCGGTTTTGTTGAGTAATATTAATTGGACGAGTTAATCGTCTCTCAAGACAATAAAAAATGCTGCAGGGCTATTCACCGGTGATGCAAGCCTTTCTGGGCACCCTTTTTACATGGGGTCTCACAGCCTGCGGAGCCTCGCTAGTCATTATTATCAGAGGATCTCAAGTACGTTAACCTAACCTCAACATTTGTAAACAAATAGTTATGAGGAATTCCCTTTAAATTTAGATTATCACGTTTGCATAATATTTAGGTTTCTTTACGGAGAATTTGAATTTGAATCCGTATTTTTATCTGCAAATGAAATGTTTTCGTGCATTACATGTTGACTAGAATTTTGTAAGGGACACCGAGACATTCTTAATTTTTATGGAATCTATATTTTTTTCAGAGGAAAGTTTTGGATGCGAGCCTCGGATTTGCGGCTGGGGTCATGACCGCAGCTTCGTTTTGGTCCTTGTTGTCGCCCGCAATTGATTTAGCAACGAGTTCAAAAATGTATGGTGAAAATGGTGAATACGCCTTTGTACCAGTTGCATTTGGCTTTCTTCTTGGTTCGTTATTTGTTTACGGTGCCGATATTTTAATATCAGTGCTGGGGCTGCATTCACCCAATATGATGCTAGGTAGGTTACATTTAATTAGCCAAAATAGCTGAACCCAATTTTACCGATATTATCATTTAGAGGTCTGTAGTTTACTTTAATTGTTTCTAATAATACCCATTGACTGTAAATTTGAACAATCAAAAAAATTAACAGTGTTAGATTGATATTAAGCTGAGTATTTTTTTTTATTGCAGCGCTACATGGTAGTAATAAAGGAGATAGAAGCAGAGATGCTTCAAGACGTGACTCAGCTCACGTGCCGCTGCCCGTGCCGACTGTCATTGAAGGGTTTTCTGATGTGGGAACCTGTGCTCATCGTAGAACGGGTAAGTTTCCTTTTTCATTACAATTCAGCTTGAAATGGCTTTTAAGGGAATCTCAAGTGGCTGTGCCTATATTTAATATAGAATTTTGCTTCAAAGATTTGTCAATAAAAAACCACACAATTTTCACATTGCCTGTTATAATAATTGTATTTTCGTTTTTAAAATATTATTATGGAATATTTGCGTTTCCAAAATATTATCTTGGACCCTGCAATTATTGTCAAACTTCTGCTCTATCAAATTGTGTAACCAAAACGGTATGACACATTTATCATAACCTCATAACCGTAACTTAATCAACTTAAACATGTTTTTTTTTTTTAATTTTAAATATTTGAGCACATTACCGTCAATTCTATTTAATCATTTTTAATATTTCAGAAGGCTGATATTTTTGGAAATAATTTAAAATGAATATTAGTTTAAATTTGTTTTTTTTTTAATAGGATAAAATTATTTTAAAAAATATTAAAAGTACTCTTTCAATGATTGTATTAATCTATATCCTATACATATATAAATTCTCAGAAGCAAATTTGTTATTTAAAATGCTCAAATTGAGAACTGAAATTCTCTTGACAAATTTCTTTTTTTCTTTTACGGCCACTTATTCAATGTACATTATTTTGGAAGGTTTATACCTGATTTCACCTATTCAAAAACGTACCGAATTGAGCGAATAAACCCTATAGGATTATCCAAAGATTTCAAATAACATAAAACAAAAATTAAAAATCGTTTTCGGGTTTATTTATCACATTAATGCCTTTTTTATCTCACTCTTCACCATTTTCCGTTTTTTTTTCTGTAATCTTTTTTCATTTTCTTAAAGGTTATTGAAGTGCCCTTTCTATTTACTTTATATTCATTATTTTATGTTATTGGTATCGTTAGTTAAGTGGCTACTTTAGCCTTAAAGTTAAAAAAAACTGAACACGCGAATCTGAAACAGTTTTCGAATATGAATCATAGACTTGTAGGCTTGTGTTTTGGATGTTATTTTTCTTGTCCTTGCAGTAGGTAAATTACGGAAACGATCAAAACGTAAACGTGCTGAAGCGAAAGTTCTCACTCAGAGTTACGCGAGTACCATTGAGGAGATCCAGCATGGACAATGGAAGAGGATCATGCTCCTGGTCGTGGCCATTACTGTGCACAACATTCCAGAGGGATTGGCGGTCGGAGTTGGTTTCGGTGCTATTGGAACTTCAAGCGCAGCCACCTTTGAAACAGCAAGGTAGGATTTATTTAATTTGATGTAAATGCTTGTAATTTTTAGATTTTCAACGTTTTGGTAAATAACCACTTGTACTTGTACAAGAAGGAATTATCTGGTCGTCAAAGTTTTTAGACTATTTATCTAAATTTAACCTTTCGAGTGGTAGAACCGCGAAAATTTTTAAACGTTCACTACCGATTTAAAAAAAAAAATGACGCATCAAAATAGCTTTCACTCTGTAGCTTTATCATTTAAAATTTTTAAGGTGATAGCTTAAGCACGAAAAATCAAAAGAGCCGATGTAATTTTTGCTCCAAAAGTTGCCCCACTTGAGTTTTTTTTCGTATTTTTAAGAAAATCTTTGGATTTCGGGATGGGAAGTTGTAAAATTTATGTATATTTTTACGCCGAATGAAGTCAGCACGAGACCTAAAGAGTTGTGCCTCAGTAAAAATGTATAAATAAATGTTGTTTTTCTGAGATTTCATATTGGATGTTTGCAGTTTTGCATATAGTTAATCAAGTTTAAATGATGGAGATGAGTACATGCGCTTGTTCCAAGAATTCGAATTCACAGGTATATCTTTATTTGTCACATCTAAAGGATATTTTGATCAACCTTATTAAGAAAAAAAAAGATAAATAAGTCTTGATTACAAAACCTTTCTTCAAATTGTGGCCAAAGTCTTATATACTATATACATATATACATTTGAATGTACATTTTTATAATAATTTTAAAAAATATGGTGCCGGGAGTTACAAAAGAGCATCCTGTATATTTATGGATTTTTAAAAAGTGCATGAAAAGGTCTTAAAAATATATTACATGTTTTATTTATCTTGCATGCTTTCTACATGATCAAACTCTAAAGTGAATTTTTCAAAGAAACTTCCGCAGGCTACTGTACTACTTTTTACAAAACTTCTGGATTCCTCCTGCGGAGTTTCAGTCAATCTCTGAAGAAGCCAACAGGATGATTGGCGAAACGTTAGCAAGTTGGACTCAGCAAAAACCGACGTAGGAGGAATCCAGAAGTTTTGTAAAAAGTAAAATCTAAAATATTTTAATAGTTTATAATAGTTTAAAAATTCGGATGTATTGTATATTTTTGCTGTACGGTTTTTGTCCGTTTGGATTAGAGTATCGAATATCGGAATAACCGTTTTCATTTAATTTTGTGGCATAAATTATAATTTTTCTTATTTCTTTTAAATATAAAATTATATTTGACGGAATTAAAAATGTAGGTACAGTGAACACATTTATTAATTTGCCAAATCATTATACTTCAAACTCGTTAAACTAAAACTATAGTTTATTTTTCTGTAAGTCGTCTGTTAATTAATACCTGCGGTTTGAATCTTACACGCTGACTGGATTCGAAAAATCATATTGCGCACTAATAACCATAATTGTAGGGATTTGCGTGAGAACGACCTTTCCGTCCAAGAACTCGGATTATCCATGCATTAAAATGAAAATTACATTTTTATAAACAAGTCTTAGCTACATTAATGTGTTAAATACTTCAAATTCTTCATAAAGAGTCGTAAAATCGCATACTACAGGCTTATAATGTCGCTCGCAAACTAAAAGAGATGAATCCAAACTCAATTTTGAGACGAAATTATAGCTTAACATGTCTGCGTTGGGTGTATAAAAAAAGAAAATGTTTTTTATTCATATTTTCAATATATTTTACCCATTTTCGTTAATTTGGTAAATTGGCAACATTATTACCTTGTTAGTAATTGTAATTGTAAAATTAGTTGCTCCTAAAAAAACCATAAACATACAAAGAGGATCACTATATACTTCAATGTCGCTGGTTTCATTTATTTTGCATATATTTTTTGTTATATGTGAACGCACGCCTAAGTAATTTTTGTTTTTTCACGAAAACTAAGCAAAATATCAAATTTAAGCATCAAAAAGATTAAATTTTTAGTTTAATGTGAAAATACATGAACATTCAAAAATCTTCAGCAGATTGCGTTTCTTTGTGTAATTACCCGTTTCACTCTTTTACCCCATCGCCAACTTTGTTCGGAATTGCTATTCTCAATATTTGTCCCTTCCTAAATCTATTCAAAAATTTTTGGTGATAAGGGTTTCAAAAAAGCGATAACTTTTAATACATTCCATTCCACTTTAATATCCTTTTAATGGTGCCATTTATTTTAATGTAGAAATAATTATTAACGAACAAGAAACAACGCATCATTTGATCGGCAACGGTACAACTTGCTCATTCGTAGAATTTACAGTAATTTTGGCCTCAAGAATATTCTTTCTTGCCTTGTCGGTAAAAATAAGCCCAATCTATTTTCGTAATTAGGCGGATATAAATATCGAGATGTTTGTAAAGTTGTACAGTGAAAGCACTACTATGGCTCATAGATTTAATACATTGCAAGCTTGGCACCATCTGTCAGAGTTCGATCGAATTTTAAACAGGTCTAGTAATATTCGCCTACTCGGCAAACGATGGCGCCACTACGAAGCGTGCATGTTTCCATTTTACTTTTTATGTTAAATGGCATGTGTTTGAATTGTGTTTATGGGTTTGATTGTAATTTAATGATAAAGGTTAACTGTTAAATGGTTAAAGAGTTATGGATTGTACAGGTGTAATTTTTTAACAGCTTCTTTTAACACCCGGTTTACAGATGGCACCACGTATAGCCAAGACAGAGCTTTTAATTCAAAAATTGGCGATTGTGAGTGTTGCGTTGACCATATTTATTTGTTTATTTATTTATTTTAATTCACTGTTTTTTTTTTGTATCCCAGATTTTATTTCACAAAATAAAACCTTTAGGTTATGCAAATAGAAAACCAAACAAAAAAAAGTTAATTGATATCTAAATTAAATTATTAAAAATATTAAATAATATCAAACACAAATTAAGATTTTTTTTGATTAGATCAAAATTTTTGCACACCTGTTTAAGGTAGAAAATATATTTGCATTTCTTTGTAAATTTCGCTTACATAACGTCAATACTTGTAAAAATTATTTTAAAGCGGACCTCAAAATCCAAAAGTGGCAAATAATATACGAGGGATTGCGTTAAATGACATATACAGCTTTGAAACAAGCTGCTTGAGATGAAAGTTATATTAAAGTGTTTATATTTGGTGCCATATGGCGTGACTAACAACGTATAATGTATAAGTAAGAACCGAATTCGTGAATTCGTATGGGAAATATTGATGGCAAGCGTGGCAACAGCGCGCCACTATCACGTAGGTATCTTGGTAGGAGGTCTCTCGGGAGATATTGTGAATGAATGAACCGAGGAGTCTTTGGGCAGGCCGGCGGGGGCTCGACGAGGGGGCCGAAAAGGGGAGATGGAATTCGAAGGAGCGCCCGGGGCGCCGAACATTCTTTCGCGGCAAGAACGCACTTTGCTGAACGTAAGAAAACAAAGAGCGGACGAGACGAACGGAACCTGCGATATTTTTTCCGTTTTTTTTCGTTTTTTTTTTATTGTATTGAGACCAAGATTACTACTTGTAATAATAAGTAGAGGACTGGGTAGTAATAATGGACGCCCAAAGAGACAAACAGGTATAGATAGTGTGGAAATATGAATAACCAAAAATAACAATTTACAGGGATTCTGAGGTTCAAATCTGTTTTGTGGGCTATACCACCGACTACCAAAAAATTAGTATCTGGGGCTATATTGCAACGAAAACCGCCAACAAGAATAGACTTGCCTAAAATGATGCTGCTTTTGGTCGTCTATTTGTGAGATATTTTTTTGGTGTTTCTTGTAAAATCTTATTCTTCATTTGAGGACCAGTGTGTATTATAAACAATATATTATAAACCGATATAGGTTTATAATATATTGAGACACCGAAGACAAATTCATACTATATTTGCTCATGGCTAGAAAGAGAATCACTGAATCCGAAAACGAGGTAGTGAGGTGTGTGTAATATAAGCTATTTTAGTTTTTTTAGAGAATGCCTTTGCATTCCTAATATGTTTTAGATTTAATGGCACAGGATTAAATATCTTGCAGCACGTGAGGGTGGTGTAAAGGTTCTAGGTTGTGATTAACCAAGCTAATCTTCTATGCACTTTGTTTTCTTAAAATTCGAATAAGTTTTAGGTTTGTTATGGAGATATGTAAAATATCCCCCTTGAAATACTTCAAATCAGTGAAATTTTTCTTTATTACCCCAATAGATACGTTTTTCAATATATAAGCTGCTTTTTTCGAAACCAATTAAAATCTGTTTTAATCGATTTTTTAAAATTAACTAGACAACGCATTTGGGCATAACTAAACATTGGCATTTTGTTTGTTCCATAGAATAATATTATTAACTATACCTAAATTGCGCAGGGTGTCCCACGGGAGCGCGACTCGGTTAACAATTGAATTGGATAAAAATGTTCAATAGCAATTTCTGCAATTGTAAAAAAAAATGTAACATAACAAGTAGTCATTATCGTTTCCGCTGAGAAAGAAATAACGTAGTGGAATTATATTGCTATAATATGCAATTACGCAGATTTTTACCAAATTACTCACTTAAAAAATGCCGTGCACTCACTATTTTGCTCAGCCGTGTGAAATTATCTACCGTTTTGTAAGCCAAAAATGTACTGCTGGCAAAAAAGAAAACCGTTCTGTATAGAGACAGTATTGTTATATTAGAGTATTGTTATTTTTTATCCCGTTTCTATTTGACATAAGGTTGTAACATTATAAAGGTTACATAAGAAATCAATCTTAGATTATTTGGCAAGAAAATAAAAATCGCATGCGAATTTAAACCAATCTTTTAGTCCTTGACAAAATAAATCAAAAGTAACTTTGACTTAATAAACATTAAAATTTTATGGAAGACATGGTACTTTTTTTTTCAGTTCTGTATCAGACCGAGTATCCGGCAAAATGTCACTGCCGACGAAGTAGAACTCGCGAGTGATTAAGTTTATCAAATAGCTTCAGTGGACGCGACCTGGTGTATTTTATCTGTTTTTACAGACTAGGAATATTATTGGTTGTTCAATAATAAACTATCTAAACATCATTACAACGTTCTATAAGATGATGAATGTTTCTATTCTTATATTGTGTTAACAATTTGTAAACAAGAGTGCTGAACGGTTAGTTTTGATTATATAATTTGTATTTTGAATTTTTTTAAAATTTTTACATAGAACAAGTTGCTGTTCGAAATTTTACAGAACTCTGCTGGAAATTACAGAGATTATAATTCAGATAGATCGTTTCTGATTTAGAACATATTTTCTTGTGAAAACCCGATTTTTCACAGCAGTTAAAATAATAAAGTACTCGAGAATAAGTTTTTTTTGTAGTTTTCCTTTTAATATGAAATTACCAGCTTCGGGACATACGCAAAAAGTAAAATTTTCTAATTCCCTTGGTAAATAAAAAAATTACTAGTGTCTATCCTCTAGAAACATCGAAAAATTAAGCATTCCGTACACAAATAACAAATACGTAATAGATGTGTTTAAAATGGCGACTGAAGTCAACACCTTCCATATTGCTACATTTGCAACCGTTGCAATCCCTTCTGTTACACTCATATATGTACTTCTTTTTGCTTCAGTCTGTGGTTTGTGGGTTCTTTCTGTAAGCATCATTTATTTCTCTTTTCCCTGCTCCTTCTAAAATGAAAATTTTTCAAAATTTCTAAATCACAAAATATATTCCTTTATAGTTAAATTATGATATATATTTAAATGTTTCATTAAGTCTGTATGAAATGAAAGAAGTTTTATTTGTGCGTATTGGGCAGATGATATGCTCTTTGGATCCTTCAGATGTGCAAACTATATCTTGGCTTGAATGTTCTATTTATATATGCGAATTTCAAGTCGAGGTACTTGAAAATTCTAAGTCACAAAATCGGCATGGAAGTTAGATTACATGTATTAGCTGAAGATAGGTGACAAAACAAAGATTTTAGAAGCCGAATTCGTAAAATATGTGGCAATAATTATTGACCGTCATCTCAAATGGGACATTCAGATTCAGAATGTTGATAAAAATATCAGGAGTATTTGCCGCCTTTTAGATACTTGCAATTGTTTCAAACTCTTTCACAACTTAAACGCTTGTATATTGCATTTGTCCAGTCACAGCTGTCGTACGGAATTCTTGTTTGGGATGTCACTAGAGATACAACAAAAATGAATTATTAAAATAATATATAGACAAAATTTCGGTTACTCTAGTGATGCTGTGTTTCGGTATAGCAGACAAAAACAAAGATTTTATTAAAATCAGTGGAATACAACAGGGCTATATACTTCCCGATCCTATTGTTGTTATAACTACATTTCTGTAGCATCGTCTGCGCAACTTAGCATTGCAACCAAGACAACTGTTGAGCAAATGAAACATTATGCAGAAATTAACAAATTGAGATTCAATGAAAATTAAACTAAAATGATCGCCTTTTCAACACGAAATTTGAATAAAAGGTTATTAGTACCCTTCAATGAAAGCACTATCCAACAGAAAAGTGTGACTCGACGCACTCCTGTTTCAAACAGATGTATCGCATTCTCAAAAAACTTTTTGTTTCTTTCCCCTTGTTAAAAATGTACTAATTGTTCTTATGTCTATTCCTGTCTCGACTACCCCTTGGTTTGTTGGGGAGGTTCCCCACGTGTAGAGCAAATTTTTAGGATGCAGAAACGCATTTTACGGACTATACTGTTTAAGCCCTGGAATTTTTCATGTCGGAACCTATTTCCACAACACTCTTTATTGACACTTCCTAGTATGTACATACTAAGTTGTGCCACCTATGTAAAAAATAACTCTAATCTTTATATGCCCTCAAGAAACTCAGATATTCAGCACAGTTTAAGACCGAATCTTAACATAAACATTCCTACGCATCACATGTTTTCACCTTAAAAATTTATAATAAATTGCCTATCGATCTGAAGGAGACAAACAATTCAAATGCGCTCTTAAAGACAAATTGCTACGCCTCGCCTATTACAATATTAAGGATTTTCTTTCTTGTGATACCTTTTAATACGTATTCGTTGTTTGTTATTGTTTGTTTATTTGTTATTTATCTAACATTATTACTAAATATTATTAATTAATTAATTATACTAAGATAATTTTATATTTTTACATTCGTATTATACTGACAATATCCAACACTTGTAACTCAAGTATTATGGAAATAAAGCTGTCTTTATCTTTATTAAAAAAAAATAAGGTGGCGGTCGAGAGTTAGATACTTAAAATATTTAAAGTAATTTGCGATTCTGGTTAATGTGTGTATGTATTGATCTTGTGAACATCCTCGATCTTTCTTTGCTTCGGATATTTAAACTATTTACATTATTTAACTTTTTTTACTTATTAAATTGTAGGCGCATCACACTGATTTTGTATTTCATGTAAAACTTTTTTTATTTGGGAATAATAATATTAAATAAAGGCTTATTGGCTCGAAATATATAGCAAAATGCACGCAAAAAAGTCGCGCCTAAACAATTGCCGTTTTAAAAGGATCCGACCACATCCGTTGTCAAACGAAGCGCCCTTTCATTCAGTTTGACGATACTGCCTTCTGATTGGTTCGGCACCGTTAGAAAATTAACGTATGCTATTAAGTCTGAAACGTCGCGTCTTTTCGTAACGTCCGGCAACGGCGCAAATATTTTCGGCGCGGTGCCGTTAGGCGTGCGGGGTCCATTTAAATTTTTAACACCTAATAGTTTTTAGGTACGTACCTCTAATTGAGGTTCAAATACGGCAACGCATTTCACGTGCGTGTACATTGTTTTGTCACGGTAAACGAGATGGTTCCGATGCGATTGCACGCACGCCGCTTTTTTCGGTTTGCCGTCGTAGTCGTCGCGGATGGCATTCCATCGGTTCCCTGTATAACGGAACGCCGCTCGGGCTATTTATCACCGTTATGTATATTTAATCTTAAATATCGAACAAATTAATACTTTCATCTCGGCTCGCACGATTTCGCTTAGCATACTACGATCTAGGGGCCTATATCGGCCGCTAATTGCCGCGCATTTCGTAATAATTGGCCAGTATACACGCATGTTGTGATAAATATTTACCATTGGAACGAATGCAACTCGCCGCGTAAACATAGAGAAAACTTATAAAAAGCGGATTCACCAGCGCCGCTGCGGGCTACGAAGACTAATTTTCTGGCTTTAGGTGGCTGGACATTTCAATGGGACATATTAGAAATGCCCCACGGTGGGCCAAAATGACTCAAAAAATTTCAAATCTTGCTTTTCGTTTTTTACAATATATTTAACCCAGCGTTAAACAACCAGGCTTTAAGCTATGTAAAAACAATTAAATGGCGGGGTAAACATCTCCATGCTAACTGTCAACAGCGTCCGAATATGTTCAATCGTGTTACGTCTCCGCTTTCATTTAAAAAACTGGCCAAGTTGTGGTTCCTGTTTTGTGGCCACGATAAGTAAATACCTCAATTTTCAACTTAATAGACGTAAGTTTACGCTACTTATATTAATAAGGAGATATTAATTTTGTTTATTAGATTCCACGTGGTTGTTATTTAATCGAATCTGCGTTCCTCTTCTATTACTTAAAGTAAATTCTTTAAGTTTGCTTAGACCTATCAAGGATCAAGCAAAGCGGTATCACAGTTTTTTTTTAATGAATGCTCATTGTCTCATAAACTTTCCTAAAAAATAAACTTCTGCCCATCTCTGCCTCCCTATTTTATAAAAATATCTTTAGTTACATTATGCAGAACGGACAAGTTATTTGTTAAAAAAGAAAAAAAAAGAATTCAGAATAAATTTCGATGTCGTTTGTGGATCATTGTAGACCATACAAGTTAAGGCTCAGGCTCATTTTGCAAAAATTATACAGTTTCCGCCGAAATTAGCAAATTAAATGAAAAACTCATTTTCAGTTTTTAAGCTATTTTACAACTTCTCGATTATTTGTTTCCCTGTATCCTTGGTACAAAATGCCCTTTCCGTGTATCAAATATTGATACACGGAAAAGAGATCGTGAAGTCCAGTCCAGCGCCAATCGGACAACTTTCCGAAGAGGCCCAAGACACCCGCAATAAAGAGTACCGAAGGTACAGGCAACATAATGCGAAAAAATGCAGCAGGCTTGCAACAAATTTGGATGTATTTCATAATTTGTTACTTTCGTCTGATCCAAAAATCGCACATTTACGCAAAATCCAAGCTATAATAAAAACAGATTTAGTCCCGATGCTTTAAATTTGCTACAGCCTTTCAAAGAAAATATTACAATTCTGAGGGAATCAGACGAACGTAGCGACTCTGATTAAGCGTTGATTTAAAATTAAAATTGTTATATTATTATTCTTATTATTAAATTAAAGTTGATACTGGTTAGTTACATTATTTACTCATCCAAAGGCAGATACTCTAAATTTCTGTTGTAAATATTTATTACAGAACGAATTTTAGATACCGTATCTTCTATGTTCTAAATAAATACCTCATAAACACAATGTAGCATTAAGGTCACTTTTTCACGTACTTTTTCCAGGTACTCTAATTTTAGAAAGTTAGTATCAGCCTTTACATAAATTTCCTCTGCAGTAGTCTTCAGGAATGATCCTGTCTTATCAGTATAATGTGCACTCTATCAAAAATATTAGACAGGGTTATTGAAAAAGAGTTTCGAAAATTTTTGGAAGACAAGGATATTCCCCAAAGGTTAAAGTGGCTTCAGGAAGAACTTTAGTTGTGAAGCGGCACTTTTAAATTTGAACAATGATATATGCAAAGCTGCAGATCAAATACAACTTACAGCGGCTGTATTATTAGACTTTACAAAAGCTTTTGATATGATGTACCGCCGTCTTTTAATAGCAACTCTAAAATCCGTAGGCTTATCTAACTTGCCTTTGAATTTTGTTCAGAGCTTTTTGCCAAGAAGAACCCAGAGAGTCAAATGTAATAATAGCTCAAGGATCAATTTTAGGACCTCTCCTTTACATTTATTATACGTATAAACTGAACTCAGTTTTTTGATGTTGCAAACCAGGATATTATGCAGATGATACTGAATTGCATATTTCATCAGGGAACTATTTATTGGCTATGTATATAATCAACGATGATTTAGTATTGTTAATTGGTCAAATAACCATTCTCTCAGGATAAATGACAAAAAAACTAATTTAATGATATTTGGAACAACGTAAAGTCAAAAAAAGTTGATAAAGAAAGTGTACGTCCTGCTCCCCTTCGGTTGACATTTGATAGCTCTTTGAGATTTAAACTACACATAAACAATTGCGTTAAAACGGAATAGATGAATCTATCAAGTACGGCAATATTTAATTCAAAAAATTAAAAATAAAATTCTGCGAATCTTTAGTATTGTTAAGACTTAACTACGGGGGTGTTATTTATGGTCTATGCTTAGACTCTTCAGACATACGGAGATTTCAGGTAGTGCAAAATTCATGTCTAACAATTATTTCTGGTGTCAGACGAAGGCATAATTTAAACATTTAAACATAAATTATGTGACATTAAAATCGAGTAGTTGAATATGAAACGGAGAAGAATCCTCTCTCCAGCGTGTATGTTTCAAAAAATCGTATTAAACAAAAAACCAACCTATCTGTATAAGATTTTGCCTCGTAATAATCGCCAATTAAGATACCTTCATAGGTTCAGAATTCCTAAACACACAACAGAATTTTTTAAAAGATCGTTTTCGATTCAAATCGTTTAATTGTACAGTAACTATTCAGATTCACTAGAGCAAAAAACTTTGTCACAGCTCAAAAAAACCGTAAAAGATTCTTTCTTGTCAGAACAGTGTTCATCCACTGTAGAACAACAATAAAAAATCTAGTATTAAAAATCAAATTTGAATGCTTCAAAAATAAATACAAGTCCATAATACAGACCTGCTTGTTTAAATATTAGAATTTTAATAAACATTTTACATTTTCTCCGCCTGTTTTACTCATTAAATAGTCAGCTCTTGCTCGGCGTTGTTTTTTAGTCTGGTTAGTATTATTTTTTTCTCTTGTATTTTGTGGAATTGTGCTGGAAAATTAAGACCTATTTATTTATTATTAATTTATTTAATGTTTCCTTGTGGGTGATTCTTGCGGTTCGATGAGGATTTCAGTATTATTTGGATCAAAAATTATCACTTCACTTTTTCTATTGTATTGTATATTGTATTTATTAAACCGCATGTCGAAGTACAAAAATAGTATGAGGAAAAATAATATCAGATTCCAGAAACATTAAAAATAAGGGCAGTCGAAACTAAATTTACATCATTTCTTTCTTGCAGTAAACAACCAATTTAAGGAAAAATCTGGGCTAGTTTGATAATAAATTGTCATACTAAGACAGTCCCCAACTGCCAAAATCTGAATCCTTAGAAATTATATTAAAAACCTATATTTGGAAAAACTATTGTATTTCAATTCCATTTTTCGGTTTTAGTAATATAAATAAAAAAAAAACAAATCTTACAAATATATAAGTTGGACCAAGAGTAGGAGAGTCGGAGGACACTCACAGAACACAATTCACTAGACAAAATATCTTCTAAAATTAAATTTAAATTGAAAGTTAAATACATACAAAATACATTTTCAGATTCTTATAAGGATTCTTTTAGAATGTTATAATTTCTGTTTATATTTAACAAATTCAACCCTACAGTCGACCTTCTATGTCATTAAGAAGAGACTTATATTTACTCTAGCTACATCACTTTTTTTGGGATTAAACATATCGGGATATATTTTTTAAGTGTAATTAATATTAATTTTCTTATATGCGTTTCCTTTATACCATCTCTCATCTCATAGTATAGTGTAATTTTCTATTCCCACAAAAAATTAGTAATATTTTTCTACGTATCTTCTGAATCAGACATGTTTTGAACGACTTAAATTTTTTTAAAATTTCCTCTAATTTATTCTAAAATTTCCTTAAATTACCTAATATTATCACTATAATTCCACTAATGACAACTGACTACTATACTTCCACTAATTAACAGTGATTATCACGTCACCAGTTTTCTTTTCCAATGTAAACCGTTAATAAAAACATATATCTACTATAAGTACGCGTGCATATATAATATGTACTCTATAAGCATAATGACGCTAAAAAGTGATTGGATTAGACTGGACTGTTTAAGCATTTTAATTATTTACACAATAATCTCACTTTCAATTTATCTTTTTTCAATTTGCCAAAAACTAAATAGAAAAACACGCAAAAATAGACTGTATGAAACAAAACAATAATAAATAAAGTGCGTATCTTGTTTTAAAATTTGTTGGTTTTATGGTTTTGTGTCGGTCTAACTGATTGGTTCTGTTCAATAAATGCCTAAGATTGTGTGATTTTTCAACAATCTTCCAGGTGGTACGGAGACGAAAACACATACGCAAGTCATAACTTACTTTGATCAACTTTGGGAGCTTTATTTAGTGGGTGGGTTGTTATTATTGCATATTTTTATTATTCTAAGGATGTGCAAAGGAACTAGTGGGATTGACTTATCTAACGTCCTAGTTAATAAACCATAATTAAATTTCCATTTATGTTCCATGTTGCGGCAACGTGGACATTCCAGGCATGCAATAGTAAAAGTATGGCCGATTTTTTTTTGATCGGCCGTTATTTCCCGGTGGAATTTGAAAGTTTTTTTCTTTCGCATTGTCTGTGGCGTTGAACCGCACGATGTCCACGAAATTCAATCGGTAGAAGTTCTCCGACGAATGTTTTTGGTGAGGAATTTGTTACTACCGATGAAGCCGTTACACGTGTACCGTGATTGTTTCGAATCGAAATAGAAATTCGCTTTCTATTTTGTCAAAAAGTAATTCGTATTGATCAAGAGTTTATCTTGACGCACTTGATTTTGGCCGCAATAGGGACGACCTCAGACCGTTTAAGAATCCTCCATTAAAATACGCGTTAA